ACAGAAATCTGACAAAGAAGGACAACATTTCTTTGGTGAGTTTTAATTATATTCAATGTAAGATAAACCGTTGAATAAATTCATGGTAGAGCTTGTTGGATAACCTGCAGAAAGAGCGTAGCTCATTTAACAACTAAGTTAAGGTGGTACGTGGTTTTTGGAGGAATGTCCGACCCGAATTAAAACCATTCACACTCATTCTTGGACCTTAATTGAGGTGTTAAAACTTTTTGGTCCTTTAATTTCTGATGTTTTTGAGAGTCAATGTGATTTCCCATGTAAGCGCACTTACGCAATTTGATTTTTAGTCTCCTAATTTAGGTGAAAAATATTTTCAGGCTGGTATTTGAAGACAAATTTGCATTTCAAAGTGAAGCTCTCGTCATATTTTCCAAACAATTGTATGATAGATAGCTCATTAATTTATTCATCAATACCTCGACACAACATTGTCTAGTATGAGAGGTGTCTACATAGCTGAACACAAGATACTCCTTATTCATAAGTAAACTATTTTCGAAGTGGTTTCGCATTGTTCCATGTTTTCCAAAATGCACCAGGGCGCCTTTTACTCCAACTCAAAATAATCATCTAATGCCTTTTCCAGGTACGAGCTTATTGGATGCGTGACAGGACGCAGAAACATAAACATACAGAATAAAATAAAATTTGGATCTCTTAAAGTGCGATATGATACACCATGAACCTGTTCTGATGGAACACTATAATGAAGGTTGACTACGATCCTTCAGCGTGAATTATAATATTATAATATAAAATACAGGTAATAAATATACACAATGCTATAAAGATTTTGTTGTGTACAAAAACGTGAATTCAGCGTGAATTATAATATTATAATATAAAATACAGGTAATAAATATACACAATACTATAAAGATTTTGTTGTGTACTTACCAAATATTTGAAGTGTTTTTTCTTGAAAATCTTGACACATACCCCTTCCTCTTATAGCACTAGATTATGTAAGTTTGTGTACATTGTTATCATAACACGGGTGGTGTTTATCTTATCTGAATCCCGGGGAGGCTATCTATTCAGAAAGGAGTAGGTGACACATTGGGGCTCCCCAAGGGTTATGTGACAAGGCGACCGGACCTCTAAAATGTGACTTTAAGGTATTTCAAAAACGAACAAATGTGACAAATAAATCCTTGCAAGTGACAATTGTGTATATTTATCCGACTGACAAGTGTTTTGAAAGTGACAAAAATAGATAATTCGTCCTGAATGTAATTGGATGCAAATTAAGATGACTTATTCCAACCAGTAATCAAACGATCCATTTGTTGCATTAAATGCTTTGACTCACTAAAGAGAAATTAATCTGACAAAATATGGCAAGTAAATTTTAAATGTGACAAAAGCGTCCTCACTGCCCCCTCTTGGGCAGCCCTTACATTCATTTAGCCTCTTACAGATGTTGTCTTACCCATATTATCTTATCTTTATCTTATCCGAATCTAGATCTTGCACGGGTTGGTACGGGAGGCTAAAACCATTTAGAAGGGAGACATTTAGCCTCTTAGCCTTATCTGAATCCAATGTCGTAATTTAATTTGAATCCACTGCTAGATTAAAACATTACTCATCGGTATAAAAAGTTACTTATCTGAATCCCCGGGTCTCACCTTATCTGATTCCACTGCTAAATTAAAAAAGTTACTTGTTATCTTATCTGATTCCACGTTTTCTTATCTAAAAAAGTTACTTGTTATCTTATCTGATTCCATGTTATCTTATCTTGTTATCTTATCTTATCAATCTACCGATCTACCGATCTACCAAGGATGCTCGACAACGGATAATACTACTAACCAACGCGGTGATTAATTCCACGCATTCCTGACAAATAGGGTTCGGACCACTGGGATTCGAACGAATTGGGCGACCAGCCTTTTCACGTTTAAGTTGTCTAGGTCAAAGTAGTTTCAAGATGTGGGACATCCTCCGAACACAGGCCTCCAGAAAAGGGACCACATTAGTGTCTGTTATGATGTCATTTAGAAAGTGATTAACTTACTTAGTAAACGTACATGTACTACAATATCATAATATGTGATTGAATACTATTACTATGTATATCGTTTGGCTCGTATATCCTTTTAAGTTTGATAAAGACGTTGGCGTTGTTGCATCAGCACATTGGTGTTTTTGCATCATTGATAATAAACATAATGGTGTTGCATCAATAGTAGGGAACTAAAACCGTGAATTTATCGCTTCTGAATGATGCTACATGTATATCAATGACAGTATTTTAAAATATAGATCGTGCGCTAACTGTACGTGTATGATTATCGAGAAACTTGTCCTAGAAATGGGTTTTAATTGAGAAAACAAAATATCTTGCGAAAATCTATCACCGGAAGGCCGGCCATCTTGATGCAACAACACGGTGTTGCATGCATCACGATACCCCCTGGATTGACTACGAAAAAAATCGAGCACTGTTCGAAAATCTTTTAACGTTATTAGAAAGTTAAATGTCTTCCTAAACGAATACACAAAATATCAAACATGAAATCCTTAATGCATTCCTCAGATTATGTTTTTAAAACCTACAACAAACCTACATCATTTTCCGGCTTTGCTTCAAATCGGTTAAATAGTGACATCGTACATCCAAAGTGTACTACGGTATATTTTGTCACTGTCACGTGACTGTACCTTGTCGATGGTTAGGCGTAGCCCACGCAGCAATGAGGCTTTGAGATCAACTAGGCGTCCGTCAGTTGGTCCGACCCTCCGTCCACCTTGACTCTGGGTTGCTACATGTACCAACGAAATGTTCGGCTAGATATGATAATATTCCAGTTACAGAGTAACATAGATAAGGGCTATGCACTGGGAAGTATTTGATACAGGGTTTATCCCGAGGGAAATATTTGTATATCCCGAGGGACCGGACAATCCAGGTAACGATAATCGTATTCACCTTCCAATCCCGCTTACGAACATCGAATTTACCTCCCGGGAATTTTTGCCAAACAAAGCTTCTTATTACGTTCAGTTGGGTTGATATAGCGTGGGATATTGATGGTGAGAAACGATATCAAATTGTTTCCAAACAAGGATAGAAATAGAGAGAGATTGAACCATGAGAAGTATAAGGCTGTGTTAGTCTTTTAAACAGGCGAATTCGTAATTTCAATATCATCACTGTTCCACAACTATACCATCATGACAAAATGGCTACGTGACTTTGTTACGAATTTTTTGTTTTCTCGATTTAACCTACTCCCCTCCATAAGTTTGGCAACCTTAGCTCCCCCATTGAACTCAGTACTGATGATGTTAAAGCCTCTTTATGTTTGAATTTTTATTTACTCATGATGGAAACGTGTTGATTTTACTTCCAATACCTCCAATTTTCCCAATTTTTTCCTCAATTAGCCTACAATAGCTTTTACTCTCAGCGGTTGTTGGACTTCAAAGTAAAGAGCAGGCCCGTAGCCAGAGGGGAAGCTGGGGGAGCGGAAGCCAGGCAAGAAGAGTACCCGCTTACTCGAGTCTCTAGCCAAAACAGTGGCCTTAGAAGAAGGTAAGTACCCGCAAATGATAAATAGCGAAACATGAGGAAAATATACAGGGTGGTCCAAAGAAAGTGAACCCCTGCAACTGGCCATATTTTTCCAGTGAAATCATGAACATACCCCTATATGATCTTGAAATGTCAATATCTTCATAATTCATGGACCAATTCTTATGATATATGGCTCAAAACATTGAATATTGGATTTTCTTTTGATTTTTTAAAGATATTTGATGAAGGGGTTATCAGATTCCTGGTCACAGGGGGAAACTTCCTTCCATAAGAGGCCTTCCTCTAACTGTTGGTGTAGGTAACATACCCCTGAACTGTTGAACAGTTAAAAATACTTCAAAATGATCAATGAAAGTGTGAAATGTGTTTTCTGCCCAAATAGTGTCCCATTTGTCATATGGTATGGTTTAAACTTGTAACTCTAACTGAAAGCTGTTTAAGATCATCCAATGTGTTTCAACAATTTCCATGAATCACACTTGTAAAATTTTGCACAATATCTAATTTCCAGGCATGTTTGTTAAACGCTTGTAATTTCCTCAAAATTTAAGACTGAGAATAAATTATGGCATCAACCCAAATTTTAGACCTTTCTCTACAACATGTGATAATATGAGCCAATTCATGCATGTATTAAGAAAAATGTAGCCTGTTGCAGAGGTTCACTTTTTTTGGACCCTGTATATTGTGTGGATTTCCTTGTGTTTTTATGCAAAATAGCACGCTCCGTCACAGCGGACAAATTTTTCGATACCAGCCACAGTCTATATGCATATTACAAGAGAAGGTAGATAGACTAATGATTTGGACTTGCCCCAAATCATAGAATTTAGAATTTTAGAATTTATTAAGGCACGGCCACTGTGTTATGAGGGCATGGCCAGACTACAATTATACAAATTACATTTATACAGTTACATTTATACAGTCACATTAATCTACAAAGATATTGTGTTGTAATGGTTGCGATGTTATAGGTTTCTTATAATACAACATACCGTCTGTCTCATCCTTTATAGGACATGCAGTACAATCATAACTGCATATAGACTGCTTGCCCGTAGCTAGCTTTTACCGAGGAGGGCGGGGAGCTTTTTTCCAGGGGGGGGGGGGGCTTTTTCCCAATTTTGGATAAAAAGCATGCGAAAAATTCTCAGAATGGTGCAAAACTGCATGGTTTTGAAAGAATTTCTGGCCAGGGGGGGAGCTTCTGCTCCCCCAGCTCCCCCTCTGGCTACGGGCCTGGACTGTGATACCAGCCTGTGGTTGCCGGGATGTTATTTTAGTTTGTTGAGCTGAGGTCAGTCTCAATTTTCCAAATAAGGTAAGATTTGAGGATATGATCAGATGGCAGAATCACACTCCCATAAATTTCACAAGCTTATAAGGGGCCTTATAAGGTCATAGCCTATGATTTGATGATCCGTAAATAAGTCCATGTTGAGCGGGTTTTCATTCCTTTGTCCGTAGTTTGCATTCGACCTACACAAATAATGATGACGTAGTGCACTTCACGTTTCTAAAAATGAGTTTAAAATCGACAAAAAGAACACTTTCCTCGCCTATAAAGGATGAGACAGACGGTATGTTGTATTATAATCCAACTTTAATAGGCTCATAAATATAAGGAGGACGCTTTGAAAATATTTACTTTCGGAAGAAGTGTACAAAGTTGTCACTCGTTGTTTTTTGTGACTGAAATTCCCAAATTTCCGGCTCATCCACGGACGTCAAGTAAGTTTCTGGCGAAAGCCGGAGCATAGATTATTTAGAGGACTGGAAACAAGAATAACCTACCTTTTTATTTCCCGAATCTCGCCTGAAATTAGCTCATCTTGGTGACTGTAACCTGTATATCTGTATAATAGAGTCTTTTTGTATCACATCTGCCTCAATTTTAAAGTTTTATCGGTATTTTTAATATGATTTCACTGTTTTTGTGGACTGGTACGATCAGCCAAGCAAATGGCAGCTGACCTGTTCAAAGTACTTTTAGTACTAATTTTCGCAAATGACAATAATTTTGGAAACAATATTATACTAAATAGATTACTAAGCATCTAAGGTAAGTAAAACTAGATGAACAGGCTGAGTCAATAGTGATAAATAGGCCAACACGAATTGGCAGAATTGAAATAGACTGCCATCTTGTTTCCAGTCCTCTTAGATAATCAATGCTCCAGCTTTCGCCAGAAACGTACTTGACGTCCGTGGGCTCATCAACCTACAGTGCTCACCATAGAGAATTACAAAAGCTATGGAAATTACATGCTGTCGCACATGTAATAAATTCTTACCTCAGTGTATTCAGTGCTCTATTTTCTCCGTCCTAGTATGTCCAGATAGAGTGGAATTCATGTCCATCATGACAAATAAGAACTTAAAAATTTGAAGTGGAATTCACATGCCGACTCTTCAAATGTTGAGGTGATTTTGAAGCCGGATTACGCGGCAATGTGGTTTGGCTCCCAGAATGCAACATGACATGTGTCAGCTTTCAAAATACTGTTCTGCCATTTTGAAATCTGTCACGAGTAAATAAGGTTACCTGATGTTGCATTCTGGGAGTCAGTCCTCCTTGGATCACAAACATGGCGATTCATGAAAACATTAGTTCGATTTGGTAGGGATTTATCCATCATTTGCAGGCATGAAGCGTTGGTTTCATTTATTGTGCTACTTAAAGTCAATGGGAATTATTTTTCTACCGCTTGGGCGAGTTTGAGACACGAAACTTAGAATTTAGCTCATTGTGACAACTTTTGAGGGTTGAGATTTATTTTTGCACCCCACTTTATTTCATTATTTTTAAAAAATATGTTTTGAGAAACAACAAAAGGTCAGTGATGCAAATTAGAAGGTGGTGTCAAATTACTACAGAAGTTGAATTTGAACTGTGAGGTGCTGATATGATTTCAAAATCACCAAAAAGGTCGATATTCTTTATAGGCCTTACTTAGGCCTTACTTAGTTTGCACAAAGCTATCTCCTGAGAGATAGCTTTGCATATGTTGATATACCCAGTCCATGTTAAAGGTCTTTTACAAAAATGTAAGAAATCGTGGGAACACTTACACTACTTCAATCGATGCATAACATTCAAAAGTATCGTTTTCTTAACCATATCACGCGATCAGGAGTCTGGAGACAGTATAATTGACGAAAAATGAACTTGTTTTTTTCCATGTTTTCTAACCAGGAAGTCTCGCCAATGCGCATGCGTATAACCAGAAGCAGAAATCTCATGGCATTTTGGATTTTCCATCCTAAAATCATATCTGTAAAGTCTTGTCTACTCATTTTCAGTATAACCATTTGACGGATCAATTTCAAATTTTCAGGGATATTTTTTAGTATGAAAATCTAGATCTCATTAGTTTTCGACATTCTGGGTTAATGTTAAGGCTGCCATTGTGGATTTTCCGTCCTAAAATCTTGTCTGTTGTGAAAGTCTTGTCTATGCATTTTCAGGTTAACTGTTTGAGGGATCAATTTCAAATTGTAAGAAATGATTCTTAGCATGAAAATCTAGAACTGATTACTTTTTCATCATTCTGCATAAATTTTAAGGTGGCCATTTTTGCTTTTCTCTCCTAAAATCATGTCTGTAGAGGCTCGTCTACAAATTTTTAGGATAACAGTTTGACAGATCAATTTCAAAATTTCCTGGATTATTTTGAGAAAGAAAATATAGAAATGTTTAGTTTTTTGGCATTTTGATTCTTAATGTCAAAGCAGCCATTTTGGATTTTCCGTCCTAAAATCTTGTCTGTAAAGTATTGTGTGTGCGTTTTCAGGTTAACTGTTTGGCAGATCAATCTCAAATTTTCAGGGCTGATAAGTTTTTTTGGCATTATGAGTAAAGTTGGCCATTTTTAAAATTGTGTCTGTAAAGTCACGACATATCTACTCATTTGCAGGATAACCATTTGATTGATTGATTTCAAATTTAAGGGAATGATTTGTGATATGGAAATCTTGAAGTGATTAGTTTTTTGGCATTTTTGGTTAGGTTAAGGCAGCCATTTTGGATTTTCCGTCTTAAAGTCTTGTCTGCATTTTCAGGTCAACCATTTTCAGGATCAATTTCAGATTTTTAGAGATGATTCTTAGTATGAAAATCTTAGAAGTTAACTGATTAGTTTTTCCCGCATTCTGGGTAAATTTTGGCAATTTTAAGGTGTCCATTTTGGATTTTCCGTCCAAAAATCTCTATACAGTCTTGTCTCTATGTTTCCTGGAAAACCAGTTTACAGATAGATTTCAAATATCCAGGAATGATTCGTTGTATCAAAATCTCAAACTACTTAGTTTTTGGGCAGTCCTGCTAAATTTTGAGGCGGCTGCATTTGACTTTTCTCTTCAAATCTTGTCTTTTCAACTGATTACTGTTCGGCATTCAGGTCAAAATAGGTCAAGTTGTCAGAAGTTTAAATCTAAGATTTTACCTTCAATGACCTTCTTAGGTCAAAAAAGGTTAAAAAAGGTCAAAAAGGTCAAATTGACCAATCTTTTTTCAAAACCATCTACAAGTTATTAGAAGTTCAAATCTGAGTTAATATTTCTTCAATGACAATTTTTTAACTTGCTTTAAATTGACCAATTTATTTTTTTAAATCATCTCCAAGTTCTCAAAAGGTCAAATCTGACTATAGATTTGACCTTCAATGGCATTCTCAAGGTCAAAAAAGATTTGACATTCAATGGCCTCTTTTCAACTTGCTTGCAAACTAAATCACAAATACTGAATTTTCTAAGTTTCTCAAAGTTGGTGACTACAAATCAATATTTTTTAATGAAAGTCAGAATTTGTAGTCCTCTAAAGGTTCCACACATTAGCAATTGATTATCTATTAAATTTTTGCACCAGTTTTGAGATATTAGAGCTCAAAACTGGAAAAAACGTCAAATTTCGAAATTTTTCAACTCCAAATTTCACTTTGCTTATAATATCCTAGATGCGAGTAGAAATAATCTTGATTTACGTCATTAAAAATTCACAATTCAGTCAAACTGATGTCATATTTGGAATCTACGTGTAAAATTACATCTAGAAATGTGGTTTTGAAAAGAGTTTATCAACTTTGAAAATTTAATTTTCTTTGAAAATGTGACTTCTCGGTCGGGGAGATTCCCCATAGACCCCATGTTGTAAAACCACAAAAAGTGAAATATCTTTTCTTGTGTTGGGCAGATAATATTTTCTTTTACTGGACATATTTTAATTTGTATAACTATCAGATACATAAAGGTAATATGAAAAGTGAACCACTAAAACTGATGAATATTCAGGTTTAATGGAATTTTGTAATACCCTGCCATGTTAATTCCCCCGAATCAGCCACCTGGTGGCGAAACTGGTAACTACCTACTCGCATCTGAGTAATTGACCAAACCTTTATTTAGATATCATTTACAAGTTCTCAGGAGTTCAACTCTGACCTTAGTTTTGACCTCTGGTTGATCCTAAGTGACCTTCGAAAGGTCAAAAAAGTTGACTTTTTAAATTAATTTTCTGGATTCAAATTTAGGTATATTTAACCAGAAAACACCTACTGAGGTCTAGAAAAGTAAATTTTGCAAGGTCAGAGGTCAACAAACTAAATCAAAAACTGTGTTTTCTAAGTTTCTCAAAATTGGTGACTACAAATCAATATTTTTGGATGAAAGTCACTAGTCAGGATATATATTACTCTAAAGATTCTACAAACATTAGCAATTGGTTATCTGTTAAAAGTTTGCATCAGTTTTGAGATATTAGAGTTAAAAATCCAGAAAAGGTCCCATTTTAACTTGCTTCAAATTGACCAAATATTTTATTAAAATCATCTACAAGTTCTCAAGGGTTCAATTTTTTTTTTAAATCATCTACAAGTTGGCTGAAGTTCATGTATGGCCTTGTATTTGAGATCTGACCTTTGGCAGACCTTTAATAGGTCGAAAACGCCTACGGGGCTTCCATAAGATTGCTTGCAATCTTGATATCTAGTTATCGCATCCTACGACCCCTTAATAGATTGTGGTCGTAGGCCCGTTTCATTCGTAAGCCTGTCTTTCTACAATGTCGGAGAATGAACTACGCATTGCGCTATTAAATGACCTACCTCGATACATTCCAGAGTATTTTAAAATTCTTTTTATGTTGTTAGATCGCCAATTGTATGGGTTTATCGTCAGAACGAAGAGATTTTAGTTTTTACATCGGAAATATCTCAGCAATTTTCAAAATGTCGGAAGGGGAATTCCCCAGGGATTTCCCTTATGACTGGTGCATGCCGGGAACTGAATGGAGGAATTTGACGGTTGAACCTACACGCAAATATTGCTATCAAAAACGAAAATATCTTCGTTCTGCCGATAAACCCATACAATTTGCGATTCAACTATATGAAAAGAATTCTAAAATACTCAGGAATGTATCGAGGTAGGTCATTTATGTGTGCAATGCATAGTTCATTCTCCGACATTGTAGAAACACAGGCTTACTAATGAATCGGGCCTACGACCACAATCTAAAGGGGTCGTAGGATGCGATAAGATATCTAGTTATATTTTATTTCAGTCCCTACCAAGAGGGTTGACAGGGGAAGACAATGCCCTTATTTGGACACAATCAATAGGTGAGTCAAAAAAGCAATATAATCTATTACCACTAGCTAATAAATGGCATTGGCAGCATGTTCATTAGAGCTGTAAACTATAACCACTAGCTAATGAATGGTAGCATTTTCATAGCGTAATGTAAACTATTATTACCATTAGCTAATGAATGACAGCATATTCATGAGACCAATGTAAGCTATTACCACAAGCTGATGAATGGCAGCATGTTCATAAGAGCAATGTAAACTATAACCATAAGCTGATGAATAGTAGCATGTTCATAATAGCAATGTAAACCATTATCATTAGCTAATAAATGATAGCATGTTCATGAGAGCAATGTAAACTATAACCACTAGCTAATGAATGGTAGCATGTTCATAAGTATAAACAACATCAGATACCATTAGGTGATAAATGGCAGCATGTTCATGAGAGCATTGTTGACTATTACCACTTGCTAATGAATGGCAGTATGTTCATAAGGGCAATGTAATCTATTATCACAAGCTGATGAATGGCAGTATGTTCATGAGAGTAATATTTAGAGGTTATGTCACTATCGTGGCATATATGCCCGAGGTCTCAGTGATATATGGCCCGACCTTGGGAGGGACATTGATCTCTGAGAACCGAGGGCATATGTGCCACGATAGTGACATAAACGATTTATAACATACCTATGATGATGTAGACTGGTCAGAGAGTACCGTTTTCTTATAGAATTGACAAACAAATGGTTTGAAAATGATTGAAATGAGTTTATAAAAATTGCTCGCGCAGTTTTATCTTCGATTGATTGGTTATGACGTCAGCGCCTTGACCAATCAGAAAGTTAGCGGGCGCGGGCTTTTCAAAACTTATATTGGCCCGCTGTCTTGTGTACACTTTGCACTATACATCATCATAGGTATGTTATAAAAACTATTACCACTAGCTAATGAATGGTAGCATGTTCATAAGAGCAACATAAACGATTATTACCACAAGCTGATGAATGGCAGCATGTTCATAAGAGCGATTATTACCACAAGCTGATGAATGGCAGCATGTTCATAAGAGCAGTGTAAACTATTATCACAAGCTGATGAAGGGCAGTATGTTCATGAGAGTAATATAAACTATTACCACTAGCTAATGAATGGTAGCATGTTCATAAGAGCAACATAAACGATTATTACCACAAGCTGATGAATGGCAGCATGTTCATAAGAGCAATGTAAACTATTACCTCAAGCTGATGAATGACAGCATTTTCATAAGAGCAACATAAACGATTATTACCACTAGCTGATGAATGGCAGCATGTTCATAAGAGCAACATAAACTATTATTACCACTAGCTAATGAATGGCAGCAAGTCCATAAGAGCAATGTAAACCATTACCATAAGCTGATGAATGGCACCATGTTCATTAGAGCTGTAAACTATAACCACTAGCTAATGAATGGCAGCAAGTCCATAAGAGCAATGTAAACCATTACCATAAGCTGATGAATGGCACCATGTTCATTAGAGCTGTAAACTATAACCACTAGCTAATGAATGGCAGCATGTTCATAAGAGCAATGTAAACCATTACCATAAGCTGATGAATGACAGCATATTCATGAGACCAATGTAAACTATTACCACAAGCTGATGAATGGCAGCATGTTCATTAGAGCTGTAAACTATAACCACAAGCTAATGAATGGCAGCATGTTTTTAAGAGCAACGTAAACTTTTATTACCACTAACTAATGAATGGCAGTATTGTACATCATTGCATTTTATCTATTATTTTATTTTAATATTTCTGTTTAATACTATAGCAATTTACTCATATATTGTTTTATTTTAGATCTGTCCTTGATTTTGACTTTGAGAAGTTGTGTTCTGTTTCACTGTCCCATCTGAATGTGTATGCCTGTTTGATCTGTGGCAAGTACTTTCAAGGTAATTGATGTCATAATGTAAACCAGACAAAATCTGTAAAAATTGAAATGTAGCATTTCACAATAAAACTTTTTTGTCACTTCTCTAATACTTAACTTGAACTATTTAAGCAAGCAGCTGCAATCAATTTGAAAATAAAAATAGAATTTTTCACAAAATCGTCAGACTTATTCATTATATTTAATGTTATATATGAAGTGAAAACAGGAAATACAGCATATTTATAAACCGATTTGTAGGTCGAGGGCAGAAATCTCATGCTTACACACACAGCGTACAAGATGGCCATCATGTCTTTTTGAATCTAGAGACTCACAAGTTCTTCTGTCTACCAGATAACTATGAAATTATTGACCAATCACTTGAAGATATCATAGTAAGTATCATCGCAGTTTTATTGCAGATAATTAATAAAAGTGAAAATAGAACATAGGGAGATGTTACCCACAATTACTCCCACAATAATTTTGAAATTTAACCCATTCATCCCCTTTTAGTGAAAGGACAATATTCAGAGGTTATGTCAGTATTATGTGAAATATGTAATGATATTTTGATTTTAGATTCTGTAACATGTTTTAGACACACCTAGATTTCATATAATTTTAGTGTGCCATCGTTTCTAAGATATAAATATGCCTGAGTTCTCCCAATATAGGCCAACCTTGGGAGGCTCTATATTTAGCCAAGAGCGAACCCATGTTTCATGTCATAGTGACATAACTAGTGATGGGACTCGCCCAAATTTTCAGACTCAATTATCGGGAGCAAATTGACAATGATTAATGGAATGGAATTAATGGAATTTGAATATTTTAAAAGAAACATAAGCTTCTAAAACTCACCATTGGTACTTTATTGTACTCAAAAATGCTAAAATTCTACAGAATTTTGAAAACTTAAACTAGGCTCAAAAAATGGGTTGAGGGGGAGCAGGTAATTTCTGCTAGAAAATTCAACAAATCTGGAAGATTTAATTTTTCATGAGAACGTTTACTATTGAATTGCCTAATGAATAGGTGCATGGTATGGTAAAATATGTTAAATCAAGCAACAATGGTCTACATGACCTCTCATAAATATTTATAAGTGACGTTATCACAACAAAATTAATGCCATTGCTGACTTTACAAAATAAGTTTCCAGATGTTATATTGGGATGGAGGTGGGGGTAGTAATATGTCTATAAGGTGGGACTTTACACAAATTCTTGTATTTGAAAAATGATCTCAGTAAGAAACTGGATGTTACATCTCTGAAGAGTGAAAATTGGGGAAATTTGGAGTTATTAGACATAAAGTTAAAGGGGCAATAAGGACTGTAGAGAGAAAATTCGAAATTTTTTATTTTTTCTGAGCTATCAGGTCAATATTTGGCTTAATACCTTCTTTGACATACCTATTTTCATAAAATGTATGTATAAACTATCAATTTCAGCATTAAGAAGTGTAAATTCAATTCAAAGCTTCTATAAAGGGAGTCCCACTTATAGATTTTTAAGATCCACCATGTTTCAAGAGGAATATCAGCTGAAATAATGTTCATCCAGAGGGTTTCTTTGTAGATAATGAAAATATATGTTAGTCTTGATGAAATATCCAAACCTAAATATATTTTCACACTTGTCGATGATCGTTGAATGGCCCCCCTGCACTATTTGTAGCACCTTTAAGTAACATCTTTTATCATGTATTATAGAGATATTACTACTTATTTTCAATATAATGTATGGAAACTTATTTTATAAAGTTTTGTTATGATAACGTCACAAGTATTTGTTAGAGGTCGTGTAGACCAATGTTGCTTGATTTATAGCAAAAACACTGACTTGTGCACTTTAGTGGCCTTTCATCCTACTTAATAGTTTATCTTTGAAGCGTATCGGTTCAAAAAAATCCTAGATGACCTAACCTATTTTACCATACTGTGTACCACCTTCCACCTTTCCATTCAGCAATTCAATAATAAACTTTCTCTTGAAAAAATATATCTTCCAGATTTGTTGAATTTTCTAGCAGAAGTTGCCTGCTCCCCCTCTGTCCGATTTTTCCATCACCGGGTGTGAAAGATACTGCTATAATTAAGGAAAATGTGCACAATTATTGAGGTGTGAGTTAAAACGATAAAGTATCGCTGCTGCATACAGTGGCACTTAAACTACAGGCTTTTGTTGTTATTAGCTGCTACATTCTTATCAGCGCACTTCCCATCTTCTTTGCTTGTTTCGCCCCATTAAAGTATGTACAAACTCTGATGGGTGGGGAAGCACTCACTGACTGATACAGCCAGCTCTCTCTACAACGCAGCCACAGTCATCTGGATGACCACTCCGCCACTTGGCTTGTCTCTAAGAGGGCCTTCTATTTAAGTATACAGGGTGGGCCAAAAAACCAATACCCAAGTTTAAAGATGAATGATTCATATGTTAAACCATGCCGTGTATTATATATCATTTTAAAGATAAATTTCCTAACAATATGACACCATCTGATTGAAAAACCTTTGTTTTCTCGTGAACAAAAATCGATTTTAAAACTTTTAATCCAAACGAATGATTAATCGAGTTGCCGATATATCGCACCACCACTAGACATAACTGATGTATTACATAACGTCACACATCTTTGTGTGAGTAGAATTTGATCGAAATGAAACATGACATCATGATATTGTCAGTGTTATTAAAGAAATCTAATATTAAAACGAGTTAAGACAGCTGTATCTGGGTAATCATGTATATATTCTATAAGGTGATATTTTCTCTCATTGCAGTATGTGTTGAATCCTACTTACACCAAGAAGTTCATAGTGCAGTTAGATAGGAACCCGAAGATGTCGCGTGCCTTTGACAAAAGTACATACTTACCTGGGATTGTAGGCTTGAATAATATCAAAGCTAATGATTACTGCAATGTTATCCTTCAGGTACATCATATATATTATTATTATATAATAATATATAATAATTATCCCACCGAACGAAGTTCGAGGAGGATATAGAAAAGCCGTTCGTCCGTCTGTCCGTTCGTCTGTCTGTCCGTTCGTCCGTCTGTCCGTTCGTCTGTCCGTCCGTCCGTTCATGTGTGTGTCTGGGCAATAACTCAAATACAGGTTGACGGATTTCATTTAAATTTTATAGGCTTATGCCTTATGGGTATAGGACCTCTGCTCGAGAAGGAATTTTTAATATGGCCGCTAAATTCAAAATGGCGGCCATTTTTCAGAAAAAATATAATCTTTGATAACTCAAATACAAGTCGATGGATTTGGTTCAAATTTTATATGCTGTAGCCTTGCTCAAGAAGACATTTTCAAGATGGCCACCATATTTCAAAATGGCGGTCATTTTTCGTAAAAAACGTTATCTTCGATAACTCAAATCATATACTGGTTGATGGATTTCATTCAAATTTTATAGGCTTATGCCTTACGGGTGTAGGACCTCTCGAGAAAGAATTTTCAATATGGCCACTTAATTCAAAATGGCAGACATTTTTCAGAAAAAATATAATCTTTGTTTAACTCAAATACTAATGGAAGGATTTGGTTCAAATTTGATATGCTGTTGCCTGTATACAAAGGAGCCTTGCTCAAAAAGACATTTTCAAGATGGCCTCCATATTTCAAAAAAAGGTTATCTTTGATAACTCAAATACCATTGAATGGATTTGGTAAAATTTAACATGCTGATGCCTAGGGACATACATGTAGGAGCTCTGCTCGAGAAAGGATTTTCAAGATGGCAGCTAAATTTCAAAATGGCCACCATTTTTCATAAAAAACGTAACCTTTGATAACTCAAATACCAGTTGATGGCTTTGGTTTAAATTCTATATGCTGATGCCTAGAGACAAAGAAATTCTGCTCAAGAAGACATTTTCAAGAGGGCCACTGAATTTCAAAATGACCGCCATTTTCGTAAAAAAAACGTAATCACTGATAACTCAAATACCAGTGGATGGATTTGGTTCCAATTTTATATGCTGATGTTTAGGGAAAAGGAGATCTGCTTCAGAAGAAATCTCAAAGGCGTCAGCTGAATTTCAAAATGGCTGCCATTTTTCATAACAAAGGTAGTCTTTGATAACTCAAATACCATTGGATGGATTTACTTCAAATTTTATATACTGATGCAAAGAGATAAAGGAGCTCTGCTTGAGAAGAAATTTTCAAGGTGGCTGCTATTTATCTAAATCTTCCAAAGAAGAAATCTAAAGATGACAGCTGAATTTCAAAATGGTAACCATGTTTCATAAAAACATAATCTTTGATAATTCAAATATCACTGGATGGATTTGGCTCAAATTTTATATGGCTGCTATTTATCAAAACATGTTTTGTTCGGTGGGATTTGCTACTCCATGGAGTTGCTGTTTTTCTAGTTATAACTATCTAGCTAGCAACTGTATGATTGGTCAAAACCTGGTCACATGTCATGAAATAACTGGCGGTTTTCAATGGCCATATGAGCAATACTCTCATGTCAGAATGCATTTCTTTTCAAAAATTGAAAGAAGCTCACTTGAAACCTATAACTACGAGTATAATAGATTGTTTTGATGCTTTAAGTACAATTTGATTATGTTTTCAAACTTTTCTTCAATTCTTTTTTATTATATTATTCTCCTGTACCCCAGATGCGAGTAGAAATAATATACCAATAACCTCATTTCAAATGGTAATACCCAAGGTCCAATATTTCACTTTATTATTTCCATGCCACGATACTCGTTCTCTCATTGGTCAATTAGATACCATGTGACTAAAAATATATAGAGAATGAATACCACTATATGTATATTCAATTAAAATGATGTCACATCACTTAATTCCGGGGAATTTAGTAAAAAGTATTTTCATCCGATATGATAGATGGTGAAGTTGTATCAGGAAGTCCCCCCAAGAAAAGGTTCACAACTGTACAACAAACACGGAATAAAGAATTAACAAATGTATTCAAAAAGTCAACTAATCAAAGCACGAAGACTATGAACTTTAACATGGAATCTAATTTTTATCCATGATGCGACTGAGATCGTGAATTATAACAGAATATTGGCAAACTTTTGGAAATACGTTGAAACTAAATGTCATATCATAACAATATTGTGTACTTCTAACTTTAATATTGTGTACTACTTTAATGGGGAAATAATAAAACAAATATTGAATTCTTCGTTCTGCGGTGAATACACCTTCAGAAATATATAGAGATTATCCTACATGAGGTTCAGGATATTGGGATAATCCCAAGGCCAATATAATATATCTGCCCGAGGGCTGTAGGTCCCGTGGGTAGATATATTATATTGGCCAAGGGATAATGCCAATATCCTGAACCGACTATAGGATGATCTGTTTATCCCATACCGATCTTGGTCATCTGGTCACATTGTTCAATTGGTCACAGCTCCATTAAACTGTGGAAATATTTTTAAATATTCATGTCCAGTTTTGTTTTCTTGGCCGTGGTCAGATATTCACCCACATTTATTTTCTGGACTCTTTGATTATTAACAGGATACTCATTCCCTTCTATAAACCCATCAAATAGATCACAATTGTCTGCGCCTATGTGATTGACCAGGCGTCCGTCCGTCCGTCAACATTTGCCGCACAAATTAAAACTGCTATTTGGATTGAGGCATATCCACAGTCATTTTATGCATATCCATAACGCCTATTAGACCTATCATTTACTAGTTTTTGGTGTTTACTCCATAAAATTTGACAAAAAGTAGGACTTAGTCATTTTCAGGAAACCTTCTTATGTATAAAGTCAATGGCAGGTTTTGTGATTGACAAGTTTCTCAAAGTTTGCCTTATACTTGATCATTTCTTGCAATGAATTACATCATGACTAGATTTAAGCATTCCCTACATATTGCTCAATATATGTCAGCATCAAATTTTTACCATTTTTGAGATATTTGACGTCAAAAAACAGTAAAAATAAGTTATTTTTCAACTTGCTTCAATTTGACCAAATGTTTTTTTGAAAAGCATCTACAAATTACCAGGAGTTCAAATCTGACATTAGTTTTGACCTTTACTTGACCTTCAGTGACCTTTGAAAGGTCAAAAAAGTTTATTTTCCATTGTCGTTTACAGTTGCGAACGTTACAAAATGAATCAATATGCGAATGGCGATTATGATTTTACGGGCAGATATACTATATCTGCCCGCTCTGAGCGGGACGTAAAGCTATATCTGCCTGCTGATGAAAATATATAGGTTTTTGCAAACCTGCTTTATGTACCTATAACACCTCCAAGTATAAATACAGATATTCAACTCCACAGAATTCAATATTTGTATAATGTTGACCGCTGAAATGAGGTTAGTAGTATTAAAATAGCAAGAACAGACTGTTACTGAATGAAAATTATACGCACTGAAGATATTTCTATTCATTACCAGGCTGAAATATCCATCTTGGCCCACCACTACGGCTGGCCACTACATCACATATTGCTCAGGTCAATATAGTAAAATATAAGCCTTCCAAACTACAGTATTACTATAACCCTTAGTACAGGCCTGGCGATGTGGTAATAATCTTGATCTACATCATTAGATATTCAAAGTTCGGTCAAAGTGATATCATATAAAAAATATAGGAATGTGATTTTAAAATTGTTTATCAGCTTGGAAAATTTAAATTTCTGGATATGATGAATATTCAAGTTTGGGTGAAGTTTATAATATACAGGTGACACAAAAAATGCCAACCACTTAATTGAAATAACTTTCCCAGTGTTAGAGGAATCTTGGTGATTTTTCTTGTGTAGATAGAGTGTTCAATGAAGAAAAGATTGTCCTTGGATAGCATCAACAACTTTGGAATTTAGAGATATTCATGATTTCTGTCCAAGCATGCTCTCGGTGAAATCGTCAAAAAATGTTCAAAAATTTCTGAAATCTTCGATTTCTGTCTTACCCGTTATTTGAGTCATTTCTGGATAGCTTTCACTAGCTTACACATATGTTATCAACAATATTCACATCTACCCATTTTCCCTAAATGATTTTGTCAAATGACTCGCTTAGTAGGTGAATTTTAAGGAAGAAAGATTTTCTAATTTACATTTTTGAGTGATTTTGTGTCAAAGAATGCTCAACAGAAAACGAGATATCTCTTAATGTCCAAGTCATTGATGCTATGCAGGCATACTCATAATACTCATACTCATTTGAGATTTGACCTTCAATGACCTTCTCAAGGTAAAAAAAGATCAAAAATGTCTTTTCCACTTGCTTCAAATTGATCAATTTTTTCTTCAAAATCATCTCCAAGTTCTGATTTTGATTAAAGACTTCACCTATAATGATCTTCTCAAGGTCAAAAAGGTATTTTTTCAACTTAACTTGTTCAAAACTGTTTGCAGGCACTTTCCCATGTTTCTCCCCTCCGGAACTACTTTCTGCAAGAGGAGAATTACAAGGGAATTAAGAGGCCACCTGGTGACCAAATGTTCATACTAGTGCAACGATTCGGGGAATTAATACGTAAACTGTGGAATCCTCGTAATTTCAAGGCCCATGTGAGTCCACATGAAATGTTACAGGCTGTCGTCCTATGTAGTAAAAAGAAATTTCAAATAACCAAGCAAGGTAAGAAGTTAGATGTTAGTAGTCTGGGGGTCATTAACAGAACTTTCGCAAAGTTACAAATTCGCAAGTCAATTGTTAATTTTATGAATTTGATAAATGTGCATTAACAGAACTTTCGTAAAGTTACGAACGATTTGCAAAGTTCTTATGTAAGGTATACAGGTTGGCACAAATAAATTGTCTTTATATGCATTCAAAGTTTCAAGCTAAAATATCCACCTATTCTTACATGATAAGCAAATATGTTCCTGAGCTGGGAATCTTTGAAATCGCGGAGACAGGTTTAATCACAGCGCGCAATGATATCAAATGACATCATATTTTTATTTGTTCTAAATAATGATATAAGATGACGTCACAATTTGAAATTTTTGAAAATAATTTTTCGCCTCCTTTGTTATTTCAATGGAAGAGTTTTTTTGAAAAACAATTTTGACTTTAAAGCCCTATAACTTTGTCAGTTGAACCTGAAGAAACATATCAATTTTTATTCAATAAAGTTAGCAAATTCAATTGCCTGTCTAGCTCGTATTTTTGCAAGGACTCGGATGGATGGAAATTCTGTCATATGACTTGCGGTAAACCTCCCATTTTCCATTGCTTAATATGGGAATGTTGATTTTCAAAAATTCATCAAATTTATCATCAATTATTGACTTATTATAATTGAGGAAAAAATTGAGAAAATTTGGAGGTATTTGAAATAAAGTCAAATTACGTTTCCATCAATAGTATAAGTATTTTCATCGCAGGTTAAGTAAATAAAAATTCAAAGGTAAAGAGTAGTTCAATGGGGGAGCTAAGATTGCCAAACTTATGGAGGGGAGTGTATATTTTCATGTATTGATGTAGTTTTGAGTAAATATTTTGGATAAATATTGAAAACGTATACTGCATTATTTATCAGACCAATACATATAAATATTTATTTATATTTTTAAATATGTTTTACTATAACTCAAAAAGTAACTATTGTGATTTGATATGAGAGATTTTGTTCATATTTGATATGTGAATACTCATAAGCAAGGCACACTGTTTTATGACATTTTTAAAATAGCCGCCATTTTTATGTGTGTTATTTTACGTTTTCTTTTTACTATAACTCAAAAAGCAATAGAGTGATTTTGATAGAGTGATTTTGTTCATATTTGATATGTGTATACTCATAAGCATGGCACACTGTTTTATGACATTTTTGTGTGTGTTATTTAAGTTGTTTTTTTACTATAACTCAAAAAGCAATTGAGCGATTTTGTTCATATTTGATATGTGAATACTCATAAAATTGGCACACTGTTGTATTAAACTTAGGCTAGAATGTTGCCATTTTGAAAATGGCTGACATTTTTATATGTTGTTTTATGGTTTTTACTATTTTAATTTTTTTTTTCATGAACATATGTGCATTTTCGTTGAAATTTTTCATGTGCCTACTAAGAAACATATTACACTTTCTCATGACAAGTTGGCTATGTGACCATTTTGAAAATTGTGGCCATTTTTTATTATTTGTGCGATATTTGCTATAACTGAAAAAGTAGTAGAAGGATTTTGTAAAAATGGCAATGGCTGTTGGATTGCTTATGCTTTGGTGTTGCTATTATCTAGATGTAGTTCAGCCATTCCATTCTGTGAATCTGTCGTTCATAACCGTCGAACTGATATTTAGCTCAAAGCCTGGCTACAATATATAAAACTGTAATAGCAATATGTTTTAAATATAAAAAAGTTATATAGGCCATTAATAAAGTTAAAAATGTAGATATTTAAGAAAAACTTGGCAGCCATCTTGAAAAATGGTGGCTTTTATACGCTATTTTATGATTTTTCCTGTGACTTGAAAAGTAGTGGGACAATTTTGTTCATATTTGGTATGTGGAACTCATAAGCATGGCACACTGTTCTATGACACTTTGGCTAGGGTAGTAAGTAAACAGCCACTTTGAAAAATGACCATCATTTACATGCACATGTGTTAGATTTTTTGAAATTTTATATGTGCCTACTTAGAAGCGTTTTACACTTTCTTATGACAATTTGTTATTTTTGCTATAAATGAAAAAGAAGTAGAATGATAAACCAGCCATGGCTGTTCGATAGGATTTGCCAAGCCTAAGCGTTGCTGTTATCTAATATTACATTATATAATGTTATGTCACTATTTATAACACAAAAAATAAAGTTAAGAGAAACAGACAAACTTCCAACCACTCAAAGAACGCGTTTAAATCAGGGTATGCATATCAGGTATAACCCATATACAGGGTGTTCAGGAAATAAAGATAATAATGTCATAACTTTTTTATTTGTTCACGGATTGCATTGAAAGTTTCAGAGATTATAGTTTTATCATATTTTCACTTATTGTTTGAGTTTCAGCTTCAGGTGATTTGATTGGTAGAATCTGTGGTTGTCATAGCAACACGAGTAGCGCTTAGTAACTGCAGTATAGTTGCATGTTTTAAATGCATTATAAAGAGATTCTATCATGTTTATGACTTAAAATGGATGCTTTAACATAGTTATAACTATAAGCCTAAAATTCTTTGCCAATTTATCAATTTATTCTACATAATTTCCTCCATTTTAGACACAAACTCTTTGCCTCTTGAACCTTCTCCAAATACTTCACAGAATTCTTCTTGACTCATTTCCTGAAGTCTGTTTAACACATGTGATCGTTTGGCATGAGTATTATTCTAAAATGCATGTCCTCTTAAGTCCCGTTTTGATTCAGCGAAGAAGTATAAATCATTTGGCGCTAAGTTGGGTGAATAAGGTGGATGAATGAGTTGCTCTAATCTCAGCTGCTCAATTTCTTTAGTGATTATGGCAGCAGTATGGGAGGGGGAATTGTCCAAGATGAAGAGAAATTGCATCCCGGGTTGCTTTGTATGTAATGCCTGCATTAAGTCATGAAAATCCCATTGAATATCATTTAAAAAGCATTTATTTGACTTTTATATCACAAAACAAAACATAGAAGAATTTTATCATGGAGATGCACCAAGAAAGCTTTAAATATGGAGTAAAAATTGGTTTGCAATGCTAATTGTAACACAGGAACTACTGCAGTTATTCCATGTGCCCCGCCTTAGCGCTACTCGCGTTGCTATGCCAACCACAGAAATGACAAATCAAATTGCTTGAAGCTGAAACTCAAAATGTAAGTTTAAATATGTTGAAACTATAATCCCTGCAGATTTTATTGAAATCCATGAATAAATAAATAAGTGATGACATTATTATCTTTATTTCCTGAACACCCTGTACATGTTTAGTGCAGCGGAGTTTGCATGCAATATAAGCCAAGGCAGAGTTGTTCCAGTTGTCTGTTTGTGTTTCTAGGAGATGCGATAGACTTCATCTCCTGGTTCCTGAACTCCCTGCACCTGGCTCTTGGGGGTGGTAGGAAATTGTCTAGTAGCATCATAAACAAAGCATTCCGAGGAACCATGAGGGTCTACACCAGAAAGATGCTGCCTGAAGACTTGGTATGTCAGTAAATAAAGCCATGGTGAATGATCAATTATTCAAAGTATACAATATCCAGTTACTGCTTGAGGACCTGTCTGGGACAATTTAGAATTTTTCCCATTGTAATATATAAACTTATCACTTTCTTACATTCTTGAGTATGGTAATTTAGAGCTAGCATAGGATGTCAGAACGGTCGATTGTCAATCGAATGCTCTCTGTGACACCCATGTTGACACAATGCCTCAAGATCGACAGTCGGAACTCACAACATAATAAGTTATTTCCCTATGAATTAGAATCTTTGTCATTGCCTGCAGTATGGTATATTTTAGTGTAGTTTTACTATTGTTTTCAAAGTTTCTTTTTTGTCTAGATCAACTTCCTGCTCTTGAATTAGGTCTCGGGCGCCTCAAGATTTAGCGTACATTTTAAATGACCGCCCAGAAATAACAACAGAAATTGTGGTTTATTTTATGTCCCCACTAAGTTAAAGCCTATGTTATACTTAACAGTATGTTATAATAGGATTTTATTAGTACTGATGCCCTTTTAGGGCCAAACATACATCCGACATACAATTTTCAATAACAGCAAATGTAGCAATATTAGTAAAGAAAATAGGATTACATTCTGTAACAATTTGCGATAATTCTCCCAACGAACAAAGTTCGGTGGGGATATAGTGAAGCCCTCCATCCGTCCTTCTGTCAGTCAGTCAGTCAGTCAGTCAGTCAGTCCGTCCGTCCGTCCGTCCGTCTGTCCAGAAGATAACTCAAATACTAGTAGATGGATTTTCTTCATATTTAGTTTTTTCAAGATGGCCGCTGCTTTAAAAATGATGGGACTTTTTCGCAAAAATCATAAATTTTTCATTCTAAACCAAAGTAATAATTAATATTATTGTTTGAAATTTTGGTAGTATTTTCACACAATTCATCTATTACACATATATTCCGTGTTTTTCATCCTGACCCCCAGGGGCCGTGTATGGGGGGACAGGAAAACAGAAACTTTCGCTAATTTTTAGATCTTTCTGAAGTATAGCTTTATTATACTCAAATGAAAGGCAATTAAGAGTAGATTGCAAATATTGTATCTTTTTTCTGATTCGAGCCTCGTAAAATTCAAAATGGCCGTCTAATGTTACGATTTGGCAATAATTTTTCGATCCCTTCAAAGTATGGCTATATTATACTCATATTGAAGGAATTTTGGAGTAGATCACAATTATGGTATTATTTTTCAGATTTGTACCTCAGAAAATTAAAAATGGCTGCTTTGCAGGAATTCGCAGTTCTAAAATTTTTTCAATTTTAACCAAAGTAATAAGTATAATTGATTGGAATTCCCTAATTGATATTTTGTTCGTTGGGATTTGCTACTCCACGGAGTTGCCGTTATCTAGTTTAAATTTTTAATTTTTTGCGATAATCCTTATATGCGATAATTTTGTAAAAACAAATCAGCAAAAAACTCATAATCACTTTTTTATTGTCGGCCATTTTGGATTTTTCAATCCTAAAATCTTGTCTGTAAAGTCTTGTCTTCGCATTTTCATGTGAATCTTTTGGTAGATCAATTTCAAATGTCCAGGGATGATTCTTAGTATGAAAATCTGGATCTGATTATTTTTTTGGCAGTCTGGGTAAATGTCAAGGCAGCCATTTTGGATTTTCTGTCCTAAAATCTTGTCTGTAAAGTCTTGTCTACGTGCAAGTTAAAGCCTATGTTATTGTTAACAGTAGTTATATGCGATAATTTTGTAAAAAGAAATCAGCAAAAAACTCATAATCACTTTTTTATTGTCGGCCATTTTGGATTGTCGGCCATCCTAAAATATTGTCTGTAAAGTCTTGTCTACGTGTTTTCATGTGAACCTTTTGGTAGATCAATTTCAAATGTTCAGGGATGATTCTTAGTATGAAAATCTAGAACTGATTAGTTTTTTGGCATTCTGGGTAAATGTCAAGCAGTCATTTGGATTTTCCGTCCTAAAATTGTGTCTGGAAAGTCTTGTCTACTCATTTTCAGGATAACCATTTGACGGATCAATTTCAAGTTTTTAGGGATGATTTTTAGTACGAAAATCTAGATCTGATTCTTTCTGTATTCTTGGTAAATGTTAAGGCAGCCATTTTGGATTTTCTGTCCTAAAATCTTCAGGTTTACCGTTATTTTCAGGTTAACCATTTTAGGGATCAATTTCAAATTTTTATGGATGATTTTTAGTATGAACATCTTGAAACTGATTAGCTTTTCAGCATTCCGGGTAAATTTTAAGGTGGCCATTTTGGATTTTCCATCCTTAAAGGGACAAAGTGCTGAAATGAAGTCTCACTTTTGATCTTCATAGTATTTCCAATGGATAAGTAAGTACCTGATCTTTCATTTGACACCAAAAATAGATCAAACAGACCACATCAGACTTGACACTAGATCATGAAACAAATATTTTTGATCTATCAATTTATATATGTGTCAAGTTTTTAGCAATGCCATAGAAAGATGGCATTGTTGTTTGCATTGATTATCCATTCATTTTTGAGAGGATTTTCAAGCATACGCCATCTTTTAATCCAAGAGTTATTTAAAATATACATATTGTGAAAAGTGGTAATTCACTTTTTTCAATCTCTGAACTTCAAATGCTGTTTTTTATGCGAATAATTTTTTTTTCACTTCAGTATTATCCCAAATTAAAGTTATTATCATATTTGATTGACTGTGTGAGTGACATGTCTCAAATAATATTTTGTCCTTTTTCCTTCAAAAATAGGCGCATTGCCTGTTAAATCCTCTCTGTAAAGTCTTGTCTATACATTTTCTGGCAAACCAGTTGGCAGATCGATTTCAAATTTCCAGGAATGATTCTTTGTAGAAAATTTCAAACTACTTAGTTTTTAGGCAGTCCTGCTAAATTTTAAGGCGGCCACATTGGATTTTTCTCTTAAAATCTTGTCTTTTCAACTGATTAGTGGAATTATTACACCAAAAGTAGTGCGAAAATGGCCTTTTCACGTGTTGGCATGAAGTTTTGATGACATTTAAAGACATAGTTCCTCTTTCACGTATATTATCTCATGGAAATGGGCACCAGCGCAAAGATCTTTGTTCTGTGGTGAAGAACATCTCATACCCTGGACAACTCATCCCCTAGACATCTCATCCCCTAGACAACTCATCAAATTTTATATGCTGCTACCTTGGGACAAAGGAGCTCTTCTCAAGAAGAAATATTATTATCAAAATATGTTTTGTTCGTCGGGATTTGCTACTCCTTAGAGTTGCTGTTTTTCAAGTTGAAAATGTGCACACAAAATGTTTAAAGGTGGAGAATACCAGGCTAATTATTTATGTGTATTACATGTATTTTATTTATTTCAGAAAGAATCTGAGAGAAAGAAGTTACTCACTACAGAGGAATATCAAGGTGCCAAAATTATTTATATTACATATTAAAGGCACATTGTAACATCATACAATAGACAAAATGGTTCAAAAAATTATTTTTCAGGCTTAAAAGTCGATTTCATGGTTTAGAACCTTCTCTGATGATTCTATTTTCGAACTATGCATGCAGATCCATTCAAAGTCGTATATTGAACTTTGAAAAGCCATATTTAGACTGAGGATTGAAAGGTGTTCACAACAACTTTCAGTTCATCTTTATTACGATAGACCGGAAGTGAATTTTCGATTTGAGTAAATGGTGATGTTTTTGTATGAAGCTTGGAAGTCAGAACATTACAAATAGAAAGCATAAGTAAGCATTTGAAGATCATTAAGAAGCATTTAAAATTGAATCCACAGCAAAATTTGAAATAATTAAAACATTTCACACGAACCTCAGAGAAAACACTTCCGGTTTTATAATCAATGATTTTATCGATCAAAAACTATTTTTATGAATTTTTTCGATATCTGCTGAAATATGGTATGTATACTTGTGTTGATTGTTAAATTACAAAATAGGTGAGGTAAAGAATATGTAAAAGTCGTTTGATCTTGTCCCAGAAGCAATATTTTGTTATTTTTATCGCCTAGAATTCCTTTAAAATTATTGTTGATAACACAAAAATAAATGGACTGCTTCAACCCATTATACAGGCTTCTTGTCTTTTACAGCATTTATTCAAATCATGTTCATAGATGTTAAAAGCTATTTGCCTTGATGATTACAGAACGAGTTGAAGAAACACAGTTCCTATACCTTACATGTGACCTGCCACCCCCACCTCTGTATCCAGATGAGCTGAGGGAGAATATTATCCCACAAGTGCCACTGTACACAGTGTTGGCAAAGTTCAATGGCGTCACAGAGAAGGAATACAAGACTCACAAAGGATCTCATATGAAGAGGTTTGAGTTAACTAGGCTACCCCCATATATCATCATGTATGTAAAGGTAAGGTTTGAATGATATCATCATGTAAGATTTTAGTTTTTATGTCACCACCAAAAAGTGGTGACATGTTGTTATGGTCTCAGTTTTTTGGTGGTGGCAGTTGGTGGTTGGCATCTTTAATAAATTCTTACAACTTCCAATAACTTAGCAAATACTGCTTAGACTGACTTCAATTTTTTTCAAAATCATCTACAAGTTTTCAGAAAAAAGATTGAACTTCCATGACCTTCTCAAGGTCAAAAAGGTATTTTTTAACTTGCTTCAAATTGACCAATTTTTTTAAAAAATCATCTAAAAGTTCTCAGAAGTTCAAATCTGACTTTAGATATGAGATTTCACCTTCAATGACCTTCTCAGGGTCAATAAAGGTCATTTTTTCAACTTGCTTCAAATGACCAATTTTTTCAAAATCATCTACAAGTTATCAGATATTCAAATCTGACTTTAGATTGCATTGAACTAATAATATTTTGAGCAACTAGGTGGTGACATTTTGTCATGTTAATGCCTTGTTTACAGTTACAGGATTCTGGATTTTGAGGAATTATGAACACAACTCAATAATTCTCCATTCTTTTTCACTGAAGAGGTTCGTTGGGTAGGTTATCTAAATCACATAACTATTTGATTGTCCCCAGACTACCCGAAAAACTTGCGATATTGACATTTCCGCAACTTCAGAACTTTTATTCAACTACTGGTTCTTTAGCATGAGCTTCCAACAGTTGTCAAGTTGGAAATTCCTTGTTTCCTATTCATATTTTTATCATACCTAACAAAAGGTACGATATTGTAGTCAGCTTGACGGCCAGGTCTACAGGTTTCCAGCCAAACCATTTGAGGGATTCATCTGAAATTTTCAGGGATGTTTCTACATATCAACCTCAAGAACTGATTAGTTTTTGGGCATTCTGGGTAAATCTTAAGGTGGCCATTTGGATTTTCCGTCCTGAAATCTTCACTTTCAAGACTTGTCTACAGGTTTCCAGCCAAACCATTTGAGGGATTCATCTGAAATTTTCAGGGATGTTTCTACATATCAACGTCAAGAACTGATTAGTTTCTGGGCATTCTGGGTAAATCTTAAGGTGGCCATTTTGGATTTTCCGTCCTAAAATCTTCACTTTCAAGACTTGTCTACAGGTTTCCAGCCAAACCATTTGAGGGATTCATCTGAAATTTTCAGGGATGTTTCTACATATCAACGTCAAGAACTGATTAGTTTTTGGGCATTCTGGGTAAATTTTAAGGTGGCCATTTTGGATTTTCTGTCCTAAAATCTTCACTTTCAAGACTTGTCTACAGGTTTTCAGCCAAACCATTTGAGGGATTCATCTGAAATTTTCAGGGATGTTTCTACATATCAACGTCAAGAACTGATTAGTTTTTGAGCATTCTGGGTAAATTTTAAGGTGGCCATTTTGGATTTTCCGTCCTAAAATCTTCACTTTCAAGACTTGTCCACAGATTTTCAGCCAAACCATTTGAGGGATTCATCTGAAATTTTCAGGGATGTTTCTTCATATCAACGTCAAGAACTGAATAGTTTTTGGGCATTCTGGGTAAATTTTAAGGTGGCCATTTTGGATTTTCCGTCCTAAAATCTTCACTTTCAAGACTTGTCTACAGGTTTCCAGCCAAACCATTCAAATTTTTACATATGTTACACAGTGATAAGTTCTAGAGCTGATTAACTTTTCTGCGGCCATCTTGCTTTCTTGGTCAACAAGACCACAATGCTGTGTTTTAGGTACGATATCGTTCACGTCTGTGCCTTGTTATTTTCTTTGATATAGACTGTTTCCTTTATCCACCTATCGTGTCTGTTACTGGCATTATCTAGATGAAACAACAGGGTATAATCTCAGACAGTCAGTATGATCATGTATACCCTACTTCAGAAATGATCCCTAGACTGTATTGTACTCCCAAAATCCACAAGCCAGGTACCCCAGTCCATCCCATATTAAAAAAAATTTACACAGGATCAATAGGATATAAAGTATCAAGATGGTTGTCAGATTTGTTAGTGCCGATAGTTGGCATAATGATCACTTCATTAAGAACACTGATCATTTTGTGAAGTCAATTGAGAACAAAGTTATCAAGGAAGATGAGATTCTGGTATCACATGATGTAGTTTCATTGTCCCATCGAACAAAGTTAGGAGGGATATAGGGAACGCCTACGGGGGTAGAAGTTCTGCTCGAAAGCCGATTTTCAAAATGGCCGCTCATTTAAAAATAGCATTTTGATTTTGTTCATATTTGGTATGTGAACACTATAAGCATGGCACACTGTCTAATGACACTTTTGGTAGAAGGTGGCCATTTTGAAAAGTGGCCGCCATTTTTGCTATATACTTTGTTTGTAAAAATGCCAGCCATGGCTGTTCGATTGGATTTGCTATGCTTTGGCGTTGCTATTGTCTAGTTATTGTAGAGATTACGGTAAAGATGGCTAAAATAGAGCAAGATTCTAACTAGACATTATTGACAGTGATTGAAGAACTCCCCAGCAGAGCCCCTCGAAGTGGAGGATTTGTGTTCTACTATTATCTTCAATATTTTCACCTTAGAGACTGTTAGATATCGATATACCTTATACCTTATACCTTTTTTTAATTTGATGATAGAAAATCATTTTATGTATAAAAGTTGAGAAATCTTCAAAAGAAACAAGAAAGATCACAACCTTGACCTGACCTTGACGATTGCTACTTGGGAAAATCTCAAAACAAATCTCTTAAACTTGAATATTTCGGTTTTGTATAAAAAACCTCCTACCTCATACCCACCTATCACCTACATGGAACATGATACAGTCATTGAAGGGTTCAATTTTAAAGATAATTAAATCTCAAAATAGCTCAAATTATTAACATTTCTACAATTCCTGCTTTATTTTATGACTAGGCAGATGACAGATCCATAAATAAAGGCATTTTTATGTGTAATGACCGGAGAGTGCCCTAGGGGAATAAATAATTAACGACCGCGTGCGTAGGTCCAACAAGCAAGATAAAGAAATTGATAGAAAGTTTGCTAAATTCGATGCCCCAAGTGGGAATCGAACCCAGCTGGGATGTAGTAGCAAATTGCTATCAAGGGACATTACAAATGCATCTATCATAAACTAAGATTTAATAAACTAAGATCTTAAAATTGAACCCTTCAAAGACTGTATCATGTCCCACGTACGTGGGTAGGTGGGTATGAGGTAGGAGGATTTTTATACAAAGCCTGAACATTTCCATCATTCATTATGGACTATTTTGAGATAATTTTAGTTTAGTCTGATGTGGGAAGCATCAAATGATAGATATTTATCGGGAGGATGCATCGAATTACAAAATGCAGTTTTGAAGTTGAGTGTAAGTACTCTATTATCGCCCACTTAAATTGTTTTTGGAAATGTAGTTTATAAGGTCGAATAATAGTTCTGAAGATGTCAATAATGTAAGTTTTCGTGTAGTGTAGGGACAATTAAATAGTTTAGTGAATTTTCCATTCTCTCCATTGAACACAAACGTTATGCAAATATAATACTTATATATTCATTATTATTCACATAGCTAGACAAGGTCTGTCCAATTCAAGTCAATCAGAACACAGTATTTCATATAATTGCATCCAGTTGCATCGCATGAAATAGTCAACCACGTACCCACTATAATGCACACTGTTTAGATTCTAGTGAAATTGATTAAATCAATAGTTGAGTAAAAATCTATAAATAGTATCATGGGAATAACAAGTTGGGTACTTATGCAGGTCAAATAGTTAGTGTTGTGTTGAATGACAATATTTTGCTTGCTTGTGATATTTTATGAAAAGTGTTCTCATTAGTTGACAATGTTTTGTATATAGTGTATTGGTTTAACATGTGGATGGATTTTACTGTACTTTCTTAAAGGAGCATGTAGGTTATCGCAAACAATTTCAGAAGGTTATATCTTGCATTATGACTATTTTCTGACAATGAAGACAAGTTAATCTTTTAAATCAATTCATTATCTCAAAGAAAATTATATACAGTGATAATAAAGTCAAACAAACTCGGAGATATTTAACTAGCAATCAACCCATCAACATACTTTTTCAAAGATGTTGACCCCATTTTCACCAAAAATGCAATCATTTTTTACAATGTTTAATGCATTACTATTCTCTATTTTGATGTATCAAATAGTTCTTGAAAGAAAAACTTAATTGCTTTAAGATAAGTGTTCCCCATGTTATTTCTCCATTGAAAAATCTCATGCTATCCATTGGTTTCAGTTCATTTTGGTCATCCAAATTGAGTATCTTTAAAGTCCCTGGAGCAATCAACTTTTCCTTTTAGGAAATCGAACATGTCTCAAAGCACATTCTAATTATGCATTCAACAATATAGTAAAAGGTTGCACTTTTGGTGAAAATTAGGTCAACATTTTTGAAAAAGTATGTTGATTGGTCCATTGCCCCTTCAATATCACTTAGGTCTGATTAACTAAATTATCAATATATATACTTTTCTTGAAGATAATGAATGGATCTAAAAGATACACCCATGTTCATGATCAGAAAATATTCATAATTCAAGTTAGAATCGTTTGAAATTGTTTGCGATAACCTACGTGCTCCTTTACTTAACATAACAATACCGACAGACCAATAAGTTAACTTATGCATTTCTAACCCTTAGGTATCATGTGAGTTTGTATATGTTTTTAATTAAATGTTTTCCAGCGATTCCACAAGAATACATTTATAGTTGAGAAAAACCCTACTATAGTCAACTTCCCAATAAAGTAAGTGATATCAACCCAACTGCTTTCTGGCTTTAGAGCACTAGATATTTCAGGCAATCTATTCACACGACACAGGAATAGCCTGACAATGGTGAAGTCAATATTATACCGTTGTCACAAATGGTGGCCATGGGTTTGTATTCGATTCGATTTTCATTAACTGCATGTTTAATAGAGCACCTAGATTAAATTCCTTTGGTAGAACAATCAATCAAAGTGTCTTTCTGCTCATTGTATAGTTAAATATGTTCTGCCATCGAAATAAAGGCTTCAATTTTACCGATCAAAATATGACACAGGACAACGGATACTGTATTTCGAATCTATTTTTTCTCTGTGAATGATTTGAAATTCAGATTCCATTGTCATTGACGATATGTTCACATCCGAAGCATACTACACTTTACAATTTGGCATGTGGGCGACTATAACTCAATATGTAGTAGAGCGAATTTGTGCACACTGTTTTATGACACTTTGGCTAGAAGGTGCCCATTTTGCAAATGGCTGTCATTTTTACATGGTTGTTTTTTCTTTTTTACTGTAACTCAAAGAGTAATAACAGAGGGATTTTGTTCATATTTGAAGCATATTACACTTTCTTATTACAATTTGGCTAGTGAGTGACCCTTTTAAAATTATAATCATTTTTATGTGTGTTATTTTACGATTTTTGCTACAACTGAAAAAATAGAAGAAGGATTTTGTAAAAATGCCAGCCAAGGCTGTTTGATAGGATTGACTATGCTTTGGCACTGTTGTTGTCTTGTTCAAAATCCATATCTGATCTCTGTTAGAAACAAAACCCGATTATATATTTAGTCAAAATATGACTTAACATTTTGAAATTTGAAAATTTTATTGTATAACATATTAACACATCAACATCAAAAAATTCAACAATACATATACATGTTCATCACAGGGCATTGGCTTATTGGTCAAATTTTTATGATGTTGACTCTGTGTCAAATTCAAAACTAATAAAAAAATCGTATCTGGCCGAAACTATTTTTTTTAAGATGTCATATGTGTCGGATATGATTTTAGTGGCGCATACCAAAATTATCTTGTGTCATTATCCCTGTATATATTTAGTATCCATCAGATAAAATATCAAAATATCATTTATTTGAACTTGTTCCCTGTTTTCCAGAAATATTGACTTTGGTGACTTGTTGTCCCAGGAGGTGAAGGCCAATCATAAACATACATGTTATGATCTCGTTGCTAACATCGTCCATGATGGAGAACCTGGGCCAGGAAAGGGAGCCTACAAATTGCATGTCATGCACAAGGTATGCTTTCAATGCATTTTAGTTTAAAAAATTACTTGATTATCTTGTAGGGTGTTTTTTAACTCGTTTCAGTGTTGCACAATTATAATAGTAGATTGCAAATGTTGTATTGCTTTTCCAACAAGGGCCTTGGTAAATTCAAAATGGCCACCTGATGTGGGATTTCATAATAATTTGCACATCTCTTTAAAGTATTGTTCTATTATACTGTTGAAATTTTAGAGTAGATCACAATTATTTAATCACCTCAGTAATCTAAATAAAATATCAGTTTATATTTTATATGTTGTTATCTAAGGACAAAGGATATGTTGATATGCTAGTGTTCACGAAATTTTTTTTAAGATGGCCACTAAATATCAAAACTATGTTTTATTTATTTAGTGGGATCTGTTACTTTGTGGAGTTGCTGTTTTTCCAATTTTGTACATGGTCTAAGTTAAATACTGCATATGGTCTATAAGTCATGTTGCATGGTTTATAAGTAATATTGCGTTTGATCTATAAATGATGCACATGGTCAATATGTAATGTTGAGTGTACTTTAAAAGTAATGTTGCATGTTGCCCATAAGTTATTTTATATTTGATGTGGTCTGTGAATAATGTTGTACATGTTCCATTAAATTATTATTATTGCTGGTTTCAGGGCAGTGGAAAGTGGTATGAACTTCAAGATTTACATGTGGCAGACATCTTACCTCAGATGATAACATTATCAGAGTCATACATACAGGTATTTAGAATTGACTAATGTATCTATTTTATATACTTGAGGAAATACTTCCTTTGAGCTTTAGGGAATATGAGTGATTAATTTATGGGCCACGTGCAAGATAAAGAGATACATTTCAATAAACTGAGTTTGACTAATTTTGTCACTACTAAAAGTGGTGACATATTGTTATGGCCTCCAACTTTTTTGCGACGGCGGTCAACGTCTGTAACAAATTCTTACAACTTCCAATAACTTACCAAGTACTGTTTAGACTGACTTGAAAATTTTTCAAAATAAGTTGTCAGAAGTTCAAATTTGACTTTAGATTTGACCTTTAATGACCTACTTGAGGTCAAAAAATTTCAAAAAGAATTTTTTTAACTTGCTTCAAATTGACCAATTTTTTTCAAAGTCATCTACAAGTACAAGGTCAAGAAGTTCAAATCTGACTTAAGATTGAACTCACAATATAGTGACAAACTAGGTGGTGACATTTTTGTCATGTTAATGCCTTGTGAACTATTGCTTAGCCGTATGAATTTTAGAGCATAGACAAAAAGGTTTCTTCATGTCTATGTTTAGGTCCATTTAGTAGTTTATTTAACTATGTTCTGCTATGAGTGATTTATACATTTTAAAATATGGTCTACATGACCAAGGGTTTGACTTACATTTCAGTTGCATAAAGCTCATCCTGGTAGAAACAGTGATTAAAAAGGAAATCCATCCTAAACAAGAATTCAAAACTCTACATTTAGTTACATCATTTTTGTTAAAAATAACACCAAAATATACTCATATAACTTTTATTAGAGGAGGGTCAGTCAAGGTTCAGTTTGGTTCGGTACGATTCTCAGTTCTTGTCTCTTGGTTTGATCAGTTCTTCAATCATATACTTAACAAGGTGGGCCTCATATATTGCAAATGATGCCACAAATATGGCAAAATTTAAAGGTGTTCACTTTTATTTTGGATTATTAGGGGATATCATTGTATTTTCAACCTTATAATTGATCAATATGGAATTGTGATAGCTGATAATCATTGAATATTTATGGAATTAAATAAATAGAATTAAATTATTTGTAGCTGGCCATCAAAGTTGCTTGCCCCGTACTTGATGGGAGGAATTCCTTTTAAAGTGGGTCTGGTTGGGTAATACCTTTCAATATGTTTCCTCATGTTAGATGTGTTTCCTGAAAATTGAAATTATATGGATACTAACAGATGTCCTTCAGTTGGGAATAACAGTGCAGTGGGCTAGGTGGGGGAGGGTATTTACCCAAATTGTCCACCTGTCTTAGGACCTGGGGGTAGGACAAATGAAAAAGTATATATCAGTCAAAAAATGTTACTATGAGAGGGTAATAGAAAGCAGTTGGAGTTGGAAAATGGTAAATGGTACTGTCATTCGCTATTTAGATGAAATAGAGCTGTAATTATTTGCGCAAAAATTGGGATTCATGTTACACTGCACAAAAATGAACTATTTCCCCAGGCGTGATGGAATCGTTGTGGACTCCATGCTTGGTGATCAGACGGTCCCAGTGGAATCTTCCTTAACATTTATAGTAGAATCTGGGGTTTGTAGAAAAAACTGGGTACCGGGTAGTAAATCCTCCATGCTGGGTTCAAACTTGGTACACGGTTCCCGGTTGAAAAAACCGGGTACCCAAAAAACGAAAAAAACGAATATATAACATAAATAGATTATTAGAAAATGTGTAAAACTTGTTTTGAATTTACAAAAATGTATGTAACTTCCTTGCTGCCATTTGTAAAATACTTATATACCTTATACCTGGGTCAAAATTGGCTCTGGACCAAATTTTAGATATTGCAAAAATCAGTACAAGGGCTAAGTGCCAATGGAAGTTCCCCTGACTTGAATTGTTGTGACTTTTTCTTTTGGAGCTATCTTAGGAGCATCTGTGCTCACAATTCCTTCACCAGATATTGCAAAACCTGGAGAAAGAATTGCACATGTGCTGCTTTTCTCTGCTTTAACCCACAGATGACTCAGGGCTGAACCATGCATGACCTGGACAGATGAGCGCATCTTTATGTGCAAGGAAGTGGTTGCAATTTGGAGAGGTATAGGATGTATTCTTGCAAGAGTATGAGTATGAACACTTTACTGTCTATGCCACACCTGTCACACCTTCTTCCAATAGCCCCTATGCCCCTTGTACTGACTATTGCACACTTTAAAACTTGGGTCCGAGCTGAATTTTGCCCCACTTTGCAAAATTAATGATTTTTCGTCCAGCCATGACTCCCTGTGAATGAATGATATTCCATTGCAAAGAGGAGTAATTTGGCTTTTTGGTACATTGAATGAAAAGGATGCAATCAGCATTGGTTTTATGTTTTCTTCCAATATTGCATCGGGCTCCTTACACTGACTTTTGCGATGTTTATAACTTTGTCCCAAGCTAATTTTGGCCCACTTTGCAAAAGGAATGATTACTCGCTCAACCATGACCCAATATCAACAAATGATACACCATTGTAAAGAGGAGACACATGGCTTTATGGTACATTGAATGGAATCAATGCTGTTATCATTGGTTTTGTGCTTTTCCGAGATAACAATCTGTTGCGTTTTTTTGATACGCACTGTACATTATAAGTTGTACTTTTACGTATGTGCGAAATCTCTCTATCGATATGTCCTTGTCCCTTATGAATTTATTAACTCACATTTTGATAATTAGGTTAAAATTCAGAAAATATTCTTTTCCTTTCAGATTTATGAACTGAGAAAAGATACAGAAAACAGTGGACCTGGTGTTTGAACTTACAAAGTAATGAATTTCAACTAAAGAACTGGAATGGATGATATGTGAACTCCTGCTATAGGAAGTCAGTGTTTTTAAATAGGAACCATCCAATTGGACATTCTTAAGTGTGTCTCTTAACCTTTAGCATGCTGGCTTATTTCAGCAAATATATCCTACGCGACTGGCTTATTTTTCAAAGAGTGCAAAAAATTATATGCCTGGACTAAATAATTAATATCTCAATAAATACTGAATGAATCTGGATAAAATTTTCACAAAGGGAAGACACACTGGCCTGGCTCATGAAAAAAATGTTCTCATGAATTTTTTTCATACCTTAACACGACTGGGCATAAATATACCATGAATACTCCTCCGGAATCCGCCGCTTCGCCCCTGGGAAGATTAAAAGTCTGGTCAGAACTCAAAACTGAATTTGCAGCGATCGAATGATCAATTTTTGAGAATTTGTGAGAAAATATTCTAGTTTCTATTTCCGATGACCATTATCGGCTTCCAAGAGCCTAAAGAGCTCGAAAACGCAATCCATTTCCTCCACATTTTTGTTGTCATCATATTTTGCCGCCATTTTGTATGATTTTTTCACTAAAAACGACTAAAACACTGTTTAAATTGTTGAATTGAGAAATATCTTTCGAAATATCGCCATTCTAGGTCAACAGGAAGTCATGTGAGGCACTGAATAAATCGAGCAATCTAATTGGATCATAAGAATGGCGCGAAAAAGTAAAGTATTTAAAAGTTTGAAATCGGGTGGATGGGTCCGCCGGCAGTCACACGGGATAGTAAAGCATGGGCGGACTCACTCGCCGGCAGCATGCTAAAGGTTAAACCCTAAATTCTTGATACATGAGAAATCTTAATAAAGCCAGATCCTGAATATGATAAGATGGGAGATGTGCACCTAAAGAGAGCATTTTTGCTTTAATTTACAATTAAAAAATGTTATCCATAAAAGAACAATATGTTGCTCACGTCCAGTTATGAACAATGTAGTTATAGATGGGTAGAAGAAGAGATATACCATTCGATAGAAAAGCTGACAATAAAAAGTGGACAATCTCATTAAGGAAATGGACCCTGTCATTACAAATATGATTCAGATTCCAGTATTGATAGTGATAAAAAGACTTTCTAGTTGTATATTTATGAAAAGATTTTTTTGTATATTTTAACTTTCACTAGGAGGATTTCAGTAAGGATGCATAGATTCAGCGGGGATATGCACTATACAGGGTGTCCCATAAAAGGAAACAAATATTAAATTGCTAATTTCTCAAAGATTAATAATGTTAGGGAAAACTCACAGGTGCCATCACTTGCGTCATTATGTCCTCTTTCATATGATACCAAGATGTTCTAATTCCCTCCACAGATGACTGAGCAATGAGGGATTTAAGTGACCATGTCAGAAATGGGTTTGTGCCACTCTCACTCTTTCAGCCAAGTCAATTTTACCGTCATGACATAGTTATAAGTAACAGCAAACATCAGGATATTACTCTTTTATTCATTTATTCCAATTTAAGTTACACATATTATATTTAACACCCCTATTAATTCCCAATGTTTATTCAGACTTGTTTCAACCCCAGTGTCCTTCAACATGACTCGTATTCCTTTCAATGCAAATGTCTGCCCTAGATCACATTCCTTTCAATGCAGATGTCTGCCCTAGATCTCATTGCGCGTACTGCATCCTTGATGGTGTCTCACTGTCCCCTTAGATCCTTCCCTGCTGCCGAGGTCCTTAGATCATCAACGTCTCTTGGTGATGTGTAAACTTTATCATTGTGGTAACCCCAAATAACCATCCTGGCATAGCCATTTTAACCCCTCATTGTTCAGTCATTCATGCCATTTCTGGCATGGTCACTTAAATCCCTTAGAACTCAGTCATTCGTGAAGGAAAAAAACAATGTTGGTATTATAAGAAAGACATAACCTATCAGATGTCAGCTGTGAAATTTTCTTATTATTATTCATCTTTGAGAAATTAGCAATTAAATCTAGGTTTCCTTTTTTGGACACTCTGAATTTGACGTAACATGGAAGCCATCATAGATATTTATTTGGTTAATGTTTATTTTCTAATAAGGAAGTCGCTACTTTCAAACAATCTATTCATTTTTGTGGTGGAGTACTGGACAATGGCACATCAATTTTTTGGAGCAGCTCAGGGGCTGATATTGTCACATTGAATTATGATAATAAGTAAAATAAAAAAATATATATATTGAATTTTTTTATGTCATTGACAAGACCAGGATTGGTCCAAATTGGTTATAGCAGGGAGGAGGTACGGATTCTGGATACCTGCTTAGGAGGATGATCCACATTGACTAAGCACCAAGCAGCTTGAATCAAGCTCATTACAAACTATATATTTAGCTGTGCTCATCAAATTGTTGTATACGAGAAAAAACTTGCACCACACAGCTCATTTTCACAATGAGCACAGTTTTCCAGTTTAGGTTGTTTGACTGATTCTGATTCTGACTCTTCATCACCAGGGTCATGTATAGAGATTATAAAATTGAAACCAAAATGTTGTGCTCAGCATGAATTTGACTGAAATATGTGTAACTTCAACACAACTGAAGTCTCAAAACTGGATGCTCAGTAACTTTGAGTGACTATAATCCCTTGATTACTCAGATAAACACCAATTCACTTATCCAGAAATATCACTCAATGTCTATTATAAAGAAAGTAAGCAATGTTTTGGAGGATATGTTTCAAACTTTTTTTGTATTAATAATTCATTTAATATTTGCCATTGATTTTTTTTAAATTCTGACAAAGTGATATGCACTTTGATGCCAATATTCTTCATCAACTGTGATACAAATTTATATTTTTGTAATCTCAGAAGGATAAAATATTGAAGTTTAATAATATGTGTGATTGAGTTTTTCAGACATTACAATTTTCAATATTTTCTAAGTCCATACCCAGACTCATCCTTTAATAACTATGTAAACTCTGAGGAAATACTCGATCAGATCATTGAAAAATTCAAGTCGTAGATGGGTAGTTTGATTTGTTTATGCGAGTCAACATGACAGTGTTTTGATTAGTCAATCAGCCTGAAGTCACATTTGTGTACACACGATCTTGCCAATTAATACGGTTTCACGATACCCCTGACAGCGTAGGAATTGTGGAAACATGGCAAGGCTAGTAAGGTATGAAGAGTATTAGAATGAGTACACCCATAAAGGAGGATGTTCTACAATCCTAGTGGAAATCTAGTGACAGCGTTCTTGAATTACCCTGCATACAACTTTAGTGTAGACCGTTTCTATATAATAATAGTAAATGTGCATTTCAATTCCACTATTTTGAATAAAATAGCAGATAAAAATTTTGCAAGTCTGGCCTTATTTATGTATTCTATGCAGTGAATTCTACCGAGTACTCAATTATGGTGTTAAAAATTCAATAAAAAAATTGCCATGGAGAAGTTACTTTAGCATCTATAAGTGGCTAAGAACAAAAGAACGATCAATGGGGAAAATTCATATGCAGACATTTTTGTTATAGATGTTACATCTTACAAAACAAAATAGTAAAATAGGTTTAAATAATTTTCATTTATATTTCATCCTTATTCTTACACCTCAGTTTACATTAATATTAGGTGAAACCATTTCATTTCTGTTTTTCTATTAAATTAAAATATGAAATAAAAAAGAGGTGATAATAGGTTAGTTGATTACTGGGAATCCCATTATATACATCACCTTCCCATCTGCCATTTGTGCATTGTTACAGTGATCTGTATTAATATACTATATACAATGTTTGTGCCCTCATTTTTAAACCAGAATAATTTACAGTAATTATTGTTCATAACACAAATTCAAATTTCAACAAGACTGTCCTCCTGAACAGCTACATTACATCATATAACACTAAAGAACCTACTCCTGATGGAGCTAGGTTTGTGGGGTATTACATGGCTATTGTTTACAGACGCAGCACCTTAATTCATATACTGCAATCTAATTATTTAATCTCATTTTATGTTGCACAAGCTGCATTTATTCTCATTTATTAAGCATATGCTTATACAATACAGCAAGCTCTGAGTATGGTAATATATAACGCAGAAGGTGCTACGTCACTTGTGAAAGCCGGAGTGTTTATAAACAGTGCTCTTTTCCAATGAATTTCTATAAACACAACACAAATGTGTATATAAAAACGCGGATAAATTTAAATAAAAATCACCCACATTTGCAGAAGAGGGTAGGCGGGAAACCTGAAGGCTGAAGTGTTTCAGAATATACTAGAAATGCCGAGCCCCCAGGCACCAAAGTCCAAGTCCCATGATCATGGCTACAGAGTGTAAACAAGGCCATAATGTTTCAGCCCGAGCCACGATCTTGATCGTCAGCCTAGCCTACCCTCCACTGTGGCCCACTAGATGTAATAAATGGGTAAACAATGCCACGTAATAGCCCCAAGTCACTACAGTCACATATACTACAAGACAAGTGTACATAAATAACTCTAACAGCTATCCAACTGCACTGTCCTAGAACACCAGTTTCTTAGGCTGTTCCCAAGTGAACTCTGGTCGTCCGAAATGGCCATAAGCTGCAGTCTTCAGATAGATGGGGCGCTGAAGATCAAGCTCCCTGGAAGTACAAAACCATATGTAATTAATTCATTTAAAAACAGTTTGATTGCTAATAAATGTGTACTAGTATGAGTGATAATACCTCACTGAAAAATTACTGTGGAACATTTTACTCCATTATTTTTACTTTACATAATTACAAACCAATTATCCAAATAGACAAATAAGCAATAGACTAAAACATGGTCATAAACATAAATATCTCTGCATCGCTTCAAGTGGGACAAATTTGCATTGGTGCATTGATTAAACCAAATTCTCCCAACCTTTAAACCATGTTTTGCGTATTGTAGAGACAATAAAGTTTATTACCAATATCAAGTTACATCCTTCACAATTAATATTTATCCAAGTCAAACATATGTAAACATGAAATCAAGCCCATGCTTTATACATGAGAGCCTGCCTCTTATTTCATATAGAGTCATATCGGCTTCTGGGAAGGTAGGAGACATCGCAATAAAACATTTTATGATTATCAGCAGGTTCAAAAAATATTCGTGAAAATGCTTTGCAGTTTGTCATACAGAACATTTATTTTTATCGATTGTGCAAATATACGTTAGATTATTAAATGGCATCTTACAGTTTATATGGCTTGAACCAAATAATTGAATATAATGTGAATATGTAAGATAATACTGGAACAAGATGTGGCAAGAGTTCATTAAACTCTTGCATTGTGGCAAGGGCAACCGAACAATAATGACTTATTAATCTATGCACAAGACTAAATACAAAGAACTGCTAAAAACAATCAAATGATGCAAAAGCCAAACATTTCAAGGTTTTCTAGAGCTGAATGTTTCTTAAATAAAAGATTGCAAACCAAGACAGTAATAACTCCAAAGTACATGTAAAGCATCAATCAAAACCAATAAAATCAAGGTAGTTCTCCTGCCGATGCCCAAGAAATAAGCATGCATGCCCTTAAAGGAAGCTTGAGCCTACTAGTAGACTTACTTAACAATTTGACCAGGTCTAAGGTCAAAATTTGCTTTTACAATAGCTAACAGTTGTTTTTCTGTGATGTGATTGAGTGACGTGCCGTAGCTGAAGATACTTATCGACAGCGGTTCAGAGACACCTATTGCATAAGACACCTAAACAGAGACATCTATATTCAGCCAAGTTTATAAAAATTCAAACCATGGATTAAGCTTGCAAAGCTCCCTGTAGTTTATTACCATTCATATGTAAATCTGAGACTATCCTGAATGTAATTTTTTCTCATTTGTAGGCCTTTTATAGAATGATAACCTTCATGAGTATGCAAGCATTAATCCAATGTTTGAACAACATAAATAATAATTAAGACTTACTTTACAATTTTACCAGGTCTGAGATCAAAGTTTTTCTTTACAATTTTAAGAAGTTCTTTTTCTGAGTGTTTTGAAGTTCCAAAGTTAAACACACTGATGGATAGAGGTTCTGCTACACCAATAGCATAGGATACCTAGAAGTAACATATAACAGGACATTAAGCCAGTTTGTATTTAGACATTCAGGATTGTACAGGTTATAATAGATTCCAAAACAGCATCTATTTATTACTAAAAAACATACAGCAAGTAAGGGAAGATAGTTCTCTTGTGTAGTAAATCTTTTGTTGTCTTACCTGGACAAGACAACGTTTCACCAGGCCAGCTTTGACAAGAGATTTGGCGACCCATCTTGCTGCATAAGCTGCAGAACGATCCACTTTAGAGAAATCTTTGCCAGAGAAAGCACCACCTCCATGAGCTCCCCACCCACCGTATGTATCAACAATAATCTTTCTGCCAGTCAGACCAGCATCACCCTGGAACAGGAGGTAAACATTTTAATTAACAGATGGCATGGTAAACCCTCAAACGAGACATTCCTACATAGAAAGCAAACTCACAAGACTGTTGCAAATATAGCTGTAGCCATTATCACTGTTGATTAAAACATCCTTGATTCTTGTTTACGTGAATATCTATTTATTATCAGATATCTTATACTACCTGGGATGACATTATTTAAGTTAATACACTGTTTAGCCAGAAAACCTGTAAAAACCAGTAAGAACTAGTGAGAACTGGCTTCTACAAAGATGATATACAATTTGTGTGCAGATAAACTGATGGCGAGGACAAACACTGATATCAATGTGTGAAAATGTAGGCCAGGTTCAACACAATTGATTTCTTAAGCACCATTATACTAGTATTACATAGGTACATTAGATAAGATATTTTCTAGTATGATAATGGTGGTTTTCAACAGTTGTAAAATATTTAACCTTGACTAAGTTCCATATAAATACAGAACAATGCTCTAACTTGATAATTCCTCAGACAACTCCATTAAAACAATACAGCAAAACTGATAACATGATCAATATTAAAACCACTCTTATCTATTACATGACATGTAATGGCAAGAAATGAGATGACCAGTATGTTAAACTTGTGGAGCCACCTTGACTCAAATACACACATTAATCCTAAGTTATTGATCAGACTTAAGTCAAGTGGGAACACGAAATATCAAATCACATATTCCAATTTTCTAATAAACTTGATACCCGAATGTAATTTTGACAGTTTTTGATGATAAGTATTTAACAAGGGCAATACTTGAACTTAATTTTTAAACAATTAAACAGAACTACTATACTACAACAATCATGATAAATAGTAAGCCAGTCAACACTATGACCCATGGCAGGCGAAATTACTAAATAAACTTTATACATCTAGGAGTAGGAATAGAAAAATAATTAAAGACATAAATCACTGATCAGATGATGCAATGTACATATAATATAGGCATGAAGCTTTCCTTGCCAACACTCCTAAGAGTAGAAAATCCTGATATACAAAACACATTTCATATAATCGCTCATCAATTTGAGCAAGAATTATGACAGCATTTTTGGTAAAATCAACACTTATGACCAGGTCATTTGATCAACTGATGTTTGAGTTAGAGCCTAAATGAACAGCCAGAATACAGAATAATGAATGACAAGCAAATTCATCAAGGTAAGATATCATGATGAAATGCTTTCTCCTGTCAGTTACACACTTCGGGTTTATTGTTTTATTGACATCATGAAATGAACCAATAACAACACCTGTTCACAGTATGACAGCAAGCCAGTGTACAGTTAATGTACATTTTCAATAGTTTTATGAGGACACACCCCCATGCAAGGGTATTATGCCTTCTATAAGTACAAACAACAATATCAAAATTGTAGGTTAGAAAAAGCAGATTTGCAATATCACATTGGTGTCAACGGGAATCATTATACTATTATCTATTGACTATGCTGGCAATTTTGATTTGATGTACAGTATAATACTTTTTGGAGAAAATGATGTGTGTCATATATGATTTAGCTCTATATATCTTACGAAACAAGCTTGTATTGTAAAATACCAGCTATATAACTATCAATGGCATATTACACTTTGGTGTAGTCCAAGTAAACTGTAACTGAACGATTATTTAAGTGAGGAAAATTCTACATGCATTTGTATAGGGTGATTTATACATATAGGCAAGGAGGATTGGCTCCCAGAGTGCAACATCGATATTCTGTCCCATATATGGGCATGTCGTGCTACAAAATTTGAATTCCAACAGCCGCCATTTTGTTCACTTCAACATTTGAATCGTAAATTTTGGTCTTATTTCCTAACGAAAAATTCCAAAACTCACAGGAAATGATTGAGATATTGGTTCGAATCTTTTGAACTGTTTATTTTGAATTTATAATCGGTTATAATTTCAGAAAATAACGACATCTCGGCGTTTTCATTGTTGGAAAATATCGACTTCGATTCTGGGAGCCAATCCTCCTTGATATAGGTTGCCTTTTCAATTTTATATGCAAGCTTTAAGTCTATATTACCAAAAAATGATTCAAGTATTATGGCTGCCCTCTGAACTGTGCGAGCGAAGCAAGCGACCCAAAAATTCCCCCTGCTTTGGAAAAATTCTTGGGAGATCACTGATATGGATCTGGATACAATATTGCCCTCCAAGTAATGTACTTAATTGTTTGCTAAGAATAAAGCTCTCAAAAATTGTCCTGGGGCTAGTCAACTTAAGCTTACCTGTGGTCCACCAATGATGAACTTGCCAGATGGCTGCAAATGATATACAGTCTTTTCATCAAGATATTTTTTAGGTATACAAGTCTCTATGACTTTTTCTTTCAAATCTTTACGTAGTTCATCCATGGTGACTTTCTCGTCGTGCTGGATGGAGATGACGACAGTGTGGACTCTAAGAGGGATTAGGGCTCCATGGTTCAGTTTGTATTCAACAGTCACCTGCAACACACATGTATTGTAACATTATACAGAATATAGAACCCATGACCCTGTGCTCCCTGTTACCACATATTTAGGAAGGGTTAACTTTGTATATGAAAATCCTCTTGTTTTTCCAAATTATAGTTAGTTACCAAGTATAGTTATTCTGTTACTTAATTACTTTAACATAATATTTCAGTCATTGACTTTATACACGAGAAAGTTCCATGAAAAATGACAAAAGTCCAGAAAATTAATTTGAAAAATCAACTTTTTGACCTTTCAAAGATCACTGAAGGTCAACCAAAGGTCAAATCTCAAATCTAAAGGCAGATTTGAACTTCTGAGAACTTGTATATGATTTAGAAAAAAATCCCCTCCATTATGTAGGGGGATGTAATGTTTGCATTGGTCAATAGGTTGAAATTGAAATACACTTTGAAAATTCCTATTTGTAGAAATGGCAGCAAAGAGATCACCAAAAGCTTTCACCTTTATAAGTGATCCAGATCATGCTCTCATTTCCACATGTTTATTGGGTATATGTTAATAAATACATTCACATCAGGTGCTAATTCACATGTAGGATCCCTAGCAATATACAAGAAATCAATCAATAACCTTACCCGATAGAATCCATCAAAAACCTTGAACTATTAGCTCGTGAGGTGATGGTAATGTGCGACTTACCTGTGTTTTAGTGTCAGGTCTGGCCCAAGGCAGTGAGCCATCACGTCGGCCTGCTGCTATCTTAGCATTCAGTTTATGGGCCAACACCACTGTGAGGGGCATACATTCCTCAGTCTCATCAGAGGCATATCCAAACATAAGACCCTGAAATATAGTGAGCATTTGTTATTTCATGCTTTATTTAAGTCCCAACATTTATTGTTTTCAATTTGTTTTTATCTTCTCAAATGTATTTACAAATTACTACTTATATAAAAATTTCTATTTTGAATACTGTATACATGTACTATACCAATTTGGAAATTTCTAAAAAATCTTAACCATGTACTTAGCAGTTAACCTATTTTTAAAACAATTATTCTAATAGCTGTTAAGAGCAAAGCAGATCTGAAATAAACAATGTTAGTTGAAAGGAATAATAAATGCGTGAACAAAATAAATTAATATAAAAAAAAGACTGAGTGAACAGAATTGAAACCTCAAAGATGAAATCTCCGCAGCAGTTAAAAGTGAACCCCCAAGAGAACATGTGTTTAGTCACATCCCTGGTGTGGAGACTGGCACTGTTTGAGGGTTGCTATGATGGTATACACAGATCTACTGTAGCAGGAATCCAACCAAATAATCCAAGAGTAAAGCAACACTTATTATGAAAGAACGGTACCACGTTTAATATTAGATTAGATTTTATTTAAGACAAATTCTATCATTTGAATTTATAAGAATCTGAACCTATATTGGTAAATAAAAGACTCTACCCCAGCCACAGTACCATTGTAATGTGACCAGTGGAAGGCCTGTGGGTGGCAAATAAAGATAAGTTTTGGACAGTTTTTGAATGTTTATACTCCTTGTAAAAATCAATGTATCTTATTCCTCTTTTTCATAATTCCACTTCTGTGATTATCTTGCCAAGCCCCACATCCTATGACATTCTTGCCTTACTAAAATCCTGATACCATTGTAACATGACCAGTGTAAGGCTCCAGTGTAGGCCCTAAGGATCAGACACTTGTTGGTCAAAATGGCATCATGGACCTGTTGCAATGTTACTTTCCTATTACTAGTGAAAAAATCAAGTGGTCCTAACCTGGTAATGACCAGGGCCCTTAGGGCCTACACCGTAAGGGCTGTTGGGGCAAATATATAAATAAAAGGAGCACAGGGTGAACAACATCGTACCTAGCAGTGTGGGCTTCATGACCGAGAATGCAAGATGGCCACAGAAAAATTAATCAGCTTCAGAACTTCTTACCATGTTACTTGTGTGAAAATTTGAAGTAAATCTGCGTATCATGATGACAAGAAAGTGAGACGCCGCCCCTTCAAGCTGATGACAATATCATAGCTTTTTAGGCATGATAAAAAAATACTCCATGTTCTCCCTAAGATTTTATTTCAAGTGGCTGCATAATTCTTATTTTCATAATTTAGACCAAACTTGGTCTGAATATGTGCATTTTGCATGTTTTGTATCATTTACAAGTGGGTGCATGCATATTATTAAAATCTCAAGTGAGTGCAGTGCCCAATAGCTTTAATGATGGGGAGATCACAGCTTCAAATGAAAATGAATGTAAAAATGGATTTGTTATATTGAGAATGGGATTGCTCAGTATGAAATATATAAATATGAAAATAACTTAAACACAACAAAATGCTCTGCAGGATATTAGCACTGGTGATCCACTTGATAACTCTGGTTACCGAAACGGGTCATTTCGGTAACGAAATGTCGAACATCAAAACAATTTTTCTTTTTTCACATGTAAGCAGAGTTCCCACGACACTTTTTATCAGAAATGTTTATCAGTATCATATGTTAAAGAAAATGTACAGATTTGCAAACAAATAGTTCAGAAGACAACAGAATCGTCAATTTAATTCCTCAATTAAGTTACACAAATGGTATTTCGAAAAACAGTTAAGCGCTGCACCTTTAACTCAAACCATTTATGTAACTGAAGTGGGGAATTAAATCGATGATCCTGTGGTCTTCTGAGCTGTTTTTCCGCAAACATGTACATTTTCTAAAACATATGATACTGATACTCGTTTGTGAGAAAAAATGTCGTGGGGATTCTGCCTACAACACGTTAAATAAGGAAAAAAGAAAAATCGTACCCTAGACGTTCCGACATTTTGATACCAAAACTGTTCGTTTCAGTAACCAGCGTAATCGAGTGGATCACCAGTGATAAGCAGAAAGAGAGGATTTCTTTCATAAAGAAAGACAAGAGCTGAATGATGTTCAGAAGAACATGTAAAGCAACAGTAAGCCAAAATAATCAAAGAAAAAATTGGTGAGCAACTTTCAAAAACTTGAAATTGATGAAAGGTTTGTTTGAATAACCATGCAACATAAATTGTTAAAGAAATAAAGAAAAAAATAACTTCAGTGATGCTGCATATGTTAGTTGATTGTAAAGCAACATACAACATGCAATAGTCTGGGTAAATATGGTATAAACCTGGTCTCCAGCCCCTATGTCATCTACAGATCGACCACCGTGCACACCTTCAGCTATCTCAGGACTCTGCTCTTCTATGGCATTCAGCACATTACATGTCTTATAATCAAAGCCTATTGGCCAAGATTAAGGTGAAGAAGAGGAAAAGCATGTGATAAATAAAGATTTAACCTGAAGATGGTTTTGTTAGAAACTCCCTTGCAAAATGAATAGCATTCATTTTGCAAGGGTAGTAACTGATTAAGTAATTGGTGATTGGTGGGTAGCATTAGTAGAAGATGCATGTAGCAAATGTGCACATGTGCAATATCCCTGCACCACCTGCATTACTGCATAAACTGGTAAACATGATCTAGAAAAGAAACGTGATGTTTTAATAGGAAAGAAGGATGAATATATCGATAATACCCTATGTCTATCTCTGGTTCATCCAATGATCCATCATAAGGCAGTTAATACTAAAGATCCATTATGCAATAGAAAGTACAATCAAAACCAAACTTGCTTTGCATGCTGAGCTGTACCACATATTCATCTATCTACTTACCAAGGAAGAAGTCCTTCTAAATTTGCGATTGTACCGACTGATCAAATTACTTTAGCCGAAACTAATTAAATCTGAAATTTGAATATCGAGGAGAATCCATCTTATGTGATTGGTTATTATGGTCACGTGACCAATGGAATTCTGTCGATTTCAGTTCTAGAAATGCAAAAAGAAATCAAAAACAGACTCTGAATCTGATTGGCTACTGTGTTCAAATAGCGTGCTGATGGTTGTGTCACTTGACCGGGATTCCCCTTAATGGCTGCAAACTCAATTGTGTTGGTTGGTTGTTCTGATGATTTTTTCAAAATATCGGCAAAATAAACCCATAAGTTTGTCTTTTAATTTCTTAAAAAATTTCATAATAATTCCATTTCATCATTTTCACCAAGGAGGTCGATTTGTATGTTTTACCCGTAGCATCTGGTCACTGAAAATCTAGGCAGATAGGAGCAAATATATCCAGCAGCTCCAATAATCGTGTGAGAATTCCTCAATTCAGCAACAAAGTTATTATCTGGTGAATTTCATAACGTCCTGGTTGCTGAAGTGAGGAAAGGTCACTTGATTATTGGATGTATATACTAGTGACTGATTTACTATTCAGTAAAAGAATGCTACTATTATCAATATAAAGGAAAATATTTGGATATAAATCAACCTCCTTTTCACAACTATTTTCACAATTTTATCGATTTAAAGTGTCAACAACACAATGAGCATATTTTAAGTCCCAAATGGCTTAGTTTAAGAAATATGCCAAATTTAAATTCAAAAAAATGATGACACCCCTGCAATAGCTTACCATGTGAGCTAATAGTGTACAACAAAGTTGGAACATAGAATACAGTTCTTGTTTGAATATCATTTGAATGAACCAGAGACTAACAAGTGCAGTCCGACCACCTCTAAGTAAGGGACCTTAATAAACGAGAGTGGTCAGTGTTTTATACCTGATCACCAGCACCAATATCATCATCATCTTTGCCAATATGTACACCTTGAGCAATGTCTACACTTTGTTCCTCTATAGCATTCAGCACGTTACATGTTTTATAATCAAATCCTACAAGGTGAAGTAAGACACATTTATATTCATTATAATTATTCACCTGTTAAATATGGGGCCTCCACCCCAGTCTCAAGAATTTCTTTAACTTTGAAGGATATTCTTTTTATTTATCTGTGAATATTATCTGCAACTCACCCCTGAGATTATTTTTCACTTGAATAAAACTACACCACACAAAAACCAATGATTGTTCTTTTTATCCCATACTCCCAACAATTAAATTCACAAATAGAATTGGTTGAAAAGTTGATCTATGCTAATGCTGATACAACTTTCGCTTCAATTTGGTCCCAATATATCGATGGGATGGTAACTGGAACATTTTAAGCCATGCAATAGGAACATGTCTATGGGAAAAATCCACTAACCCTGTCATTATAAATTCTTGTTATTGTTGTCAAGTGATAACTTAAATTCTGTGACATTTAAAATGAATTCAAAATATCAATAATGTCATCACAATATACATATGCATACAAATGCATAAGGTGGGATCAGAAAATGTGTTCGCAGTGGGGATCAAGTAGTCTGTCATACAAATACTGAGAAAACCTAAAATTGAACAAACTTCTATTCAGATTCTGTAAAAAGCTGATCTCTAATAGCGGAAGTCCCCCATGTAGTACAAGAAATCAAAAAAATTATTTTTGCAAGATAAGGCTTATAGGTCTCGCTCATACTGGAAGCCAGATGAAAACATGAAAATATTAACAAGTTGCAAAAATAGCTTGATCCCATAAAAGACAAATCTAATCCCAGCATGTGAAATACACTCGTTAAAATCAATTTACTCTTTCCTAGAGTGATAAATTCATCCTGTATTCAGATTAATACATCAGATTGGTTAATATTGAGTCTTTAACTTGCTATATATTTAACTAATTAAGATTACAACTTTACAAGCTTGTCTCATTCCATTCATATTACTCTGATGCTATTTACATATAAGTAAAACTGCATATAACATACCTTTTGAGGAATCATCATAACCAATTTGTTTAACTGTTTCTCTGACAACTTTCTGGTAATCTACCTTGGCTTTGCTGGAGATCTCTCCAAAGATCATTATCATTCCTGTCTTTGCAGCCGTTTCTACAAATAAGAATTCTCAAAGTATAATATTTCAATTTTAACCAATGCAAACATTTTCATCTTTTTTACATACTAGAGGATTGGGGTAGGTTGTATGAAGGCCATATTCATTGGTGTAACTACAACCAAGATTATGATTACAATTCAGTGAGCTCCCCAGGTGCTAAATCCTATTTTCCCATTTTGGACATATCTCACCATTTCATAACTAGGTGCCAACAAGCATGTTATTTCATCACAGTGCAGCACAGTTGCTTTAATGATGGGGAACAATTAGAAAATGCAATCAACTTCACTTCATCTACCTCATTCAATCTCTCAATTCACATGTAAATGCAATAAAGTTACAACTTACCACATGCTACCTTGGCATTGGGGTCCTGTGCTAAATGTGCATCAAGTACAGCATCACTAATCTGGTCACAAATTTTGTCTGAAAATACACACAATCATCAGAATTGCATTCATTTTTGAACAAAATACTTAATCATGTGCGTGCTGACCGATGAATCCGAGCTCATGTGAGCTTGGCATTAGCTGCATAAATGGCAAAAGTTTCCACTAACTTTGAAAATTCAACAATGAAAAATATCAAATATAAATAACTGTGCATGTTTAATAGATGAAAATACTTAAAATAGCAATACAATTAATTGTCTACAAGTGAATGTTTGGCTCATATTCAATTATGAATCTAGTTTCACAATATCCTGATGTGGTATGAATACATATACATGTACAGGTAACTATACATGTTAAGGTAAATGCAATTTCTGCACTCAACTGTACTTGTTAGGAAATGCCCCAAGGTTACACATCAATATACTTTACATGTTACAATACAAACATGATGCAATCAAAATCAAAAATATCCCTGTATTAGTCAATATTTCAACAACAGTTGTGAATGTAGCACTTTCAAAATTCATGATAACTGCTGAATCATCTTGTCCAAATTGGATTTCAATAGCATAATATATATACAGGGCATATAAAAAATAAAATTAGTACCTTGGGTACTGGGCTCACATGGTGTTGCTCAAAAGTGAAAATACAAAAAAACTGATATTAATTTTTGCCGATTTTTTGTAACATATCAATGTTCATATGTTCATATCACATGGTCATATCGATGTTAACTAAAATGGCTGAAAATAAAAAAAATGATATAATTTTTTGCTGATTTTTTGTAACAAAATTATTTCATACAACTACTCTTTTCATTGACATGGATTTTTACAATGCAGGACGCCTGAAATTATTTGTGAAGCTAGGAAATGGGTCAAAAGTGAATTTCGCGAGACAAAAATGGTGGCTATTTTGAAAATACCACTATTGTTGACGGACGGACAGACAGACAAGTGAGTGATTGCAAAAGCTCACCACGTTAGCTAATAATAAAAATTGCAGCAAGCAGTTATCTCGTAAAAGCACAAAACTAGTGATGACTACATCAATTTCATTTGATTTACCATGAAGCCACATCCCTTTGCAATGATACGCCATTCATTCACATGTAGTCACGGTTGGGTGAGAAATTGAAGATCAAAACATACAATATTGCAGAAATCCCCAATGGTGCCCCATGAACTGAAAGACTTATTTTTTGCAATTATCTTTATTATTTCCACTAGAGACCATTATATATCTATCTAATGTTATGCATCAAGATAACTGTTCAATGATAGATCAATGTTTTTCATCTAAAAGTCGTCAGAATAAGGAGAAATGTTAATAAAAAGAAGCAAAAGTTCACAACCATGACATGACCTTGAAAATCGCGAGTTGGTAAAATGTGAAAACAAAACTCTTAATTTGAGCATTTCCTTCATTCATTTTGGACTATTTGGTTAACATTACTTAAGAATTGTGTGAAAAGGACCCAATGATAAATATTTATCGGGAGGATGCATCGAATAACAATATATGTCATTTTAATCCCGTTTTAGTGTAAGCACTCTATTATCGCCCACTTGGTGTTCACTTTCACAATATTTTTCTTGAAGTTTGTGAAGAAATATGAAGGACGCAAAAAATTAGACGGGACTCAAATTTTTCAAATGGTTTGTGTCCCTGGGACTCAGAAATTTAAATGGCCAGCGTGAACACCGACTGTTGTGACTTTCTTTTGGAGGTATCTCGGAAGCATGGAGAGATAAGCGCATCTTTATGTGCAAATGTGCAATTTCGAGGGGTATAGGATGTAAGAGTATGAACACTTTACTGTCTATGTCATACCTGCTACACCTTCTTCCAATTGCCATTATGCCCCATGAACGGACTTCAGGAATGCCTAAAACTTGGCTACGAGCTGAATTTTACCGCACTTTGCGAATTTAATGATTATTCAGCCAGCCATAACTCCCTGTGAATGAATGATATTCCATTGCAAAGAGTAATTTGGCTTTTTGGTTCATTGAATGAAATTGATTTAGTCATCATTGGTTTTAGGTTTTCTTCCAATATTGCATTAGGCCACATATACAGACTTTCGCGATGTTTATAAATTGGTCCCAAGCTAATTTTGGGCCACTTTGCAAAAGGAATGATTACTCGCCCAACCAAAACTCAACAGACAAGAATTGTATGCAGTATGTTCAAACTTTGAAACCATGGGTATTGAAAGCTCTCATTTATCACAAGAAGTGTGATAAAGGCCTGATAAGTTTAAATATAGATCTAATAAAGTGTCATTTCAATATTCTCAGTCTATTCTTTCATATAATCTTGTCCTAGTCAAAGTCTATTGATAATGCAATGTTAAAGATAAAAAACGGTCATCATTAAATATCATGTGATATTATATCTGACAAGTACTTCACACATCCATATTGAAAACTTGCAGGACCCATGTTTATATAATTCAAAGAGACTATAATGAATCAATACTGATCTAGATTTTACCTGCCTTTTATTAATAGTATCCTGTACTTTTATCAATTCATCTTTGACATTACATTTTGATTAGACAAGGATAAGATTACAAAAAACGTGTAGATTTGATGAACCCCAGTGAACCGCCGGGTTACTTAGACTATACCCAGGGCTTGTAAATAAGGCTCAACAGGTTGAATATTTACAAATAATCATGATTCTCTCGAATTTTTTCGACTTTGTTTATTTTTAGATTTGAAACCATGACACGCCACCGTTTTTGCTATTCAGAAACAAATATTAGGTTATTCATGAAATAAAATGTATTCATTGTCGAATGAACGAACATGCATTTATTCAGTCCGTACTTCACGTTTACTTCCGTTTTAAACTCGGGGCAAGAAATCAAAAACTGCAAGGTGTTTTGGTAAAAAATGCTTTTAAAATAAAGTTATACCTCAAAACAGGCTAGAAATAGGAGACACACTTTTTTTTCAAAGGACACACTTTTTAAAAAAAATTGCGTCCTTGGGACTCACAAATTTTCTAACCTAATGCAAGCGCTGCTATACCACAACATGTAATATGCCATTGATAGTTCGGTATCTGGTCAACTCGGACCCTAGTTAACTCGGACCCTAGTCAACTTGGACCCTAGTTAACTCGGACCTTAGTTAACTCGGACCCTAGTCAACTCGGACCCTAGTTAACTTGGACCCAGTTATATTTAATATAAATCAGAGGTATTTTGCTTTGTTAGAGGTGAAAGCAATTAACTTTCAAAATATTAAGAATATTGGAATAGTTTAAGATATAATTCAATTATTTGCGTCATGTGGGATCAAATAACTCTTTATAATTAAATGAGAATGATTTTGAATGATTTTGATTCATTTTATATTGACTTTATATAGAATTGGAACTATACTATGTCTTTAAAAAATGAATTCAATTTAGCCTGTTGTGTATAATGCTGTTATAATAACTTTGACTAAGAAACCTAATTAACAAATCTTGTATCCTCTGATAAGTATTTAATTAGGGTGTTGAAGTGAACAAAATATAGAGGTATAACATTAATTCCAATATACTGTATTGGGAAATGTGTTAGCGCATTTGTGTTTTAAACAATTTTATTTCCAATTTCATTTTCTAAACATGTGTGTAAAATTACTTTCTGTTTTTCGAAAATACATGATTATTTCATTACACATTTTCAAATGTGGAAATACAATGATTAAATAATTTGGTGACCTTAGTAAAATATTCAATGAGTAGGGAATTTGAAATATATTTTGATTTAATAAATCAAAGAATTGCACATACAAGTTACAAAATTATCAAATATGATGTTATCATTTGATTTGAAACTTTAATCTTTTACTTTCATTATGAGAAATTCCTTAAAAATCATGGGCTTTCAATTGTTTACAAACATGTTTACCCCTTTTAACTTGGTTTGAAGAATTGAGGTCAACAACATTTAATTCACCCTTGAATTTCTAATTTATTGTTACATACTATTTGTTTGGAAGACAAATTAACTGGTTTCATGTAAAATCAAAATCTTGGTTATTTAATATTTATTCCTACCAGTATATGATTTCACAATCAGGCTGAATGGTTTATGATTGACTCAAAAGTGTCAGAATTATTTTTCACCATTATCAACCATTGTTCTATCTAACAATTATATATGATTAATGTTGTTTTTATATATACCTTATCATTTTAATGCTCAACTGAGAAAAATTTGAAAAATACATAGGTCCAAGTTGACTAGGGTCCGAGTTGACTAGGGTCCAAGTTAACTAGGGTCCAAGTTGACTAGGGTCCGAGTTAACTAGGGTCCGAGTTAACTAGGGTCCGAGTTGACTAGGAACCGATAGTTCTCTAGCTGATTATCTGATACATATGTTAAACAAGCTTGTTTCGTAAGATATTTGGAGCTAAAACATGTTTGATATATATCATTTTCTTCGTAAATTCGTTTATGTAAGAATAGAAACATTTATATTTATCCCAACTTTTGTATATTTCAGATAGTGATGTATAATATGCAGCAAAGCTGTGGCCTTTTGTAATTTAGGAAGTTTCAGCCATGTTAATTTTTCCAAAAATAACATGGCAGAGAAGTATCAAAATATAAGAGGACACAGATATGATAGCTAAACTACAAAACAAACTAAAATATACAAAAGTTAGGATGAATATAGCCTAAATGTTTCTACGCATTTTTACATAAACTGTTTGTTTCAATATGGTCATTTGATAGATTATTTTTCAAATTCAAAGTAGTCACAAACATTTCTGTTTTGACTGTAAACCTATTGCCTTTTACAATGCTTAACAGATTACTTCGGTCCAAAGCCTTCTCTATATTCCAGCTTTGAGTAGAAAGACTGAGCTGCCTTGGTATTGTAAATATTGTAAATCATTGTGTCGCACGCATAGTAAATACGGCATAATAATATGAAATATACCTCTATGTACATAGATTTGAGAAACATCAGCATACATCTCCGTCTAATATATTGTTATATTTGATTTCTTTAAGCGAGAATAATTTCAAAGTTTCCTCCATTTATTCAAGTCCTGAACCAGAAGCCATTTTTAGCTACAGCGAGAAAAGAAATTTTGAAATATCTAAATCCAGACAAGCAACGCTTCATCCTAATAAATATAATTAATATTCTTAAAAATATTTATAAATATTTAAAATGATTTCTAGGTGTGTGTAGCAATTTTTACATACGAAATACGAGTACATACGAAATCAATGAAGTTACATCTAGCTGTAAGCTTTTTTTCAGTCACACTTTCAAAGGGCTAAAAAGGTTATTTCATCATGTTTAGGGTCATTCTGACCATGCACATTGTGATCCTGGTCATGTAAATGATATGTGGAAATAGTTAAATTGACTGGAGGTCAAACCAGAACTCTGTTATCTTTATTCAAAAAATATCTAAAAATGCAAAAAAAATTGTCACTTCCTGTTTTGTCATTTCCTGTTAACTTCCATAGCACCTTAAGGTACAGCTGGAGAGTAACATTTTGGTAAAAAATTGCTATACCTGCACAGGTTATTTTCTAGTACAAAATAAAGTATGAAGGCATGTGTCATTTCCTTGCTTTTTTTAGGAAAGTATAATTACATTGTTTTCTTTTAGAATATCTGGTAGGAGTTCAATGGGAACTCCAAGAAATTCCGATATTTCACACTTTCTATTTTTCCAAATTTTCTTTCAAAGTTTTCAGGCAACACATGAACTACAATTGACCTGTTTCCAGGTTTACTAAAAATAGACAGTGTAATGTTCATTTCCTGAAAAAAGCAAGGAAATACACACATGAATTCATACTTAATTTTGTACCAGAAAATAACATGTGCAGGTACACCCTATGCAGACAGAGCCTGTGGGAAATATTGGGTGCGGCGCAAATGAGCGGAGGGTGCGGAGCTAACGGTCATTTTTGAATTTAAAATTGGGATATTTCTGAAACTAAGCCGTTTTGGGACTTCAAATATACCAAGATATGTGTATTTGACACCAAATATCAATACATTTGTGAAAATAGTAGCGCAATTCATTTTATAGCAAATTATTTTTGCATCTTGGAAGCCAGGCAGTATCTGCATGGGTAGTGTATCTTGAACACCATTTTTATGAATGCTGGGGACTCGGTATTAAAAGGATAATTTCAAAATATATAGGTCTGGGAAAGGTTTAAGGCACACTGCGTCGCTATGAAATGAATTGCGCCACTATTTTCACAATTTTATTGATATTTGGTGTCAAATACACATATCTTGGTATATTTGAAGTCCCAAAACGTTATCCCGTTCCAGGACTATAGTCCTGTACGGAGCCAATACATTTGCCTGTACGATTACAACTTGGGAGAATTATCTACGCCCCTTCCACTTAAGAAACCTACCTCAATGCATTCTAGAACTCAAAATGTAACTTCTAATATATTGGAACCGCCGATTGTCTGGGTTAGTTGGCAGAACGAGGTCTTTTTGTTTCTTATGGCTCTTTTGGTCGAAGTTCGATTAAGATGGCGGTTATAACGGAATTTCCCGAACTCTTCCGTAATAGCACGAACTTGGTTTTTCGTTACTTCACTTCCATGTAAAATGGATTTGTTTCCGGTAAGAAACATTGTTTAACCATTCGGTATACAGTTAAGAGCATAGGATGTCGACATGGCAGTAAATATTGAAAATATTGTCCGAAATTTTCGAAATTCCCTCTTACCCGAAACAAATCCATTTTACACGGAAGTGACGTAACGAAAAACCAAGTTCGTGCTATTACGGAAGAGTTCGGGAAATTCCGTTATAATCGCCATCTTAATCGAACTTCGACCAAAAGAGCCATAAGAAACAAAAAGACCTCGTTCTGCCAACTAACCCAGACAATCGGCGGTTCCAATATATTAGAAGTTACATTTTGAGTTGTAGAATGCATTGAGGTAGGTTTCTTAAGTGGAAGGGGTGTAGATAATTCTCCCAAGTTGTAATCGTACAGGCAAATGTATTGGCTCCGTACAGGACTATAGTCCGGGAACAGGATAACCAAAACGGCTTAGTTTCAGAAATATCCCAAATTTAAATTCAAAAATGACTGCTAGCTCCGCACCCTCCGCTCATTTGATCCGCACCAAATATTTCCCACAGGCTCTGTCTGCATAGGGTGAGGTATAGCAATTTTTTACCAAAATGTTACTTTCCAGCTGAAGCTTAACAGACAGTAGTACGAGAAAAATGCTCACACAAAATTCCTGAAAATTCTACAAAATATTCTTCAAACAAATAGACCGACCAAAACTGAAGGAGTGTTATATTTATGAACTGACTCAACAAAAACCGTGGCCAAAGGAAGGAAAAAATGTAATCCGAAATGGGCGATAATTTACTTCGGTCCAAAGCCTTCTCTATATTCCGGCTTTGAGGAGGAAGATTGAGCTGCCTTAGTATTATAAATATTGTAAATCATTGTGTCACACGCACAGTAAATATGGCATAATAATATGAAATATACCTTTATGTATAGATTTGAAGAACATCAGCTCACATGCCCGTCTGAATCTATTGTTATATTTGATTTCTTTAAGCGAGAATAATTTCAAATGTTATTCACGTCCAGAACCGGAAGCCATTTTTAGCTACAGCGAGAAAATTTCACCATGTGTCAAACTCCGAAATGAAATTTTGAAATATCTAAATCCAGACAAGCAACGCTTCATCCTAAATATGATTAATATTCTTTAAAATATTTATAAAATTTATTAAAAATGAGTTCTAGGTGCGTGTAGGTGCGTGTAGCACAGTACATACGAAATCAATGAAGTTTCGTCTAGCTGTAAGCTAGAGACTCGAGTAAGCGATAATAAGTCAAAATTCATTTGTAAAAAATATTAAGAACTTTTGTGTAGCCTACGATGTTCTTACCAGGATGGCCTTCTCCAACTGATTCCGAAGTGAAAAGGAATGTATCTACGCCATTGTCACCACTTTCATCTGGGCTGTCATCGCTATCTACGTGGTCAAACATGTCTCCCTGCATCGAATGATGATGTACTTTGCTTCCGGACATTGTTTTACGGCGATCGTCTCGTTTCGATATCTAATGGAAAAGAGACCGATTTAATCCAATATTGGTCTATATATAGTAAAACATTATCACGTGGTACAATCTATGCTCTTTGATTGGATAATTTTTATAAAAGCTCCTATTTGATTGGTTGATGAGTTTTTAAGAAGCGTGGACAAGTGCTTCTTCGAAAATATACATTTTCAGAACATTTTGTCATTCATTAGTCATATGAATCACACACAGAAATACAATGTATACAAGTATTGAAACTGGCGTCGTATTTTGATACCAGCATGCTGTATGTTTCCAGAATTCAAGTGGTTTTTGTTTCACAAAAATGACCAATGATAATTGATGTAAGAAAATAAAGTGAGACTACTCGATGTAAACAATAACACAACAGATTGACCGAAATGAAAATCCCCCTCCCCCCACTCTCTGTGACCAAGAAAAAATACTGTATATGGTACACTTACTCTATCGAGCTGACAGAAACTGTGTTCACAGTTATGGTATGCAGAGAGTGGGTGTTCATTTCAATCACTTCTACTATCTGTTCCCTGTGTTCCTGAACATTTTGTTGATCGACTACAAAATGGCAGAAGTTGGAAAAGAATGGTTATTCTTTCTGTCCGTTACAGTCTTATTTCTGACGGTATTTTACTTTGATAAAGGTGGGCATTTGCATTACAATATCTGGTGATGTAAACTGTTTTATAAGCAATTATAGCCAAGTTATTTGTTCACTTTTTCCCTTTTCGTCTTTTCTAGTCTACAGATGATGTGGCCATTTCACTGCTTCATTGCGTCAGTAGAACGGCAAAAATAAGAAATTAGGAGACCATTGTGCAATAATATATGGAAAAGAATATTCATAATGTACATGAATGACATTTGTATATTTCAGATTTTTTAGTCTTGTAACTTGAAGAATTTCAGCCATGTTATCTTATTGAAAATAACATGGCAGAGAAGCATCCAAATATAGGGTAAAGATTAAAAGGTGGATTGGATCGAGTGGATTGGATTCATGTAAAAGGTGGATTGGATTGGCTATCTTCAAAATATGGATTTTCCTATAAAAAAATTCTATTGATCTCCCTTTAGGAAGATTGGTGGTCTCTTCACTTGCACAATGTCAAATTATAGATGTAATATTATTTTGCTTGGGTGGGCTAGAAGGATGACCTGGTTCCCGCTTTCTCATACACGATCTTATTCATTCCAAGTGTAATTTGAGACATTTCATAAATCATAAGGCAGACTGGTTTGAAGATCCATAACATATGTTTTCAATCCAAACTGAACATACCAGAAATGTTTTGTGAACATTCACAAATTAATTTGAATGACAGGTTTTCTTTTTCTAAAGATCTATGTCTTACAAAAGTTGATTTACAAGGGAAAGCGTTTAAATACTTAAGAGTGTCCATGAACTAATTGGAGTATGTATTTGTCATTGCTTTGTTCTGATTTCTCAAAAGGGACCTGTAATACTGTAGAGGGAAATTGTTTAGAGGGAGATCAACAGGATTTTATTTATAAGAAATTCCACATTTTGAAGATTCCCGATCCAATCCACCTTTTACATGAATCCAATCCACTCGATCCAATCCACGTTTTAATCTCTACCAAATATAGAGGCTTAGATCTATCCCGTTCCCGGACTATGGTCTATAGTCCGGGAACGGGATAATAAGAGGCCACATACTTTATAAGCCAAACTTGAAGCAATCCAAGATATACAAATGTCATTCATGTAGGAATATATTTTTCCAAATATTATTGCAAAATGATATTTTGATTTCTTATTTTTTAGCTTTTACTGACGCAGTTAAACAATGAAATGGAAGCGAAGCAAAGCCATAGGCCCCCCATAACTAATAAAGATATAACCAGATAGAAGAAAGGAGCTTGAAAATGCTTTTTATTTGAAGCTTCTAGCTCAATTTTAATGAAGTTGCATCAATTTTTGTAAAATTCAAGATAAATCTTAATTTTTTGGCTTGTTTAAATGCCACAAATGCCACAATTTCCCTGACTCAAAATCCCCCCCCTGAAAGCTGGCTGCACAATGAAAGCTGTGGCCTTTTGTGATTGAGGGAGTTTCAGCCATGCTCATTTTCCAAAAGTAACATGGCAGAGAAGCATCAAAATGTAAGAGGCCACACATATGATAGCCAAACTACAAAACAAACCAAAATATACCAAAGTTTGACCTTGTACAAATGTTTCTATCAAAATGGTCCTTTGATTGCTTATTTTTTAGATTAAAATTCCTCAATGAAATTATGAATCAGACTTTGTATGATGAGAAAAATATCCCACAAATGAAAAGTGATATTGCTAGATTTATATGAAATGTATGGAGCATTTAATTGATTTTTGAGTTTGTTAAAAGCATGTGTGGTGTGATTATGCCATCGATTTACAGAGTCTGTCAAAAATATAAAGGGTTTCAGGCCCATAGCCAGGGGGGGTTCGGGGGGTTCAGGCGAACCCCCCCCCCTGGCCAAAATTTCTTTCAAAATCATGCAGTTTTTCACCATTCTGACTACTTTTTGAGTGATTTTTGGCCATATTTGCCAAAGTGAACCCCCCCTAGAATTTTTTAGAAAAACGAACCCCCCCTTGGAAAATTCTGGCTACGGGCCTGGGTTTTATGTACGTTTTTTTTTAAATCATGAATATTTCTCATTTTATAACTTTGTATACATCAGGTCATTTTACAATGGTACAATATTTATGAAAAATGATACTATTTCAATTTTTGAACATTATTACAAGAGTTTACAAATAAAATGTACCATAATTTGTTTAACCATTCATTAAAATAAATATAGTTATTGTCTTATACCTTATAGCCAAAGACAAGAGTTTTATACTTTTTCAAGCTTAATTCAATTTTAAAATGATCTAAAATATAATTTTCAAATTGGTCTATTACATTAAGTACTCTATGACATTGAAAGAACAAATGTTTATAGTCTTCTACTTGTACGCAAATATCACACTCATCATTAACACTTATTTTCCATCTTAGAAGTCATTGTTTGCATGGTAAAATGTAATGTAAAAGTTTTATGTAAGTGAAGTCTCAGGAAATAAATGTTCGTTTTGAAATTTTGTCAGGATTCTGCATCTCTGCAATTGAAATTGAAATCCGACTTCTATAGCGTTTTGAAATCTCAAAAAGAGATATGATGATATCTCAATGTTAAGTATGAATTGAAAAATTCCAGACACAGATTAGTTTCCAATGAAATTACTGATAGCCTACATAAGAAGAGAACCTCTTCAACTAACTTAATTCAACATTTGGACACATAGTCAGTATGCATTTATGATTTGGGTTTGCTAGATATAAGATTGTAAGATTAATTTTACCCATATTGCATAAAAGTTGCAGATTCAACAAGAATACTCTACAGGGCTGTAGAGTACAATAGTTGTAATTTGTTTAATATTTTGTATGTATCTTTTCAGATTTGAAACATTTGCTAAGATATGGCATATCTAGTCTGATAGCGCTAGGTTTCCTTACGTTGGTTATTAACTTTGTTCGGGGCAGACTAAAGCCATGTTTGGAGCATTCAACAAGTAAATCAAAGCCAGGTAAGGATTAAAAAAGTAGCATAAATAGCCTGTCTCAAAAAATTCAATACAAATATTGTAAAGCTGCTGCCTATCTGTCTAGTCTATCCAGACACATTGGTGGATCGAGGATGTGGGAGGAGGGGGGAGGGGCATGGGGTCCACCCCCCAGGATGGGCCAAGATGCCCTAAAATTTTGGAAGGCCCTGTTTAGTAGGCATTTTTGGGTATTGCTTGGCCTTTTTGGGCCCTTTTGATTATAATAGAGTTCGTTGGGATTTGCTACTCCGTGGAGTTGCCAATTTCTAGTTGAAACATATTTGCAGGAAAAATATTATATATACGTGTATGCTATATTACATTCTTTTCTATAATGTCTGGTACTTCAATTTGATTTGTCTCAAACATTTTTGCTTTTCATATTAAACAAAACTAATTTACATTTTTTTATAAATTGTGATAGCATGATTACACAGGTTGTTCAATAGTACTAAGTAAAGCTAATTTTAAAGCTTATTTGTAATATCCATAGGCCAAAGAATTGGTATCGATATGGTGAACTTTTTGAACACATGTTTCTCTTAAACCAGTCATCAAAGAATTCTGAAAATTTTACACATGGCCAATTTAATGTCCATCTTTTGAATGGTAACACTATAATTTGCTAATTTGAAATTTTTTTTCTCTATATTGTTTTAGAAAACACATCAGACATTTGTTTTGTTCTTGGTATCATATGTTCGGATGGAAATGAAACATATTTCCGAACAGGGCTCTCACCAGGAAATATTTAGGGTGTGGTGCTAACATCTTCAGAATAACCGTTCAATCGGGATAAATCATATTTATGTTATGTTTTATCCTTTTCACATGCTATAATATTCAGTCAAGTTTAGACTGTGGAAACAGTCATGATTTGCCAATAGGGTGTGGAGGGAGCTAAATAGAGTGTGGTGCTGCACCACAGTCTAAAAGCCTGTCGAGTGCCCTACCGAACCTCATTGGAACAAAATGGCATAAACACATCGTGTTTAGGTATCTTAATATTGTAATTGTAATTTTGATTGATTTAAAAAAAGTATCTTGTTAATGAAATAAGGGTTTATTTTAATTTTTATCAATTTTGGGGGTTTTTGTTTTAATTTTTTGAATACTTTTTGTTAAATCAACTAAAATTTCCTTTGTATAACTATAATATTGAGAGGTCTAAGAAAATGTTGTATATGCTATTTTGTTCCAACAAGGTTCGGAAAGACATTTTATTTCATTCTCAAGAATTGGTAGAAAGGAACAAAAAACAATTGCACTAAAAAACAAAAAATGTTAACAAAAACAGTTATATAAAATATATACATATATAAATAATCTTCGCATTAAATTGTTGTCAATCAGTCAATATTATACAAAGGACCGTCTTTTTTTACAGAATGTTTTCAATAATTGGTTTAAGAGAAAAACATTGTTGAATTCAGTTCACCATATCGATACCAATCCTTTACACAGGAGTAGCATGATACATTTTACTGACCGACCATCCTGAAAATTTGGTTATAACATGTTGATATTTCACACTGTAGCAGTTGTATAGTAACTCAAGTTGATATCATATAAAGAGTGACCATTTTTTTCTTTATAAATTGTGAGGTTATGATTTACTCCACTGAACCCAACTTCCAGCTACTATGAAAATCGCTACAGTGCGAAATATCAACATGTTTTAGTCACATCTTTAAGATGGTAAAGTGAAATATATTATGCTTCTCCAATGCAAAGGAGGGGGAGTTGTTTGTAGAATGAATCTGGGGAGTTTTTGCTAATGTTTTTCATCCAAAAAACATCAATACACTTTAAAACATTTTATTGACTATGAGATTGCACCATTTCCCAATTCCCAAAAAATGTTTCTTATTTTCAAGGATTATCTATAAGGATTAACTCTCAGGTATTTTCAATTTTATAGTCAGTAAAATGTCTTAAAGTGTATTGATGTTTTCTGGATGAAACCCATAAGGAAAATGCTCGAAAAAACTCCCCGATTCATTCTACAAACAACTCTCCTTCTTTGGGCTATATTGAATGACCTGTCCTGATATGACATTGATTTTTTGTAGAATCAAACCAAGAGTTATTAAAGGAAAAACAGAGAAATGCGAGACAGAAAATACAAGATGATCATATTGTTAAGGTGACATTTTTAATCAATCCTGAACTAAATAGATTGTTTATTTATACAATATTTATATCGGGCCATAAGAAGTAGATTCTTTGTTCTGTGTCCCCTTGCTTGCACAATTTTGAGTAAATCAGAAAAAACAAACTCATCCAAATAGCAATCACAAGGGTCTGAAAGTACCATCGCATTTTGTTCAATCAGAATCAGACAAAATGACGGATAGTTTGATGTGTGTCAAAATGGACAGTGTTATTGATTACTTTGGCATACATTGTGTATTTTCTTATTTTTACCCTTGAATAATAGCTATATGTTTAAATATATTGTATAAAATGTATAGCTGCATAGAAATTGGTATGTTATCCCCTTGAAATGTATACATTTCTCTGCAAACAAGTTTGTGTTTTTTCTTGAGTTTGTGTTTGTTTTCCTTGTACCCTCGCATGATTTGGATTTTGCCAGGACGCAAAACAAAGAATCTATTCCTTATGGCCTAAACATAGAATAATCCACTACAACATAAAAGGTATATATTGATAGGAATATACACACATTGATTTGCAGATATTATTGAAATTAGAGAATTTAACCAATGGCCTATTGGACTATTTTCAAAAAACAAACACACAATTATTCCATAGAAATACACTGGGAAATTCGGATATTGAGAAACAGTTGTTCATAGATGTACAGTAAAACCTGTCTAATCCGAACACCCATGGGACCAGCCAAAAGCGTTCAAATTGGCAGGTGTTCAAATTTCGAGGATATTGTTGGTCGGGGGGGGGGGATTTTCATTGTTCAGTCCACTATATTGAACACTTAATACTACAATAGGCCTATAGCCTACATGTATATGCTATGTTTTATTTACATTTTGAACAATTTCATTATTTTTGGAAAAATAACTCTTTAATTTTGGCAAAAACTTTGTAATAGTCTGAATAAGTATATGATAGTCTTGTACGAAATCTTATGCTTATTAAATGACTTATTTCATATTATGGTTACATAGCACTGCTTTACTTTAGCTTGAAAAAGTCGTTCATTGTTGTTTGTTTCTTGGCACTTTTAGCATTAGCAATATTTGAGTAGATACCCTCTTCAATTAAAAAGATTTTTTTTTCAAAATATCAAGGGCATTCAGTATGTCAGATGTGCCTTTTTAGAAGGCATTTTAGTGATAGGATATTAAGAAGTTGAATTTTTTCTCTTTCTCATGATATAATCTTGTCTGCAAATGTGTCTGTGTTGTCTTTGTGATTATAAAACATTTACTGATTGAATCCTAGCTATCATAACAGACCCATGGGATATAAAACAGTTAAGACTTGTTCATAATCCAAATCAAAAACATCCAGTTAATTAAAAAAAGGATAAACCAATTATCTCCCAGATTCTCACCTTTCTCTTAATCTAAATCAAAAACATCCAGGTAATTTCTAATAATGATAAAACAATTATAATCTTGTCTGCAAATGTGTCTGTGTTGTCTCTGTGATTATAAAACATTTACTGATTGAATCCTAGCTATCATAACAGACACATGGGATATAAAACAGTTAAGACTTGTTCATAATCCAAATCAAAAACATCCAGTTAATTTAAAATAAGGATAAACCAATTATCTTCTTGATTCACACCTTTCTCTTAATCCAAACATAAAACATTCAGTTCTTTTCTAATAAGATAAACCAATTAACTCCCGTATTCACACCTTTCCTGTTGTTTTCCACAAATTAGGGATGTCACTGAGACTAAATAAGTTAGTTAGGACAATATTGGTTCTTTGATTGCATTGCATATGTAAAGATATTAAGAACTATAACATTGACTCAATATGTGGCTATTATTGAACTGTCCAGACATTTGATTTCTGATAAAATGTTCAGATTAGACAGGTCAGTTTTTCAAATCTGATTGTTCACTGTTCAGATTAGGAGGTGTTCAGATTTCAAGGTTTTTTTAACATGGGAGTCAATGGGAGGAAAAAATGGGACCGAAAAAAAGTGTTCAAATTGGAAGGTGTTCGGATTACCCAGGTGTTCAGATATACAGGTTTTACTGTATTTAGAATTGAATTGAAAGGAGCACGTAGGTTATCGCAAACAATTTCAGAAGGTTATATCTTGGATTATGAGTATTTTCTGACAATGAAGACAGGTTTATCTTTTAGGTCAATTCATTAATTGAAAGAAAATTATATATATAGTAATAATAAAGTCAAACAAACTCGGAGATATTTAACTAGCAATCAACCCATCAATACACGTTTTCAAAGATGTTGACCCCATTTTCACCAAAAATGCAATCATTTTTTACAATGTTTAATGCATTACTATTCTTTATTTTGATGTATCAAATAGTTCTTGAAAGAAAAACTTAATTGCTTTAAGATAAGTGTTCCCCATGTTATTTCTCCATTGAAAAATATCATGCTATCCATTGGTATCAGAATCGTTTGAAATTGTTTGCGATAACTTACGTGCTCCTTTGTTCAAATCATTTATCGAGACATCCAAAGATCATCTCATTAGGAAATGATAGGTTCGTTCTATCTAATGTTTTTGCTTCGATGGGCGTTTCATTCAAACAAGGTATAAATAAGGGCAATAGGTGTTTCATTTTCAAACTCATATTTTATGTTTGTTTGAATAATTGAAGAGCTATCAGAAATAAATCTTGATTTTTATCTATGAAGCAACAAATCACCAGTCATGATTTAAGACATTCATTAAGACATTGTAGTGGCTCAAATCTTATTCCAGTTGATGTTTTCTATTAAAGGTGGGTCTGGCGGTCCTCGGGTCAGTCTTCTTCGGGCCTTCCCAAATTGCTTCTGGCCACAGATCGGGTCAGGCTGTTCTGTTAGTTTTCTTGTTTGAGTACACAAGTATACAATTGAAGAAATAGATGATATTGAATCAAGAATTTTGTTTAAATAATCATGACTGATGATTTGATGCTCCATGGATTGCTAATAAATTATTCACACATAGCTAAGCAAGGTGTGTCTATTCCAGCCAATCTGAACACAGTATTTCATATATAGAACAAGAGGAGGTCATCTCCATACAGGTTTACATTATAAGTGTGTGTCATCTTTGAACTCTGGGGTTAATCCCCCTCTTATATAGAACAGTGTGTGAAATAATCAATAACACATGCAATGTCGTATTTAACAACAATTGAAAAATGTCTTGTTGTCAAGTTGGCTGTTCTACTCACTCCCACCTCTTGCATTAATAAAATTATATTCAGAGGGAGAATATACATGATCCGGAACAGCCGTCAACAGAGTGAATTGATACTTTGCCAAATTGCCCTTGCAAAAAGTTTCCCTAAAAATATGTTCTTTTTGTGATTTTTATATATTTTAAGTGACATTGTAAAAAATACTTTGCAATGTGTGAAAAGAATTTAAGCCCAAGACGCAATGCATTGTGGCTGCTTCATTTCTCTCAGATGTTGTTTCCTAAACTTTACATTCCCACAGCGCAAAGATTTGGAAACAACATCTTCATGGAATGGTTCAACATACAATGCACCGAGTCCTTAAATAATTCATTGAAGTAGTGTTCCCTGAAAATCATGCTGATCCATGTCATGTACCATGCCAATAATTGACAATGACAGTAAGTTAATCAACCAATTGAAAACAGAGATCACAGCATTGTATTCTTCTATCACGCCTTACCATCGCGTAAGCAGACGTCACCGTACAGCGTCAAAAAATAGCGGAGTACAGTTTTCTGTACGGTAACGCAAATTAACTGCTTTGAAGCAAAAACTATGACAAGGGTTTAAAAAAATTAATTTGATGAAAACTAATACGATTTCATGTGAAATAAAAACAGCATTCTCTTAGAAATGGTTTTAACTTTCTGATTATGATAAACGTTTTACGAGCACTGTTCGGATTTTTTCTGAGTGAATCGGCCCACATAATCGACTAGAGTGAAAAAAGGTTGTTTTTTCACATTTTGTTTGGTTATTATTTTCCCTACCGTCTGAGAGTATGGATTATTTTTATGAGAATATGTATTTGTTACTTACACATAATCCATACTCTCAGACGACAGGGAAAATAATAACCAAACGAAAAGTGAAAAAAACACAATTTTTCTCTTGAGTCGATTATGTGGGCCGATCCAGTCAGAAAAAATCCGAGCACTGCTCGAAAAACTTTTATCATAATAAGAAAGTTAAAACCATTCCTAAGAGAATGCTGTTTTTATTACACCCGAAATCGTATTTATTTTCATCTAATTAATCTTTTTAAAACCCTCATTATAGTTTTTGCTTCAACTCAGTTAATTTTCGTCACCGTACAGAAAACTGTACTACTGTATTTTTTGACGCTGTACGGTGACGCCTGCTAACGCGATGGTTAGGCGTGTCTACATGTATGGAAAATGTTCACAGCCTATAAGATCAATTATATGATTATGAATTCACACATTTAAATACATACTTGCGTCAGGATTAGTCTAGAGCTTAACTTATCTGAAATTATAAAAAAATTTGACAATTTACTTAAAAGAGGTTAATTTGGTGATAATTTGGCATCAAAGCCATATAACCTCCACACAGGACTCCTGAGAGATGTGATGGCATCTTTGATTTCCTCTCTGTTTTGATTTTGAACTCATTCCACCATGAATAGTTACAAATAAATCAATATTTTTAAATTATTGTTACATTTGTAGATGATTTTATTGATTTATAGCCCAAATCAGTGATTGAACATTCATTTTATACGTGTACACTGAACAAATCAAACATGATCACCAGGGATCTGAGTGGCCAGTTTTTGCCCTATCACGCATGCTGATGGGAAACAAAAGAATTTAAGTCCATTGGCCAAATAGATAATATAAATGAGGAGTTTAGAGAAAAATAATCATTTTCAGTGAAAATACTATTACAGTTGATCGATAAAATATTATAGTCTGTATGTGTAAGAATTCTTTGTTGCGAAATGCAATATGGTGAATGTTTTTCTTCAAACAAAACTTGACTGCATGAAATTCAAATATCATATATTTCAGAGCTTAGCATATGAGGAGAGAATTCTCAAACCGAGAGAGGAAGCCAGAAGAATAAAGAAGGATAAACAGTTCTTCGAGTTTATGGGACCAGCTTGGAAAGGGAAAGGAGATAAGTTGGGAGTAAGTTTTTCTAATTATTATATAATTGCTAGAAATCTTATGATTTGATTGGATTTACCATGTGAGCAAAAATACCACAACATATTTCCCAACTCCCACAATAAAAGACTTATCGCTGGTGTATTGCCCACCCAGGAATGCAGACATTACTGCACTGGACGAAAATAAAAGTGTACTTTAAAATGATACTAAATATTCAAAGGCTAGAACAAACATTCTATATTTCTTTGAAATGCAAAGTGATCGTAGAGAATGTTTAGCAATGATATAATAAAACAAATATTACATTCTATGTTCGGGCAATACCTGTTGCACTTTCAATGATTTTGGAAAATTTCCCTCACCCTATATGCTGCGGGCAGTACATACTGCAAAAATCATTGAAAGATGAACAGGTATTGCCCTCCATAGAATGAAAAATATTTGCTTAATATGTATTTTTATCGCACTTTGAAAAAGTGCATATTGTTGGTATTAACCATCACCTTCAGGCCCGTAGCCAGGGGGCTCCGATGGGTTTGAGCGAATCCCCCCTCTGGCCAAAAATTCTTTCAAAATTATGCAGTTTTTGGCTCACACAGTGAGCTTATGGGATCGACCAGGCGTCCGTTCATCCGTTGGTCCATCCGCCAACATTGGCCGCACAAATTAAAACTGCTATTTGGATTGAGTCATATCCACATTCATTTTATGCATATCCATAATGCCTATTTGACCTATCATCGCCATTTCCCAAGTTTCCAAGAAATTGATGATTTTGAAGTCAAAAAGTTACATTTTCTGTAAATACTAGACACTTTGTTGAAGTAGAACTTTCAAATAACTGGTGGTAGTTGCTGTATATGCAACCTATGTCCTCTGAAGATTTCAAAACTCTTGGAATTTCAGTTTTTGGTGTTTACTCCATAAAATTTGACAAAAAGTAGAACTTTCTTTTCAGGAAACTTTCTCATGTATGAAGTCAATGGTAGGTTTTGTGATTGACAAGTTTCTCAAACTTTGCCTTATACTTGATCATTTCTTGCAATGAATTACATCATTACTAGATTTAAGCATTCCCTACATATTGCTCAATATATGTCAGCATCATATTTTTTACTGTTTTTGAGATATTTGACGTCGTAAACAGTAAAAATAAGTTATTTTTCAACTTGCTTCATTTTGACCAATTTTTTTTTGAAAATCATCTACAAGTTGCCAGGAGTTCAAATCTGAAGTTAGTTTTAGGATTTGACCTTTACTTGACCTCCAGTGACCTTCGAAAGGTAAAAAAGTTGATTTTGGATGTAAATTTTGGTCAGCTTAATCACAAAAGACCTTACTGAGCTCTGAATAAGTAAAATTCGTTGTTAAAAATTTAATCTTTGATAATCCAAATACAAGTTCACGGATTTGGTTCAAGTTCCATATGCTGATGCCTAGGGACAAGGGTGCTCTGCAAAGGAGAAATTTTCAAAATGGCCATCATTTTTCGTAAAATCGTAATCTTTGATAACTCAAATGCCAGTGGACCTGTTTGGCTCAAATTTTATATGCTGATACCAAAGGACTCGACTCGAAAATTCACTTCCGGTCTATCGTAATACAGATGAGGTGAAAGTTATCGTAAACAACTTTCAATCTTCAGGCTTAATATGGCTTTTCAAGGTTTTTGGACCTTCATGCATAGTTCGAAAATAGAATGATCAGAGAAGGTTTTAAATCATGGAATTGACTCTAAAGCCTGAAATAAAATGTAAAATGATCATATACACTGGTGATCCGCTCGATTACGCTGGTTACCGAAACAGTTCATTTTGATAACAAAATGTTGGAACATCGAAGGTAAGATTTTTCTTTTTTTACTTATTTCACGCGTTGTAGGCAGAATCCCAACGATGTTTTTTCTCCTGCATCATATTTTTAGAAAATGTACATGTTTGCGAAAAAATAGCTCAGAAGACAACAGAATCGTAGATTTTATTCCTCACTTAAGTTACATAAACGGTTTGGGTTAAAAGTGCAGATTTTAACTGTTTTTCAAAAAACCATCTATGTAACTTAAGTGAGGAATTAAATCGACAATTCTGTTGACTTCTGAACTATTTGTTCGCAAATATGTACATTTTCTTAAACATATGATACTGTTAAAAATGTCGTGGGAATTCTGCCTACAACGTGTGAAATAAGGAAAAAAGAAAAATCGTACCTTCGATGTTCCAACATTTTGTTACCAAAACGAACCGTTTCGGTAACCAGCATAATTGAGTGGATCACCAGTGATATAAACTTCTGAGTACATGTTCAATCCCAATCTTATGTTTTTCATTTAAACCAAATTGATGAATATTATTATTTGAAATTTTGGAAGTATATTCACAACATCTATCTGTTTCACATATATTCTGTGTTTTTCACCCTGACCCTCAGGGGCTGTGAATTATCAGTGTTAAGATTTAGGGACAAAAATTTATGTCATTTTGAAGTAAAGCTTTTTTTCTTTACAATGACGAGTTGAGAAATTTAAAAACATCCCACTTACTGAACTTTTAAACTTTTAAGGCATTTATTTTCAAAAAGCTTTACATTGGCGAAATTCCATTACATTCTTGGACTTAGATCAGAGATTATTTTGCGATTGAAAGTTGTGAACATTGATGGCATGGATTTTCAAAAAGCTTTACATTGGTCATATTCCTTTACATTCTTGTACTTAGATTATTTTACGATCTATAGAAGTGAAATTTTACAGCATGCATTTTTAAAAAGCTTTACATTGGCCATATTTCTTTACATTCTCGGACTTAGATTATTTTACGATCCATAGAAGTGAAATTTTATGGCATACATTTTCAAAAAGCTTTACATTGGCCATTTTCTTTTACATTCTTGGACTTAGAATATTTCACGAAGCAAAGTTGTGAACTTTTTTTGCAGGCATTTTCAAAAAGCTTTACATTGGCGAAATTCCATTACATTATTGGACTTAGATTATTTTGCGATTGAAAGTTGTGAACTTTTATAGCATGCATTTTCAAAAAGCTTTACATTGGCCATATTCCTTTACATTCTTGGACTTAGATTATTTTACGATCTATAGAAGTGAAATTTTATGGCATGCATTTTCCATTGATTATGGAGATTGATAACATGTTCTTTTATGCCAATATCAACATTTCATAGTATTTATAGACAATTTACTGCATACATGGATGGAGTAGACAACATTTTATAAAAAATTATGAAAAGCCTTGTATCCTCACCAAAATATACACTTATGCAGTTTTCAGAAATCATGAGCCTGTTTACATTTCTTAAACAAATATTTTTCAGAATAGTGCAATCAAACTCCATGATTTGGGGAATTTTGTAATCAAGTTCCATGAATTTTGGAAAAACGCAATCAAGTTTCATGATTTTGGAAATTGTAATCAGAATTCCATGGTTTTGTGTTTTAATGTTTTGTAGCAATTTTGTTTTTAAGAAAAAGAAAATCATATAAAGTGAACTTATCTCAAAAATTATTTTAATTTTACAAAATTGCCATACCTTAACTTAGTGTGTATAAGTATTTAAACCATTGACTGGTAAATGAATTAAATATTCTTTCTTATTATAACTTCCTACAATTTTCAATTTTATATCTGTATAAGTTCTTAGACCATTGATTATGGAGATTGATAATATGTTCTTTTATGCCAATATCAACATTTCATAGTATTTATAGACAATTTACTGCATACATCGATGGAGTAGACAATATTTTATAAAAAATTATGAAAAGCCTTGTACCATCATCAAAATATACACTAATGCAGTTTTCTGAAATCATGAGCCTGTTTACATTGCTTAAACAAATATTTTTCAGAATAGTGCAATCAAACTCCATGATTTTTGGAATTTTGTAATCAAGTTCCATGATTTTGGGAAAAACGCAATCAAGTTCCATGATTTTGGAAATTGTAATCAGAATTCCATGGTTTTGTGTTTTAATGTTTTGTAGCAATTTTGTTTTTAAGAAAAAAGAAATCATATAAAGTGAAGTTATATCAAAGATTATTTCAATTTTACACAATTGCCATATCTTGAAAAACATTTTAAATTAAGCAAATAGGTTTTATCTAACAACTGGCCTTAAACTGACCATAGAGAAAACACAAGCAATGTGGCTTGGTCAGAAAAAACACAAGCAATGTGGCTTGGTCAGAAAAAACACTCAAATGAAAAACCCTGAAGTATAATTATCCCACCGAACGAAGTGTTTCCCGAACGCAATGGGAAATACCATGAAGATTATTAAACTTCATTTACCTGAAAATGTTATGCTAAACTCTGCTATTAAAACTGCGGTCATTACAAAATTTGAAAGGTTTTACTTGAAATAAAGTAAATGCATGCACTTCAGAAAATTGATTGTAAGCTGCAAAAGAATGAACCAAAGATTTATTGAAATTGAAACAATTTTTGTTTTGCCTGCTCCCTTTATCTGACTCTCTCTTTAAATAAAAATGCATATTCACCTTCATTTTTTTCGAGTCATTTATCATCTGTGTTATGTTCTTTATTTTATTGATCTTCAAATATTGAGAAAATATTGAAAACTTGTTATATGTTTGCAACTTTAAATACCAAGTTTTCACTTTCAAAATTTCTTCAAAATGATTGATACATCAATATTACACATTACGTTTGGCACACTTGGTGGGAATAATTCATTTTCAAATATCAAGGAAAACCAGTATTTCATGGTAAATACCATAGAAAATTCCATGTTTTTTTATCATGAAATACCGGTAATTACCATGGAAAAGTTCATGATTTTTTACCATGAAAGGCCGGTATTTACCATGAAATACCGGTATTTACGATGGGAAACTGGTAATTACCATGACAAATCATGGAGACCATGGTTTTTTTCTTAAGGGCGATGTAAAAACATTTTAACAACATATTCAAGATAACATTTTAATGTGTTTGATAATTTATGAGAGTTTATTATGTATATAAACATGGTTAATTAAGCTCATTTTCTCAACTATTTATATTTGCCCTGGGTGCCTTCATTTCCGGTTACTATGGCAACCATTACTTATCTAATATTTCTTTATACCAAATATTTTTTAATAGATTAATAGAGTGTTCTATACTGCAGATTTCATGAAAATTTCATTGGAATATATTGAAAAATAAAAAAGAGAGATATTATGAGAACTTTATGATATACCCTCGTATATACCATTTTGTTTAGTGACTGAAAGCTCCATTGCACATGTGAATCATGTGATGTCAGGAATATGTGTTAATTTCTTTACAGTGTCAGGAGGAAATTCAAGATAGTGAAAAGCCTCATAAAGGAAAAAAAGATGGCAGCAGCAGAGATGCAGCTTGTGTTCGAAGGTTGCCTGATCACATTGAGAACCCCCCTACACCTCCTCAACAACCCAAACCTAAAACTATAAGAGTAAGTGAAACAAAAAATGACCATGTGAGTTGTCAATAGAGACAATATTCTCTCGGAATGTACTAAAAACCCTTCGACCCTTCGACCCTGCGACCTACGACTTACAGCGTGTCAAGAATTTTTGAAATATATTTTTATAAAAACCCTTCGACCTTCTAGATATTTCTCAGTCCATATGAAGTTGCTGGAAATATTACTTTGTGTATAGAACTTAAGAATCTGTCCCAAGAGAGTTAAAGATATTTAAGCTGGACTTCGATCGGAGCCGGCGATATGATTTTGGAAAGGTTTCTAAATGAAGAACGTGACGTCACTTCCGAATCATAGCATTCAAAATGAGTAGCGTTTAATTACTCCCACCATTCATAAATCACGGTGGTCTAGCGGTAGAATGCTCGCTTAGCACGCGGGAGGCCCGGGTTCGAATCCCGCATTCGTCTTTTTATTTTTTTAACTAAATGATTGTTCTTTGACATTACGCAGATAATTTTTTTTTTATTTACATAAATTTTATATTAGAGCTTGAAAATGTAAAAACAATATGCTGGGCTTTCAATAGCAGGGGGCGAGTGTCCGAAATCGCCGTTTGTTTTCGATAATTCGCCGTTTGTTAGAAGTCAAATATTGTCTAAGTTTTGGGGGAAAATATAAGTCTTCTATAGACTATCCTTTATTTTATTCAGCGATCTTGTTTTGCACTTCCTTGTCTATGATTTGTACCTCAGTTTCGAACTGCAATGGAACTCACTATAATCGTAAGGATCACTTGATCTCATTATAGTAGTAAACACCGTCCAATTTTGTACCTGTTTGGGCTATGGATTTTAGATCACTATCTGACCACTATCATGTGCATGATAATTCAAATTCCAACCTTTGGTATAATCAGAGTTGGTTATTTTTCACTGGACATGCAGTTACATGTATGATTGATACAACTCTGTCCAACCAGTCACAGTACAGTCTACCCTGCGTCAGTGCGTGCAGAGTCTAGTTAAACTACTGAAGACGAAGAAGCTCTCTTTTAAGAAGTGAAGTCAAACGAATGCAAAGGGTAAGTACAGTCCTTCCAATCGGTGTAAAATTGTATTAATCAGTTAAAGGCCCCATATAAAGTTTAAACCACTTTGGCTTATATTTTTGTCTTATCCAATGTTATCAAAGCGTGAAATGTGAAACTTTTTATTAATTTCAAAAATGTTTTTGAAGGACTTTTTGTTTAAAATATCGTGAATTTATTCAAAACTAACTTTAAGAGGTCACACTAATCCTTTAAAGCGATAATTCACACCGATGTATAGCAATCATCCTCACTTGTTCTTTTGCCGACAAAATCAAGAAAATTGGTTGATAGGTGAGCGAGCAATGAACTCATCCATGCATGAAAGTGGTTCAGGGAAAGATGCATTTCAAAATTTTAATTCTCATAGAAACCAATGGTAAACTAATATTAAAAACATATTCATCCTTTTAACCTGGTTAGACAGTCAAAATTGGTTTATTGTTTAGCATATTTAGAAAAGATTGACATTGAAAAATGTTGCCACCTAAGTGATGTCACGATGTGGTCACTTAGGTTGAAAATATTTTCGATATGCTCAATCATTAAATTGGCACATTAGATATAACATTTTATTTTTAACATGGTGTGTCCGTTATATATTGGTGTTAAAAAGATATAGAGGTTCTTATATGAGTACCTGTGCAAGATCGTCCATTCTTGATGAGATTTAATAATTCCTCTTTATCGAGTCGCAGACGAGATAAAGAAACATTATCAAAGCGACTGTCGGATAAATTATGAATGTAGTTTCGCACAGGTGTCTACGGAACCAAACAGTGAACCCCGCTTTCCCGAACCCGAGTTTCCAGAATTCGCCTCGCATGCCTTCGACTCTTTCTCAAGATTTGGGCCCTAATTTTCTCAAAATATATTGTACCCCGACATTATCATCCTGGTGTCTCGTTTATAACACCCTTGTAATTACAATGCGAAGTTACTTAAGCATGATAAAAAGTGTATGTGTGGATGGGGGGAGGAGGTTTGACCCCCACTTACCAAAAGCTGGGACATGTATACCTTTATATACTCAACCGGCCAAGTATTACTACGCCTTTGTACAAGCGACGCATTTTCACAGGTGCGTCTTTACAATGAAACACAATAACGAGAATTGCAACTTTAGGATCTTGAAAAAAGTTGCAATATTCTTCCTGGTTAGAATAGGTTTCCACGTACAACTAGAAACACTATATAAAATAACTATCTATACACCATCAATGCAAATATATGCTTTCTTCCATTCTGATACTCATGGCATCTTTCTGTTTCACCTGAAACACAGGGCTGAGAAGAAATGAGATGTCATGGCTTATCATGATGGCTTTCTTCAAGAATACATAATGCGGGCCCGGGAATGCGGGGTGCCACATTCATTGCAACACACCTTGCAACAATGTCTTATATGAGGGTAATTTCTTATATTGAGAAGTTTATCATCTATTGAAATTAAATACTTGTAGCTACAAAAAGCGAATTTGTTTGAGCAGTCCTAGCTCGACATATTGAAAACAATATTTACAACATGGTATTCTTAGTAGACTGTTCAATTTGGAATTTCGAAGTAGCCAAACATCAGCTTTCTAACAAAAATCATCATTAAAGGAATTTATCAAAGTCTTCCATGCAAATGAAGGTGTGAATTCACATTAACAAATTAAGATTAGATCCACAATATGTTATCAAATGGTTAAATGCGCAAAATGTGTAGATATGTTTTCCTTAATAATGTGTGAGGAGGCCTTTCAGGCAATTTTCGAAAACGTAGTGAGAACAAGTTTGGTGTAGAGGGGAGGGGGATATCTCCCACCTCGGTCTCTCTCTAATGCCTTGGCCACATATGCGCCGGGCGCCGGCCGATGATTAGTCATCGGCCGATTTCTAAATCAATTTCGACAATAATTATCTAATTCGGCAATTTTAGTTACAAAACATGAAGGTACATTATGTAAAATTTTGAAGACAATTGGTGCATATTTAACAAAATACGGCACCAGTCCTGTTACTTTTGGAACACCCTGTATGTCACCATTTCTGGCAATGTCTGGAGGCGGTAAAAACTAAAATGAATCTGATATACACATAATCACAAGTGAATCATCTATTAATACATCACTCTCATTTTAATAATGACAATTCTAGATTTTGATTTCTATTAAAAGTGTTCAATTCAACGGGTGCATTTGGATTTGTGAAATGCAACCTGTGTAAGGGTAAGTTATCTTATAAAAGGTAAATGACATTCTATATAAGTTGCCCTAGTCATTCCACAGTTCCAGGTGTTATTTTGTGGAGCCCATGTCTTGTCACATCACACGTGGAAATGACTTTGACAAACCTTGGACATCTTTCTTTCAGTCCATGGACTCTAAAATAACAAGAATTTGCATTGTCGGGAGCGTAAAATTGGTTATTTTGAATGCCGCCTCTTGTATTTTTCATCTGCCCCTTGTACACAAAGTTACTGAAACCACTGATATATGTCAACATATTGCGTTTTGGAGCGATGTGCAGGTTTAATGTATTCAAGCACATTCGAATGTGAACGTTTCTTACCTCCTCAGTAAATCGGTACTGAAGACTGTCCAGGGGTATTTGCTGGGGTACCGACAATTGTCGGCACTCTATCGTCACCTAGTAGTGCCAGATAGAGAACCGACAATTGTCGGTACGCAAGTGGCTGCTACGTGTTTTTGCTAGAGAGCCGACAATTTCATAAATAAATCCACTACTTTTACTTTCGAAATAACCTCATTACTGGTAGCCTAGTGGTTAGGGAGCACGACTCGAACGCATTCGGTCCCGAGTTCGAATCCCGGCAGGACCTACTTTTTTCTTTTGAGGGGGTGGGGAGGGCATAGTGCTTCTTTTGCAGTATGGAATCGTACAGGCATTAACTTGTAGTGAGCCATAATTTATTTCGACAAAAATTGAAGCTTACCCCCCATAGTGTTATATATCAAAATGCACCTGTCCATATAGGGGTTCGATTGACCTACATCAAATTATAGGGAGTCAGGTTACTTTTTGAGATATCAGCGTCCGTTTATTGTAACTTGCGTTTGCTACCACTTCCTCAATTCTGATATGACGGGCAAACGCGTAGTAAACATGCTCACGTTCGGAACTATTTTCACCTACATCGCTATTTTCGTAATTCAAATGTAAGTTGAACTCCTCTTTATTTTGATACCAATGAAATAGTGGCATACTAGGTACCCTAGAAGCCAACTATTGGTTATTTAGAATGATACCACAGGTTTTTAAATGGACTATACCTTTTGGCGGATGGATATGGAACCTCATACCATAAGCTTCAAATAAAAAACATTCTAGCTATTTTCTTCTTTCTAATGGGTAGCAAACGCCCCTTTCTACGCCTGATCGGCTCAGGAGAAATATCCTGTCTGTTTAGAATATATAGCTGTTTACTCTGCATTAATAGCTCTTTAACGTCTTACTTGTTCATGTTTTATTGGGTTTTCAACGTTTACTACCATTCCCCGTTCCCGGGCTACCAATTTTTGACTGTGTTTGGTAATCCCCGGGTAACCGGGGCTTTACTCGAGTCTCTAGCTTACAGCTAGACGGAACTTCATTGATTTCGTATGTACTCTAGCAAAGGTGCTACACGCACCTAGAACTCATTTTTAATAAATTTTATAAATATTTTTAAGAATATTAATCATATTTAGGATGAAGCGTTGCTTGCCTGGATTTAGATATTTCAAAATTTCATTTCGGAGTTTGAAACATGATGAAATTTTCTCGCTGTAGCTAAAAATGGCTTCCGGTTCTGGACGTGAATAAAATTTGAAATTATTCTCGCTTAAAGAAATCAAATATAACAATAGATTCAGACGGGGATGTGAGCTGATGTTCTTCAAATCTATACATAAAGGTATATTTCATATTATTATGCCATATTTACCGTGCGTGTGACACAATGATTTACAATATTTATAATACTAAGGCAGCTCAATCTTCCTCCTCAAAGCCGGAATATAGAGAAGGCTTTGGACCGAAGTAACCGGGGCTAATGCCCTCCCCGGGTTTTGCACTTGTTCCCAAAATATCCGTATGATATCTGAAATATCCCCCCGCGCATTGCGCATGCGCCAGAAAATTCGAAAATCAATATTTGTCGGTCCTCTAGCGTGTAAACACAGCATATCTCCCGTACCGACAATTTATTTGTCGGTCCTCTAGCGTGCCACCACATCAGAGTCTAGAGTACCGACAATTGTCGGTACTCTAGCCTTTACGATATTTATTAGACATAGACATGAAACATTTCAGAACTAGATAACAGCAACGCGAGGTGGAGCAAATCCCATCGAACTTTTGATCTCAAAATTGTACAACTACTTTTCAAGTTTTAGTAAAAAGTAAAATAAGACGAAAAATTTCGAACGCAATGCGTGACATATACGTAATTCGCGTGAAAAGTCCGAACGAAATGCGTACGTTTTTTTTTCGGCGTTCGTATTTTTGCTGTGTAGACGAACTTTTTTAGAAATTTTTCTACTGAAACATTTTTGCTTGACAATTACCAGGTAAAATGCGTATTTGCGTGCACAGGGAGCTCAAGTTGAAACTATACGTAATCATTTAGTAAACTGGACTGGGAAATCAGAGGTCGAAGGGTTTTTCAATAAAATATATTCCAAAAAGTCTTGACACCCAGTAAGTCGTAGGGTCGAAGGGTCGTAGGTCGAAGGGTTTTTAGTACATTCCTATTCTCTCTAATGAGGGCAGTGAGGTTCTGAATTGAAAAGCCCACGTAGGTAATTGGAAACAATTTCAGACAGTTATATCTTGGATAGTGTTTTTCTAAAGGCAAAATACATCACACCAACAGGTTCTACATTTTGACCAGTCTATACCAAACCTTATTGGACATTTGGACCTGTAACTCAGTTTAATCACCCCCCACATAGTGTGGGGCCATATTGTCGGCCTAGGCATGTCCATCCGTCTGTCCATTCATCCTTCCGTGTCGGTGTGCAGGTGTCGCTTAAATTGGCCAAACATGGGTCACAGTGGTTTGATATGGCACATAGGTGAGGTATACCACATGGCTAAGAATAAAATAAATACCAAATAAGAAGAACAAAGAGTTATAAGAATAAAGATATTCTCAAGTTATACAAGCAGCAACCTAAAGCAGCCATCCGTACGTCCTGCAGTTTTCTCCAAGACCGCTTCAGATATCACCTTCAAATTTTCAGGGACAACTTATGAGTGCATACAGATGTGGATGAAAACATTTTAACTCGATACCTACTCCCTGTCGGCCATTTTGAAGTCAAATGGTAAAATCCTTGTCTGCAAACTTTAAAGAAAAACTGCTGCACAGTTGCTTTTAAAACTTTAACATCTTGTTCAGCTCACTTCATTCTGCATGAAGTGAAATCTTCATTTTGAATGTCTTAAAAAAAGTTAGAAAGCAATAATACTTTGTATCATATTAGAATGGTGTTTTTGAGTTTTCATAGTTTAACTATTTAGTAGCTTTATAAATGATTTCAGGTGTCTTTTGTTGTTAAAGCCTATGTTACTGTTAACAGTAGTTGCATGCGATAATTTTGTAAAAGGTAATTGTCAAGTCAGCTATTTTAGATTTTCCTTCCTAAAATCTTAATTGTAAAGTCTTGTCTACGCATTTTCAGGATAACCATTTGACAGATCAATTTCAAATTTCAGGGATGATTCGTATTTCGTAGTATGAATATCAAGAACTGATCACTTTTTCAGCATTCTGGGTAAATTTTAAGGTCACCATTTTGGATTTTCCGTCCTTAAAATGTGTCTGTAAAGTCTTGTCTACTCATTTTCTGGATAACCATTTGACGAATGGATTTCAAATTTTCAGGAATGATATATGATATGAAAATCTAGATCTGATAAGCTTTTCAGCATTATGGTTAAATGTTGGTAAAAGGTATATATAATATAATAATAATATAATATAAGGTACATGTAGCAATTTTGGATTTTCCCTCATAAAATCTTGTTTGTAAAGTCTTGTCTATGGGTTTTCAGGTTAAACGTTTGAGGGATCAATTTTAAATTTTCAGGGATGATTCTTAGTATGAAATTCTTGAACTGATTAGTTTTTCCGCATTCTGGGTAAATTTTAGGGTTGCCAGTTTGGATTCTCCGTCCTTAAATCTTCCCTGTAAAATCTTGTCTACATTTTTCTTGGCGAACCAGTTGACAGATCAATTTCAAATTTTCAGGAATGATTCTTTGTATGAAAATCTCGAACTACTTAGTTTTTGGGCAGTCCAAGTAAATTTTGGGATTTTTGTCTTAAAATCATGTCTTTTCAACTGATTTAGTGCTCCGAATTCAGGATGAATAATTCGGGTGTCTCAAAAAAATGTACCCAAAAGTATATCAAGAGCAAAGATAAACAAATCAATATTTTCAGACATTTTTTGCATGGTCATGTAGCCAAAACATGAAAGTTTTCTCCCCAATACACCATTTTTATTTCAGTCTTGTCTTTTTAATGCTTTAACTCTTTCCCGTTTACACCACATAATCGATGTGACCTCATATTTCGATGACAGCCTGTATCCTTACTGCTACATTGTTCATCACATTTGATAATAATTCCGGTTGAATGTTTTGGATTTCGCTTTGGATGTTGCCCTTAAGTTGTTCTAGATCTTTTTGCTTGGAATGAGCATTAAACACTCCTTCAAATAGCCACAGAGAAAGATGTTTGAGGATGACAATGGCAGAACAAACAAAGATAATCAGGTCAATTATCGGCAAATGATTCAGGAGTTACCTTCCAGAGTTAGGCAGGCTAGCTTTGAGTGGTCTCAAATTGATACACACAACAAAAGATACACTAGAATCCCAACCAATGCAGTTTCTTGAACCTCTGACCTGAATGTATAAGGGGGCTATAAGACATTGTTGGCGCCTCCCTATTCACCATATTGGACGGCCCATACTTTTTTCTCTAAGGCTATTTGAAGGACCATTTTTATGCTAAACCCAAGTTAAGAGACCAAGAACAACTTACGACCAGCACCCGAACAGAAATCAAAACATTCCACCAGAAATATCAAATGTGATTAACAATGTAGTAGTAAGGATGCAGACTGTCATCGAAATATGAGGTTACATTGAATATGTGGTGTAAAAGGTAACGGGTTAAAGTATCAAAAAGGCAAAACTGAATTAAAAACTGTGTATAGGGGAAAAAACTTTCATCTTTTATCTACAAGACCATGCAAAAAATTTCTGAAAATATTGATCGGTTTGTCTATGGTGTTGATATACTTTTGGGTACATTTTTTTGAGACACCCTATATAGTTGGTGGGGACATTGGTGGGGACATGTTGTACACATGCAAAATCATGGAAACTACCAATTCATATGAAATCAAAATGGAAACGGGGAGGCGGTCCTCTTTTAAACCATATATAAAAATTAATTTTATCTTATGTAAATATACATGATGTCCCATTGTAAGGCCTACAATATGATAGGAAAAGCCCAAATAGCTTGTACCACCTTCAACCACCTTTCAAAAAATAAAGGTTTGTTTCTACACAAAAGTTTTCATGTATGTCTTAGGGTGATGGGTGGATCTACACTTTTTGTTCTCCTGAAGAAAATTCTAATATGACTCTGCCTCCCACTTCATCCATTAAGCAAGGGAAATATATGGCACTTGCAAGCAATTCTACAGTAGATGAGGGTGATAATTAGACCCACACTTTATGTTTTTATGTTTCAGAAAATTGTTTTACCAGATGAGCCAGAAGTAGGGGCCCCAGGAAGTGTCAACATAGCTTTTAGGACACCATTTGGACGGGTCTTTAAACGGCGCTTCTTGTACAGTGAAAAAATACAAGTGAGACTTAATTCTATTGATATAATTAATACAATCTGTTTCAGTCATTTTGAAACTAAGCTAATCTATGTAGTACAGGAAATTATTTTACTGATTCGATGAGTTATATTTACTATAGGAGTGTAATAAAATCCCTGCACCTTGGACCAGTGACATACTGGGTGTCCAGGAAATTTTAGAGAAATGGACGAAAAAAGTACCTATGAAAATTAGATGATGGTTTGAAAAACAGGGAGAAATGAGAACGAGGAATTTATCTATGAAAACCAGTCCTGAAGAATATCACAAATACAAAATACCCTCTTGCAAAGGAAGCTGTCTATATTTACCATCACTAACTCTAATGCACCATAATAACTAGTCAAATTTAGTCAAAATTTATATAACTAGGACTATGCATTTCAAAAGTCCTTATTCTCGGGATAAAGAACTTTACAAGAATCGCATCCCATGGGAAATACTGTGTGTCCAGTTCCTGACTCTCCTTGGATGGGGGTCTCATGTAAACCTTTGAATGATGCTTTAAGCAACATGGTACCATGAAATTGCTTTCTATACATTCATATAAAATATTAAGGGGGCAGGTACAGTAATGATCTCTTTTATTTACTGATAGTGTGTAAATATATGCACAGCTCATTTACACTGTTAGAGTTTAAACAGGTAAAAAGGTGAAAAAGTAGGTACCTTAATTTCGAGTTCCATTGAATTTGGACATTTTGGTACCTTAAATCTTTTAATTCATCAGACACTCAATACATTCCAGGCCATAAGTTAAGGTGCATGTCACAGGTTGGAGGGTTTATCATAGCCTCCTTAACATAGCTGTCTTATTCTACTATATAGAGCTCTAACTAATGTACATGATTTCTGTTCCAGATATTATTGGATTTCATGGCAACCCTTGGTTTCCCTGAGAGGGTCTATATGTTAAGCAGCTCATACCCAAGACATTGCATATCAAGTGACCCAGATAAAACTGTCTTAGAACTAGAGCTAACCAAGGACTTGGCTTTAAACATAGATGAAAGAGATGACTAGTAATGGAAAGATTAAGTTGAAGGGCCAACTATTTAAACAGCTGTTACCAATAAGAATCACATACATGTACTTTGACTTTCTGCTTGAGAATGATGCAATTGGCTGAACCTTTGATATCTTTTGGGGACTGTCACATGGGAAAGTCCATGTGACATCATGAATCATGTGATTGACAACCTGGATAGACAGGTAAACTTAATAGAGAGGTTAAGTTACACGTTCAATTGCAAACCGTGAACGCTCAAGTACACGTTTAAGAAAATTTTCTGTTAAGCTACACGTCTGAAACCATGTCAGTGGACGTGAAGATTTATGTGGTGACAGTCACTAAGGGTCATGGCTCTATGGTGTAATGGTTAGCACTTAGATCTCATATCCGTCAGGACTGGGCTTAAATCCAGTCAGTAGAATACATTTTTGTCTTTTATTTTTACTTTATTTCATATTGAACCAAAATTCAATTACTTTAGTATCACTTTTTGCTCATATCAAGGGCGGCAGTAATAAGAAAGAAAATGCCTCATTCGCAAATCAAATGTACTGATAATACAATAGTAGGCCCTGGTTGTCATTTCATTCTGTTTAGTATATATACTGTACTAAGCCCCAGGTATTAAACTAGCCCTGCATATTTATATTGTACGGATTGAAACAAAACGATCACATTTGAAGTTGTCATTTATCCATTAAAATGTATTCTTATTTCCTATTAAGGATTGGGGTTTACCAATATAACAAGCAAGATTATCTGTATCAAATATTGGCTCCTGGGCCATCCTAGAACATACTTAAAATCATTCATGTAATGAGCGACTTGTGATAGCTCATCTATATGTAAAAACCTGTAACTTTCACACTTACCTGTAGAATCTAGACTAATCTGACATCATTTATCTGCGTGTACATTGAAGTTCACATTCAAGTTTTGTTAAAGCGGGTATATGGACTGTGGAGAGAAAAACTGAAAATTTTTACCTATTATGAGCTATCGGGGTGAAGTTTGGTCTAACAACTTCTTCCTTATTCCTATTTTATAAAAATGTATGCATGTGGCAATATTCATCAACCAGTAGAACTGGCAAATCGTTTAGAATCTACAATTCTATACAAGGAGTCCCAGATTCATAGATTTTTCAAATTCTTTCCAAGTCAACGTCGAAACACCTATCGGGTGAAATTGAAACTAATTTTTCTTGCTGCTCGAATCGATAGAATCTCTGATAGTGTGAGTCTTTTTATGAAAATGTTTCTTACAGAAATCACTTAACGATTATAAGAAAGCATTAAAAGTTGAATCTAAAGCGTAATCTGAAATAAAAGTGAAAAAACATTGTGCGGACGTTAGAGAACAAACTTCCGGTTTAATAAAAAATGGCGGAGACGAAGGAGAAGCAGCAGACGAAGAATCAGAGGATTTTCTTTTGCCATTATCGATCGATATAAGGTATGTGCACAAATTCTAGTTGCATACATGGAAAATAGATACATTTTTAAAGGCTATAACATATTCAAAGCTTTCATTTTACGATAGGCCCAGGATCACTGGATACGACTCGGCAGTCTTTATACCCACTTTAAATATGTGTAGCTAACCTCTCTAATGATGGGTCCAGGAAACTGGGCATGAAAGTCATGGCTGTGATGCCATATATGCAATGTTGATGTGAGAGAGTCAGTTTGCTCTGTAGCTCCAGTTGTAGAGCACTCAACGTCTAATTTAATTGGGAAGTTATAGGTTTGATTCACACCAAGGCCTTTCAAAATGAAATATTTGTTTAATGTACAGACAATAATGAAATTCAGTGTAAGATTTTGTTCCTTGAGCATGTGAAACATTAAAGCATACTCCAATTTCAATGACCCAACTAAATTCTGTATTCATCTTTAATCTGGCAAGTGTTTTAATTAAGCAAATTTGCAAATCAAAAATCGACAATTTAAATAGTCATAGAAATCCCCAGGTTTCCGCTGGAATTTGACCTCTTTTATAGCACTTTGGAAAATATATTGATGTCATCTTGTGCTGATGGGTGGGCAGGTGCAACATAAATCAAATCTTGTCATCAAATCTCCAGGTTAACTGTTTACCTGTTAAACTGGAAATTGTAACAGATGGAAGAGCAGAATTAGTGCCAAGATCCAATTAGGTTCTGGGCATCCTGGGTAAATTACTTGGTAGCAATTTTGAATTTTTCCATAAATCTTGTCATCTAATCTTATTAGTTCAACTTGAAATAAACAGATGCAAGAGTAGACTAGTGCCAAGATCTGATTAGGTTTTTAGTATGCTCCAAATTGACCAAATCATCATCTACAATCATCTATAATCATCTACAAGTTCTTAATAGTTCACATCTGACCTTAGATTTGAGATTAATGAACTTTGCTTGACCTTATGTGACTTTCGAAAGGTCAAAAAAGGTTAAAAACAATTTTAAATTGATTTTTTGGATTCATATTTAGACCAGCTTAATCTCAAAAGATCAACTGAGGTCTGAAAAGTGAAATTTTCAAGATCAAAGGTCAAGGACATCAAACTAGGGCACAAATGATGTAAAGTTTCTCAAAGTTGGAGACTACAAATCAATTTTTGTCATCAAAATTCCAAGAAAACCATTAACTTGTTCAACTTGAAAAGGTCCATTTGCAGTATGGCAAGTGATTTTAGACAGTCATATCTTTCACCATGAGTATTTTCTGGGTATAAATACAGTGGTTTTTATGAAAACAATATGTTTTATTTAAAGTGACATTCCCATAATAGTAAAATAGCAATCCCACTCTCTGAAAAATTAAGGATAAGAACCCAACCTTGTCACTTTTTTAAAAATATAAGGCTTATTTTCTAAAAAGAGGATCTTGTTTTTCTCAATTTAAATTTATCAACTGTTTCTTCTACACTATATTAATAACTTCTGAAAAGGGGATGGGATTGGATGCGATAAAGTTAACAAAAACCACATTTCCCATGTTATTTTCCCATAGGGAAAACTCATGCTATCCATTGTTTTCAGCATGATTTTGGTCATCGAAAATTGATACCTTCAAAACTAGACTTTCAATACCATTCTACTTTTGAAGATGTTTTAGACCCCTTGTTGAATATTGTGTCCATGCAATAAAAATCTCAAAAAAGATCCTCTTTCGAGCAAATAAGTTCAACATTTTAAAAAAATTGTTGACGTGGGGTCCCTATTTATAATTTTTCGAATTGTTCGCTTGATATTTTTTATCATCATGGGGACTTCACTTGAAAGAAAACATATTATTTTAATAAAAACCACTGTATTTATGCCCAGAAAGTACTCATGGTGAAAGATATGACCGTCTAAATATTTGATATGCAAATGAAAAATACTTTATTTGTGTTGGTATTGAATTGAATTGAAATATTATTAAAAAGGATCTTCTTAATTTCTTTTATAATTTTTTTTATTTATGTCAAACCATTTCCAACAGAAGGAAATGGTGAACATGTATTGTGAAACACCTATGATCCATGGTTCCTTCTTATGCTTTGGACTCTCTCCAAATGTTCAATATACAACTGTCTTTATTTGATTGTACGTCATGTCTTCATGAATTCAAACATAATTGTCTAGCAGAATAGATGCTTGACACCAGGGGGTGCATAAATAATGTAACAATGCATTCATTGCTCATATGCATCCATGTTCAAACAAGGAGATGTGTTGTTCATAGGTAGCCAATGCTTAAATTAAACGCTATGGTTGAATTTAATTTAACCCTAGAAGCCTTAATGTAAAAAAGTCACACAAAGCCCTAAGGGGGGGGGGGGGTCAAAGGGGAAAAACATGTGTGGTAGAATTAGGTCTAGCATTTTCTATTTTGTCTACTGGAGCTGATGTTTACTTCATAATCAATCAATTACCTCCTTTGTACAATTCTGCTGATTTTTCTAAATAGTGTTTCTATCTGTAGCTCCAGCTACTGAGAATTTGAAGTTCCTACCTGATGCCTATAAAAAATTTCAGAGAAAAAAACTTCTCGGGTTAAGTTTTGTGCATATATTTTTCACTGGTGCTATCTGAAGTCACCACTACACTGTACTATACTGTTTAAAATGATTTTAGATAAATGCAGAAACTCTGTATCAAAGAAAGAATGCCTCATTAATGTAAGTCACATGGGTACATAGCCATTGATATATATTGCAGTCAATGGTGGCAGCAAATGCTTCTGGAAACATTAGCCCAGTGGTGCTATTTGGCTATTATATTAGTCATCAGTTATGCTCTTGGTTGTGGATGGTCATGTTATAAATTCAGGGAGTGTATGCTAGGGTGAAATGCTATGATGGAGTTGGTTTAAATTTTATACACATTCTTCACTGGTGCTATCTGCAGTCACTTCTACACTGGACTATACTGTTTCACCCATTGATATACACTGGTAGGTAATGCCCAGGTGCAATGATTTAAGTCTATAGAAAATAAAATGTATTTTTTATCGTACATAAATAAAGGCCCGATATTGTTGTCATCAGCTTGACGGGCCGGCGACGTCTCACTTTCTTGTCATCACGATTTCAGGAAAACCACTTGACGGATTTATTTCAAATTTTCACACATGTTACATAGTAAGAAGTTCTAGAGCTGATTAACTTTTCGATAGCCATCTTGCATTCTGTTGGCCATTTTGGAAGTTCTTAGATAAATCTTGTCATCACGATTTCAGGAAAGCCACTTCACAGATTTATTTCAAATTTTTAAACATGTTACATGCTAAGAATTTCTAGAACCGATTAACTTTTCGGCGGCCATCTTGCTTTCTGGGTCATCAAGCCCACACTGCTATGTTTTGGGTACGATATTGTTCACCCTGTGCCTTGTTTGTTATTGTTATAAATAAGTTTTAACATAACATATGATTTTGTTGATTTGTATCATGTGCAGACTTTTATTCCAAACATCTGTACTTAGACCTCTTTACAGTTTTTCATTCAATAAAAAATATGCTTATATTTTTAAATATACATTTCATGTTTGTTATGTGTTCATTACATGACCAGCTTGTAACCAGTAGGTCCACTGATGCAATAGTCTCTGAATGTCATAGGAGTATACAACATCCATTTGATTTAAATAGATGTAATCCAAAAATGTCACTTGCAAAATACATCACCATTATGCATAATTATTATAGTGCCATATAAATATATTTATTTGGTGCATAAAATCAATCGTCAGTTAGTCCTGGAACAAGTCCATATTCCTGCTCTATTCCTCCCAGACAGCCTGGTGAGAGTGGAGTTAAACAGCATTGGTCTTAATGCAAGACTACATTCTTTATTTACAAATACATTGCACAATTAATGTCATGATTATGTTGCTCCTTACAACTTAAATGACTTCACAATATAATACCGTTATGGGTTTGAATCATAAAAAATATGTAATTCTTTATTAAATGCAACTTTGATATATTTAAGTATAGACAGAGAATTCAGCTTTCCAGTTCTATGTATTTGAGACATACAAAGCACACAGAGCTGTCAAAAACTTAGGTATGAATAAATTGTTCTCATACTGCAATGGTAATTCACCCTTCAATGCTTTCAAGACCGCCAATAATGATCCAAACTAATGGCCCTTTGCCTATTTTTCCGCTATACTCTGATCTAGTCTCCGTTTAGGAGGGATAGCAGCTTGGAAGGTCTCATTTAAGAATTTATGGTATGACACTTTTCCAGTCATTTCCTCATCAAAGCTTTGCATTACTTGATATACATCATCTTCATCAAGTATAATGTTACATAGTTTCAGTACAGATCTGAACTCAGGCACTGAGAGATAGCCACTGTTTATCTTGTCTAGTTTCTTGAAGGCTCGCCTTAGATTCTTCCAGTCTCCAGATAGCTGAAAACACAAAAATTAAGAAAAATATGATATAGTAATCAATAGAACTAGTCTTGCACCATGGAAATAGATAATAGGAGGGGTGCAGGAGTTGGCATGATCATGGAGATGACATGAACGTTTTAGTAATCAAGGCTAATTTAACATCTTCAAGAAATGTTTTGTAAAAAAAATTCATAAATATTTAAAAAGTTAGGAATGACTTACGAATTCGTAAAGTTACGAATCGGCCATTAACAGAACACTTTCGTTAGTCATTCATAAGTTTTATCGTTCATAAACGAATTTCAAATTGTGACGTCATCTTATATCATTATTTAGCACAAATAAAAATATGATGTCATTTGATATCATTGCGTGCTGTGATTAAACCTATCTCCGCGATTTCAAAGATTCCCAGCTCAGGAACATATTTGCTTATCATGTAAGAATAGGTGGATATTTTAGCTTGAAACTTAGCATGCATATAAAGACCAATTTCTTTTTGCCAACCTGTATACCTTACATAAGAAATGGATGAGAAATATGCCATTCGCAAAGTTATGAAAGGGTCTGAGGTGCTATTAAAGTTACGAACGAAAGCATACGTGACATCATTTTTTCGTAACTTTGCGAATCGTTCGTAACTTTACGAAAGTTTTGTTAATGCACATTTACAAAATTCGTAAAATTAACAATTGACTTGCGAATCAATAACTTTGCAAAAGTTCTGTTAATTACCCCATGGTTAATAAATTATCATAATGGATTTTCAAAATTAAATAATTATAAGAAGTTTGGTTTTGAATTCTTCTTGATTTTTAATATCAATAAACATCATACCTTTTGCCTGAGTTTTGAAGTGAGTCCAGTAAGACCATTCTGTGGGGGCTCGGGAATGTCTGACATGGGCATTTCCGAGACTGGGTGCTGCAGCATGGAGAGCAGGTTGTTGCCATGGCGCCATGTCTGTCGTTTGGCAGCAAAAGGTTTCAAGAATTCCACATAATTAACTCTGAAATTCAGAAATTTTTGTATTTTTAAACAATTGTCGTGACATATTTCAAATTATATTAATAAATAGTATTTCAAAAGAATTTCATCAATTGCAGGAATAAATAAAAAAACAATAAACAGAAATGAAGAAGATACAAAATATATGTACCTTCCATCCTTCTTGACATCAAACTTTTCTGTAAGCAATTTAAGTTCATGGTCACCAAGATAAACACAGAGCTCCTGAAGAACATCTGTGAACTCATCTTTGCTGATATAGCAGGTCTTGTAGGGGTCCATCTCAGTAAACTCCTTGTGTAGGTCCTCCCACATGTAGTCAATCTGAAACACAAATACAATAATGTTTGTATGTTTTTGTTGAAGCTTATACACATTATCTGTTTCACTTTCTTTACTACTAAAATACCCACTTACCAAAATAAAATTGAGATTTTCTATGATTCACAAAATGGTAAAGAATTTTTATGATTCCTACCTTTGATTTGAGATTATCATGTAGCATATCTGCAGCACAGTTTAGTTTTCGTGATCTAATTTGGAAGTCAACGTCTCCCTTCTTTGGGGGTGAAAGTTTGGCATTGGGGTAGGCAGCAGATTTGAGAGAGAAGCCAAAGTGGCGTGTGAACTCCTGGAAGTTGAGAGACTTGTCTTTGTTTGTTATGAGGGTCTTCCACAGACTTCGTACCTCACCTCTGCTGATCTCAGGGTCCAGGTTAAACCTAAATATAAAGGATTACACTGATTAATGGATGGTATAAATGTGCAGTCAGTAAAGTGTCTTTGAATGACAGCTTGTTCATTAAAGGGGTTTATGGTATAAATGTGCAGTGAGTGAAGTGTCTTTAAATGGCAGTAAGTTTATTTCTTTAAGGATGGATACGCAGTTTTCTAGTGCTACATTTGTGAGTTCATTTGGTGCTAGAATGTCAAATGTATATGCTCAACTAAATGTGTAACTAATTGCTAAATGTACCTTTGTAATAACTTGTAAGCTGTCTCTTGGTTCAACCTCTTGCTGTTCCACTCATCAATATCCTGGAACTCTCTCTCTACCTGCTCATATTTGGTGGTGAGCAGCTGCTTGATGATCTTAAACAGTTCATGGGTGGGGCGCCTGGGGGCAGCATCAGCCTCTAGGGGTGGTGACTCCATCACAAGACGGTCAACCTCATGATCACCAAAGGGCTCAGGAGACATAACCTCAGGTTGGATTATTACTGATTTACTGTCAAAAAGGCTTGGAGCTTGACCTCTGCAAATATAAGATCACTGATTTATTAAATTTGTAAAAGCTAAGTGACAATTTATTATGCATTTGTGATAAAAACAATTGTGATAAATGCATGCTCTGTTCGCTAGTGATATATCTTATATTCTAATATGATATGTGATGTCACAATAACTAGAACGATTGATTTACTGGTCTTTAATCGAGTATGTATGACCGCTAAATTTCATTAAGGTAAATAGTTGTTTTTTTGTTTGTTTATCATATTAAAATCATAGCAAAGACCTTGATTCTTTGATTTTATGGCAAACTATATATGACCTCAGGTTTTATTCTGGCCATTGCCAAAGACCTCAATCGCTACGTAATTTCAGTCTTTCAATGATGAAAAGAATAATATATTCTGTCATACACGATCAGTGTATTGTACCATAGATCTCGGTCTTTATTCCTTAAATATAATGTTCAGTTCTCATAATATAATTTTACCTTGTATCAAACTGTGCCATGAAGTCAGCATATTTCACCATGCCCTCATGGTTTAAAGGCACATGCTCAATAAATGTCTGGAATTGTTCATCAGTCATACCAAGATTAAAGCGACTCTCGATGGCTGCCCTGAAGGCTTCCTGTGAGAGAAGATCAGTGTTTTGTTGGTCAACCTTGTGGAATGTGCCTAGGAGTTGAAGAAACTCTCTCTGGAAGAGGTTCATTAGGTTTGACTCTATAGCACTCAGTGATGACCTCGCTCCTGGTGTCTGTGACCTGTTGTACCTGACAATATATATGTTCAAGATTAATCACCTAACATGTAATATACGTTAACTGCTTTCAAAAGGTGTGTTGTCAAGTTGATGGATGGAGGGAGAGGAGGCAAAAATGTTCATATCATAGTGTTGACATAAGAAATAATCAACTGTTAGTAATAAGTTGTTTTATGAGTGACTTACTTATGATTTGAGTTGCTAAGGATGTTATGTGTCATTCCAGCTTCACTTCTATCCTGGAATCGGGACAAGAAATCCTTGTATGGAACTCCATCTTTTTTGGGCACAATATTACATCTGGAGCAGAACTCGGATAAGTGGGGACGATCAAGTTTCAAGCCATATTTATTCAATACATTCAGAAAGACATCAAAGCTGACGATTCCTTTATGATCTTTATCATGCTCTGCAAATGCACCCTTCATAGACTTAAAGCCTTCTCTGAATTTAGTTTTCAACCATGACTCAACATGCAAGGATCTTTGGCGTTCTTGGACCTTGCGTGGAATTTTTCGCTGCGTTGGACTGCGAGCTGTAAACAGAAAATCATTTTCTATATATGTATGTAGTTTAAATCTAAAAACCATTTTAAAGGAATTTTCAATCAACTTAAAAGCTAACCTCCAATAAATGTAGAAATATGAATTTAAAACTTGAACTTACGTGATAGTTTGTCATCATCTATGGGACTAAGTCTGTCACCAGCTGTGCTACCACGGTGTTGCACAGACACTCCCAGTTTTCTCATCAGGTTGGCTCCATTTATGGTACCACTGTTAGTAGGGTCATAGCTGTAAGCAAGAATGAACAGTGTAACAAAATAGTTCATTTAGCTGGGCTTTTTATAATAAATAATTGAAATACATAGAATTCAACATAGATGTGTGGACAAGACTGTCAAGTACATGTTCCCATGTTTCTTTAGCTTAATTCTAATACATAAACTTCCAATTTTGGAAGCAGACAGCAAGACACACTTACCGTTTCCATAATCGATCAAACTCGTCATCATCCAAGAAATAATTGTTTTTGTTCAACATAATGCGGAACTCCGGCTTCAGGATATGTGTGGCTCCATCTGGATTTGATTGCGGGAACATGTCAGCTGCATCAAGAATTCTGGAAATGCATAATCCAAGAACTGAACAATCTTTCAATCTTGGAAATCCAGGCAATGCAAATTAAATCTGTTGACATTTTACACTTGAGCTCAGTTTAAAGATGTCACTAATGTACTTGTCATTTACGATACTAATTTTGGTTTTAGTAAAAAAAATCAGATGCAATGTGTGTTATGCCTCTAGAATCCAGTAATCAATTACAAATTCTGGTACGGCATGTCAAGAAGTGAATAATACTTGAGTTTTTCAAAGTGCATATTCTAGTCAATAACCATTATGATGTACAAAACCACTAACCACTTTCAACAAATGGCTTATTCGATTGGTCTGTATAGAAGCAATATAGCAAACTGAGCTGAATAAATGTTGATTTCCATTCCAACAAGAATAATAACTAGATTTTGGAAATTGAACAAGTTCAATTTCAGACTCCAGATCTAGACTTTTTTTTAGCCGAGTCATCCAGAATAAGCTGAGTCATCCAGAAAAAGATGGATGGATGGATGGAGGAAAAAGGAAGGAAGGATAGAATAGAATAGGAAAGAATGATAGAATAGAATAGGAAGAAGGAATAGAATAGGAAGGATAGGAAGGAGAGGATACGAAGGAAAGGTAGATAAGAAGGATACGATAGGATCACAAAGGAAGGATGGATGCATTTTTCAATATTTTCTTCTCTACTCTTGACTTTCTATCAGGATACCATCAGATCGATTTTTCTCGAAATTTCAAAACGCCATAACTTTCGAACCGGAAGTCGGATCGAAATTTGGTTTGCAGACTCAGATTCCTGAGAAAATTCTACCTTTAATTCATAACTCATATGTTAAATTTTGAGAACTTTTTATTTTGACCTACTTTTCGGACACCATATCTCAAAAGTGGGTCGAAATACTTTCTGACGGCAAAAGGCTAACACTATTAGCACCCTCTTTCCTACCTGTATACAAAATTTTAAAGCAAATCATTTAAATATAGTGTCAGAATCGCAAAAATAAGGAAAAACTATGAATTTGACCTAGATTTTGACCTAGGGATTTTGGTGTCCAAATTTTGAAGTTAGGTAGCCTTCGAGGTCCCCTTGTTACATAGGCTTTCATTATTTTAAGCTGTACTTAGTCTATATCTCGTATTTTACACTTCAAAAAAATCTTTTTTCCCATTGACATAACATGGGGCACCAAATTTAGCGATTTTTGAGCTTTCAAAATGTCATAACTTCCGAACCGGAAGTCGGATCAAAATTTGATTTGCAGATTCGGATTCCTGAGAAAATTCTATACTTAATTGATAACTAAAACGTTAAATTTGGAGATTTTTTTATTTTGACCTACTTTTCGGACACCATATCTCAAAAGTGGGTCGAAATACTTTCTGACGGCAAAAGGCTAACACTATCAGCACCCTCTTTCCTACCTGTATACAAAATTTTAAAGCAAATCATTTAAATATAGTGTCAGAATCGCAAAAATAAGGAAAAACTATGAATTTGACCTAGATTTTGACCTAGGCATTTTGGTGTCCAAATTTTTATGAAAATAAGGTTTTGAGGTCCCTTTCTTTTATGGGCTTCCATTATGTTTAGCTGTGCTAAGTCTATATCTCGTATTTTACACTTCAAAAAAATATTTTTTCCCATTGAATTAACATGGGGCACCAAAATTAGCGATTTTTGAATTTTCAAAACGCCATAACTTCTGAACCGGAAGTCAGATCGAAATTTGGTTTTCATATTCGGAATCCCGAGAAAATTTCCTATAAGACTGATATCCCGGACATTGGATTCGGAAAACCGAATTTTTGGACCTCTTTTTCGGACACTGATATCTCGAAATCGGTTTGAGATACCAAAAAACTAAATCGACCCAAGAATTTCTACTTTTTTATGAGGAACACAATGAAAAAAAACCGGATCGAAAATATTGAAGGACGACTGAGAAAATCGAAAAAAGTGACAAAGTACTGGATTTGACCTAGTTCTTGACCTTTGACCTAGATAAAAATTTGACCCAATTTCCCACCAACTAGATACTGAACCTAAATAAACTGTATTATGGTTCTTACTGGATACCTCATAGTTACTGAAAAAACTCCCAAAGAATAATAATAACTAGACATGTAAATTGAACAAGTTCAATTTAAGACTCCAGATTTAATTCTTTTTTTAAGCTGAGTCATCCAGAATACTTGTAAGCTGAGTCATCCAGAATAAGCTGATCGAGTCAGCTAGAATTTAGACATTTAGACAACTCTCCATTTTTTATCTTCGACTCCATTGGCTTAACATGGGGATATCATCATATCGTCTTTTCAAGACTTCAAACCGCTGTAACTATTTAACCTGAAGTTTATACAAAATTTGGTTTAAAGATTCGGACTCCTGAGAAAATTCTACCCTTAATTCATAACTCATACATTAAATTTGGAGATTTTTTTATTTTGACCTACTTTTTGGACACCATATCTCAAAAGTGGGTCAAAATACTTTCTGACGGCAAAAGGCTATCACTATAAGCACACTCTTTGCTACCTGTATACAAAATTTCGAAGCAAATCATTAAAGTGTAATGTCAAATTCGCAAAAATAAGGAAAATTATGAATTTGCCCTAGATTTTGACCTTGGCATTTTGGTGTCCAAATTTTAAAGCTAGATAGCCTTCGAGGTCCCCTTCTTTTAAAGGCTTTCAGAATGTTAAGCTGTACTCAGTTTATATCTGGTATTTTAGACTTCAAAAAAAATCTTTTTCCCTATTGACATAACATGGGGCACCAAATTTAGCAATTTTTGAGCTTTCAAACGCTATAACTTTCAAACAGAAAGTCGGATCGAAATTTGGTTTGCAGATTCAGATTCCTCAGAAAATTCTATCCTTATTTCATAACTCATATGCTAAATTCGGAGAACTTTTATTTTGACCTACTTTTCGGACACCATATCTCAAAAGTGGGTCAAAATACTCTCTGAAGCAAATCCTAAAAGTGTAGTGCCAGAATCGCAAAAATAAGGAAAAACTATGAATTTGACCTAGATTTTGACCTAGGCATTTTGGTGTCCAAATATTGAAACTAGGTAGCTTTTGAGGTCCCCTTCTTTTATAGGAATTCATTATCTTAAGCTGTACTCAATCTATATCTCGTATTTTACACTTCAAAAAAATCTTTTTTCCTTGACTTTCTATCAGGATAACATCAGATCGATTTTTCTCGAAATTTCAAAACGCCATAACTTTCAAACCGGAAGTCGGATCGAAATTTGATTTAAAGATTCGGATTCCTGACAAAATTCTACCCCTTATTCATAACTCAAACGTTAAATTTGGCGAATTTTTATTTTGACCTACTTTTAGGATACGCCATAACTTTGGAACTGGAAGTCGGATCGAAATTTGGTTTGCAGATTCGGATTCCTGAGAAAATTCTACTCTTAATTCATAACTCATATGTAAAATTTGGAGAATTTTTTATTTTGACCTACTTTTCGGACACCATATCTCAAAAGTGGGTCAAAATACTCTCTGACGGCAAAGGCTAACACTATAAGCTCACTCTTTGCTACCTGTATACAAAATTTCGAAGCAAATCCTAAAAGTGTAGTGCCAGAATCGCAAAAATAAGGAAAAACTATGTATTTGACCTAGATTTTGACCTAGGGATTTTGGTGTCCAAATTTTAAAGCTAGATAGCCTTCGAGGTCCCCTTCTTTTATAGACTTTCAGAATCTTAAGCTGTACTCAGTCTGTATCTGGTATTTTACACTTCAAAAAAATCTTTTTTCTCATTGACATAACATGGGGCACCAAAATTAGCGATTTTTGAGCTTTCAAAACGCCATAACTTCCCAACGAAAAGTCGGATTGAAATTTGGTTTGCAGATTCGGATTCCTGAGAAAATTCTACCCTTAATTCATAACTCATAAGTTAAATTATGAGAAATTTTTATTTTGACCTACTTTACGGACACCATATCTCAAAAGTGGGTCAAAATACTTTCTGACGGCAAAAGGCTCTCACTATTAGCACACTCTTTGCTACCTGTATACAAAATTTTGAAGCAAATCCTAAAAGTGTAGTGCCAGAATCGCAAAAATAAGGAAAAACTATGAATTTGACCTAGATTTTGACCTAGGCATTCTGGTGTCCAAATTTCGAAGCTATGTAGCTTTTGAGGTCCCCTTCTTTTATAGGCATTCAATATGTTAAGCTGAACTCAGTCTATATCTTGTATTTTACACTTCGAAAAAGCCTTTTTTCCCATTGACTTAACATGGGCACCAAATTTAGCGATTTTTGAGATTTCAAAACGCTATAACTTCCGAACCGGAAGTTGGATCAAAATTTTGTTTGCAGATTCGGATTCCTGAGATAATTCTACACTTATTTGATAATTCACACGTTGAATTTGGAGAATTTTTTATGTTCTGACCTACTTTTCGGACGCCATATCTCAAAATCGGTAAGAGTAATCAAAAAACGGTTTGCCTTACGGAATTAGCTTTTTTTCTAAGGAACATGATGAAAAAAACCCGGAGCGAAAATACCAAAGGACGACTGAGAAAACTTGTGAAATAGCAAAAAGAGACGATTTGACCTAGTTCTTGACCTTTGACCTAGATAAACATTTGACCTAATTTCCCAGAAACTAGAACTCATTACCTAGTTGACTATGTTAGCAGATTTTAAAAAGTCCCTCTAGTTGCTGAGAAAACGCGGAAAGAAAGAAAAATAATAATAATAATAATAATAATAAGAAAACTGGCAAAAGCAATAGACTCCAGATGAAATCTGGAGTCTAATAAGAATACTGGCAAAAACAATAGACTCCAGATTTTCAATCTGGAGTCTAATAAAATATCAAATATGGAAAATATGGGCCTTCTACTTGAACATGAGTTTGAATCTTACATGTTTGGGTGAACATTGATTTTCCCCTCTTGGCGATCTTTTGAAAACAAAGCCAATTCTTAGAGTTCAACATGACACAACAGACTGCAGACATTGCAATATATGTCACTTTGAGCTTATTCCCAAACCAGATGGATTTCATTAATCAATATGTATCTTTGCTAGCTAGCTACTGGGATACTGTAATGTATTAGCCTGAAATATTCTTTACATGTGTATTAATGCCCATGGTTATACAAAGATTACTTAAGGCTGATAAATCATTACTGTCTCCCAATGGCTAGCTTGCAAAGAAACATATTGATAACGTTTCATCTACAGGAATGCTTTAGGCAACTAATATAGAAGAGCACTCAACATTGTTCCCTTTTCCAATAAAAGTTCACAAGGCACAATCATCCTGACATTTGAAAGTATATTTGTTAACGGATATGAGAAGTGAGACCTATTTATCTTTACAAAGACATTATTGTCTAATGTCTTTTAATTGATTGCCTATTGGTATTAACAGGTATTAACAACATAATCATGGTCTTACTGAGGTTGGAACCCTCAGGATTGGAACCTATGAAACTATAAAAAATACTGGTGAGAGGAAGCCAATTATTGTGCAGATTCAAAATATGAAACATGATACAGTAATTTAATTCCTCGTAAGTTCATATTCTAACTAGAATGTATAAGTCTATAATATTCTGATAGCTGTTGAAAATGTTATATTATATTATTTGTTCAAGAGCTTTTAGTTTTATTATCCCATTGTAAACACAATTTAAAGGAATTATCAAAGAATTCAATTAATTTCAATATTATTTATTTTTGGTGGTAGACAGAAAATGTCAATATATTATTGATGAAATTTGTTTCTACAATGATCACGAGCAGCTTTCAGTTGTTTAAGTGTAAGGACAAATATTTACAATAGTCACTTGTATGAATGTGCCAGTTTCTGTTAGATCTCTGGTTTTACATGTATACAGTCCATGGTTGCTAGGTCCAAGTATTTCATTATATCATGTCAGAGGAAATATCAAACAAGAACTTTAAAAAAGTTGAACTCCCCCATATTTTTAAAATTTAAATTTAGAATTACCAAAGATTAATTTGAAGATAAATACACACTTGTCAATTATTGAGTAGAAGTTTTGATTTGATAACATATTGCATTTCGCACAAATACAATATTTGTCAACATAGCGAGATAAGTGGGTCAATAAATAGGATTCCATTTTGAACACCTCCAATGACACAATTACCTTTAAAATGATAACATCACATCGCCCTTGTCTCTGAATGATCTTTATGTAAATGTATCTCTTGATTTGTTAATTACCTTTGTTTGGCCTTCTCTTTTAACTGTATGTGGACCTCATCAGCAGTTGTGTTAGCCTTGTCACTGAAGGTTCTCTGGATAGGGTCCATCCAGTTTGGATATTCACTGTCATGGCGCTCTCGGAAAACTTTGAAGAAGTCTGCGAAACTTATAACTGCTCTTTGTCCAAGTCCCAATCGATTCATAAGGCGACCAAACACAACTTGGTTCAGTGGGCGGCCAATTAGAGTTACTACGATTCTGGAGAGTGCCTCTCTGTAAAGGAAAACAAAATTGATTTTAAAGTATTTTTATTGTATTACTATTATAATTTTCTTTATATTGGGTTTCTGGTCTGGTTTACTGGTCCTTATGTATGAATTTATAACCTTATTGTGCCTTATTATGCTTGAATTTATAACCTTATTGAAAATCATCACAATGGTAACTGTCTTACCGGCTGCAGTTGCCCTTGCCTTCAGGGTCATTGTCTTTAAAGCGCTTCCTCAGTTCAAAGTAGTGGTGGTTTGCTTTGTCCTTCAACACAGATTCCAGCTGCAAGAGAATGGGGAAATGTAACTACTCTCATCTGTATGGAGCATTCAAACATATATCAATAATATGACACATTGTATGCAAGCAAAAGCCAAATATCATAGATAATGTATGTCACTTTACCATTTTACTCATTTTTACAATAATGATTATAATTCACTTTTCATTTGTCCATCATTTTGGCAGTATCAAATATGCTTGTAATTTCGGGTACAAGAAACCCCATAAAATCATATTGACTGATCAACTAACCTCATCAATCTCTAGTCTTGCTTGGGCTGAAGCTGTAGACATTCTGCTAGCAGCTCTAGAGGCAACATCACTCCTACTGGTGGCTGGCACACCTGCAATATTAATACACATTATCATACAGTTCTAGAGGCAACATCACTCCTACTGGTGGCTGGCACACCTGCAATATTAATACACATTATCATACAGTTCTAGAGGCAACATCACTCCTACTGGTGGCTGGCACACCTGCAATATTAATACACATTATCATACAGTTCTAGAGGCAACATCACTCCTACTGGTGGCTGGCACACCTGCAACATTAATACACATTATCATACAGTTCTAGAGGCAACATCACTCCTACTGGTGGCTGGCACACCTGCAATATTAATACACATTATCATACAGTTCTAGAGGCAACATCACTCCTACTGGTGGCTGGCACACCTGCAACATTAATACACATTATCATACAGTTCTAGAGGCAACATCACTCCTACTGGTGGCTGGCACACCTGCAACATTAATACACATTATCGTACAGTTCTAGAGGCAACATCACTCCTACTGGTGGCTGGCACACCTGCAACATTAATACACATTATCATACAGTTCTAGAGGCAACATCACTCCTACTGGTGGCTGGCACACCTGCAATATTAATACACATTATCATACAGTTCTAGAGGCAACATCACTCCTACTGGTGGCTGGCACACCTGCAACATTAATACACATTATCATACAGTTCTAGAGGCAACATCACTCCTACTGGTGGCTGGCACACCTGCAACATTAATACACATTATCATACAGTTCTAGAGGCAACATCACTCCTACTGGTGGCTGGCACACCTGCAACATTAATACACATTATCATACAGCTCTCCTTCAGGTGTTAACACCATGCTTCTCCTATTTATTATTCTATTTTATTTTCCATTATATTCAAAGGTTTGTCTTTTTGCACTAATGGAGAGAAAAATAAATGGTAAGTGTGCATTTTAATTTTTTTTATTCCTTTTTTATTGAAGTAACTTGGACGATCTAAATAAGAATTATTGAAATATACTTAGTAAAAATGTGTGACATTTTAAAAGAATGATTGTACTTCAAATTAGTCACTTGAGATGTTTTTCAATTATGTTTTCAATAGCAATTGCCTTTGTAACTTTATGATTATATTGACCATAAGGATTAATTTCCTGATGAAATGTTCAACAAATATTGAAAGAAAGCTTATGCTACTTCTAATACAGTACAATGTATGTGCATCCAGCTATCTATTTTGCTCTTAACAAAACCTTGAATCTCAACCGCATTGGTTCGTCTTGTTTTATGTTCGGGATTGAGGAATAGCATGAAATAATATTCATTTAAAAAGCCATTTGGATCCAACACTGGGCAATGGCTGTATCAAATGTGGTCACTAAAATTCAATTAATCTCAAAGATTACTATTACTGAGACCTTATTTGAAATAATTAGATTATTGATTATATGGTAGTTTCAGTGAGAGTATTTGTTTTAGATATTTGCCAAGCTTCTAACATAATTGATGCACTAGTAACTGATAAATGTCAAAAGTCAGGACTGCTAAAGTTTTTGCCGTAATGAAAAGGTAATGAAAGTACAATTTTTTATGAGATGAGAAATGATATTTTGTTTAATTAAGTATTTCTTATTATTTATAAATCACTTTTTTCTCTGGAATATAACTCATGACTGAGATAGGAAAGGAACTTTAAGTAGTATATATGATTCTACCATGAAATGGGTTCATATTAAATGGAAATCAATGTCACTGACAACTGTCTCTATCCAATGTGATGCAACAATGGCAAATCAATGACTTCAGGTTAGACTGTTAGGGGTGATTTCAAAGATTTGCATAGGTTATCGCAAACAATTTCAGACAGTTATATCTTGGATTAAGACTATTTTCTGACTATGAAGACAGGTATATCTTTTAGATCCATTCACTATCTCAAAGAAAATTATATACAGTGATAATAAAGTCAAACAGACTTGGAAATATAACTAGCAATCAACCCATCAACACACTTTTCCAAAGATGTTGACCCATTTTCACCAAAAATCAACTAAAATTAGTGTTCCCCATGTCATTTCTCCATTGAAAAGTCTCATGCAATCCATTGGTTTCAACTTTTCCTTTTATGAAATAGAACATGTCTCAAAACACATTCTAATTATGCATTCAACAATATAATATAAAAGGTTGCATTTTTGGTGAAAATTAGGTCAACATTTTTGTATGTTGATTGGTCCATTGCCCCTTTAACTTAGGTCTGATTAACTAAATCATAATTATATCCACTTTTCTTGAATATGACAGATGGGTCTAAAAGATACACCCATGTTCATGATCAGAAAATATTCAATATTCAAGTTAGAAACATGTGAAATTGTTTGAGATAACCTATGTGCTCCTTTAACATTATTATCATGCATGGTCATAATAAGGGAACATTGAGAGAAATCTTACATTCTATTTAAATATTTTGCATCAATTCATGCAAATAGTTTTTCATGAAAGTACATATTTTTATTGTTATTTATTATCAAAAAGTTGGACATTCTGAGACATACCCTTAAATGATATAATGGTGTAGTGTTATCAATCCAATGCTTGTTTAGTAAATGGCTTATAGCTTATTGTCTTAGTGATAGGACAAGGGGATATAAACTTTGAATAACACGTCTCCACAATTTTGGGTTCAAAGTGATTCTATATGTATATGTTAAAATGATCTTGGTTCAAAACAATTTAATAACAGTTTACAGTTCCAGGTTTATACATCTAAGTGAACGAAAACCATTTAAAAGTCTTACATAAATCTGATTGATTACTTTGCTATCATTGTCATTTTTATGCTAAACAAATGTAAGACTTCAAAGTTTTAACATTGGATTGTTTTAAGTAACAGAACCAACATTTTACAAGTTATTTCACACTCCACCTTTTATTGTTATGACTTGTTCTCTTGTTTTCATGACCAATACCAAAGGAATTGAAATTCAGAGTTTTTTATTCCTTAAAGTTTCAAGTTTAATAAAATACAATAAGATATTTTTATATTCAATAGTTTTTCAAATGGGCAAACATGGTTCACATTTTAATTTCTTCTTCTTTCAGATTAAAATCTTAAAATATTTTTCATGTTTACTTTCTTTATAAATAAAAAAACTCATTTAACCCTAAAATGCTGTTTAAGTGGTTAGCTACATTACTTGTAACAATTCAATTTTATTTATTCTTTTTTAATACATTTTGAATGAAAGAAAAAAGACTTTTTTCATAGACCAAACTTAACAATAGAAAACGAATAATATATTTACCGAACACTGGTAGTCTAGTTTTACTTGGGTCCCCCTGTGTGACCTCTACCCCCTCAGGTATAGCATCGGCATATCCTGTTGTAGAAAAATGTGGAATACGATTTTGTGATGACATCCTCCCGGTGGAACTATGTGACTTTCTGGGTGATTGTAGAGATTTGGGGTATTCTACTTCATTAGCCATAGAACGGCCAGAGGCAGACACCCCACGATTCTGTGAAACAAGTCCCATTTCGGATCCTGGCCTTGGAGTTGTGATAGCCATTGCTTGTATATCCAATCTCTCAGGGTTTCCCAATCTGCTAAGAGGGTGTTGTATTTCTATTCCTACCCGTTTCAGACTCATCTGAGTGCCGGGTCGGCTCTGTATACCGACTTGCGACATTTTGATGGATAAAAAGAAAAAAAGTTGCTGTTTCTTGCTTTATTGATGTACCGTTTGTGTAAATTTCTTCTGTACATGTGCCTTGCTTACTCTGCAAACATATTGTGTTGTCTTTAGCAACGTGTCCTAGCAACCTCTGTCACCATGTTCCTAATATGGTTATCAATGGGCGGAGCTTAGAAAATTTTACTGTTTTCCTAAGCTGCTTACTGGAGTTATGACTGGCTGTCTCATTGGCTGAAAATATATTGAGAACACTAAGTAGATTAAAACTATTGTTGTCATACCTTCAGATCTATAAAATACCTATTATCAACAATTTTTATTTTCAATAGAATTCTGAAATATTTTACAACTAAAACTGGCATAAGTAGAAGCTTGTTGTATAATTATAGAATAATCTTTAACTAGATGAGGTCAAAGTTTAATGTTTTCTGATGAAATGTAGGAATTATAAAACTCAAAAGACAATGAAGATGGTGCTAATTGTATGTTATTATTTTGTGTTATTATAAGTTAAGTAAATAAACACAAAAATAAAATTCAAAGTACATGAGCTTATCCTCAGTGACCAGTACCATCAGTACAACATGATGATATAAGTACGGAACAGAACAATTATAGAAAATAAATTCATTATTAAAGTACTCAATAATTATTCAAACAATTTCATTTTAAAAACAATCATGCTTAAAAAACTAGCAAACACCTTTCAAACAGTGTGATCATCGAGATATACACTGTATCTAGCAGAGGAAAGTGTCATAAACATTTACTTAAATACATCAATGCTGGAAGATTGAACCCAAATTAAAAATAACAAAAAATATTATAGACTTTCCGGTGACATCTATTTTACCATAAATTACAATTTACTAGTACCCTGGTCCAGTATGTAATTAGTAATAATATGATAGTGAATTATAATTTGAAATATTTACTATCTATTCTATCCTTCTATGCAGAAGCTTTCTTGGTAAAATATCAATATAAAGTACTGAAACTTGAACATTTCCTTCATTCATTATGGACTATTTTGAGATAATAGTTATTAGTATATGATGTGGGAAGCACACAAAGTTAAATATTTATTGGGAGGATGCATTGAATTCGTTGCATTTACAACTATGTGAAGTGGGGTGTATGAATCCAGACGTCAGGTTTCAATGCACATTTAGCTACTAAAGCATTCTATAGGCACTTTTAAATGGCTTTGTTCAAATAAAATTCTTTTCACAATCAATGATACCTTTGAAGCAAAAATGTGAGCCCTCAGTAATGATGTACATGTATAAGGAGGGTTTGAGCTAAGGTCATTGCCAGGTTAAGTTTGAAAAGGACCAATTTTTTCACTAGGTATATAGGAAAAGAACATGGCAAGTGGTCTGTTATGCCATTTTGAGCAGCTGCTCCATGACTCAGAACCTTAGCTTAACCCCTGTGTATAATTAGTAAGCACCCATGTTACCTAGTCCTGAACTATATCTAAAACTTAAGTTTTTGTTATTCAAGGCCAAGATTCCATTAGTATAATGCAAGGACAACTTCTAATTGATGTATTTAATTTGTTAATTAATTTTTATAATCATCTTAACTTGAGTGGTGTAGGGTACCCAGGGGCCTTTGATTTGTTCTGAAATCTGAAAACTGAAAACTAAAACTAAATCTTTAAAAAGGAATTTAATCTTGAATTTTTATTTGAAATAAATTGAGTATCTACCACTCACTTGTTTTTATTAAACTTTTATTCTGGTATCCCCCATGCCCAACAAAATCCTGACACCAAAAATTATAATATTTGCACTGTACTAAAAACAGAATGAAACAAACTCATTTTTATTACTAAGAACTACTAAGACAAAACTGTATTGATAAAGGTCCATGTGCAGTATGGCAAGTGATTTTAGACAATCTTTCACCATGAGTACTTTCTGGGTATAAATACAGTGGTTTTTATTAAAACAATGTTTTCATTCAAGTGAAGTGCCCATGATGATAAAAACGTCAATTATACAATTCGAAAAATTATGAATAGGAACCCCATGTCAACATTTTTTTCAAAATGTTGAACCCATTTACTCAAAAGAGGATCTCATTTTTCTGATTTTTATTGCATGAAAAGATTATTCATAAAGGGGTCTAAAACTTCTTCAAAATTAGAATGGTATTGGAAGTCTAGTTTTGGAGATATCAATTTTCTATGACCAAAATCATGCTGAAAACAATGGATAGCACGAGTTTTCCCTATGGGAAAATTACATGAGATACATGGTTTTTAACTTTAACTCATTTCAATACCCATATCCTTTTCAGAAGTTGTTAATATAGTTTAGAAGAAACTTTCGGTGTGGTTAAATTGAGAAAAACAAGATCCTCTTTTTAGAAAATAAGCCTAACATTTTTTAAAAAGTGCCAAGGTGGGGTCCTTTAATAAAAACCACTGTATTTATGGCCAGAAAGTACTCATGGTGAAAGATATGACTGTCTAAAATCACTTGCCATACTGTACATGGGCCTTTAAGTAAATATTCACGTTATTTATTAGCCATATAAATATACAATGTGATTTGTTATGTGTGTGCTTAAGTACCACTCTTAAATATCAGTTATAAACAAATGTTTATACTGAGTCACTGTTAGGCCACAATGAATCCTTACAAAGAATCTAGAATGAAAACGGATGAAAACAAAGAATGCTATTTTTACAAATCAGTGTTTTAAGGTTATTTGTGTTTGCACGATATTGGAATAAGAAGCTACATGTGTAGCACATTCAACATGGCTAAGCTAACACTGGCTGTGCAGCAAGTGCATATGTTGAAGATAATCATATTATGTTGCGCTATACATAACACAAATTCAGCTAAAATATTAACATATCCATATGCTCAAGGATTTAACTCAAGAATGATGAACATGGAGAAAATGGCAGTCATATTGTCAGAAAATAGTCATGATGTGTCCATCATTTCAAGTAGCAAGTACAAGGCAGTAGAAAGACCCATTAAGGATATAACAGTGTATCAATTCTCTGTACCTAATGACACCATGCTGCTTACAGATCAGGCAGTATTAAACACAATTCTTGATGAGGGTGTCAGTCCTCTGGAGGTTATGAATGTAATAGGGAAGTTGCACGTCACATTCTGTGAAGGGTTACTAATAGACAAAGCTTTACTGGATACATTGAAGAGATCAAACTTTGATATGCTTATAATGGATGTTGCAGAGCCAAATGCGTGGATACTTGCTCACTATTTAGATGTACCTATTGTTTTGTATGCAAATGAGGGAGCGTATACTGATGTACCTTTTGGAGGACTAGGTCAAGTAGTGCCATACTCTTTTGTCCCCCATACATTTTCCCCATTTTCTGATGAAATGAACATATGGGAACGGTTTCAGAATGTTTTGTTAAATGTTGGGATTCAACTGTACGTCTGGAAGACATTTTCCTCAATAAGTAAAATCAGGAACAAGTATAACATTAATGTGACTGTCGATATTTCTGAGCAGAATATACAGAGTACTGCACTGATTTTAAGTAATGATCATTTTGCATTTGACTACCCTCGACCTCTTCTGCCAAACCATATTTACATTGGAGGTTTGTACTATTCACCTCCTAAATCTTTACCAGACCACATGGAGGCCCTAATGCAAAACTCGGGAGAAAAAGGAGTGATCATTGTAGCATTTGGGTCAACTCAGCATCAAATGTTAAATATAAAGCTCATTGAAATAATGGCTGAAGTATTTGCTGCTTTACCTCAAACAGTCATCTGGAAATACAGTGGTGCCTCTTTGAAAAGATTGGGAGAAAATACACATGTGTTTTCTTGGATTCCTCAAAATGATTTAGTCGGTCATCAAAAAACAAAATTGTTTGTGACACACTGTGGTGTGAGTTCTACTTACGAGAGCCTGTTACATGGAGTACCTGTTGTTGCTATACCGATTGGAGTTGATCAATTCCATCATGCATTACAGCTGACTAACAGAGCCAAAACAGGAGTACAAATAAAAAAGGATTTCACGAATGAAGAACTTAAAAGCAGCATAACATCAGTGCTTGGAAATGACACATATTTGAAGAATGCTAAATATGTGTCTGAACTGATGCATGATAATCCCATACCACCCAAGGACACATTATTATACTGGATTGATTATGTTGCTAGACATAAAGGTGCAGACCATCTCAAATCTAAAGGAATGAACCAACTCAACATTTTACAGTATTTCTTATTGGACATTGTAGGCTTCATTATATTGGTCATGTTTAGTTTCTTAAGCTTGATATTCTTTTTCTGTAAGTTGTGCATATGTAAGTATTGCAACTTCAGGAAGAAGCAAAAGAGTGACTAATGGCTGGTTGCTAGTGGATAATAAAAACAGTCATATCCTATAAACAGAAAGACAATTTCTTGTATCAAATACTGTAGATACACTTAATTTGGCTACCATTTCAATTTTTCTACATTAATTCTGCATTATTTTTAGAGAACTCCAGACAACAATCTTGGTAAATACACGTCGCAGTGAAACTAATATTGACAAAAAGGGATCCAGCCAAATTAAAATTCAGTCCTGAATCCGCCAAACTAAATAGCAGCCAATATTTGAAATTGAGCAAATCCACCAAATTAAGCAGCTTCAAATCAAGTGTATCTACAGTAGTTGAATCATGCAAATGTTTCCTAGATGGATACTAAGAAATATAAGACTGTTCAAGTTATAAGACTGTTCAAGTTTGTTCAAAATACAGATTTTGAGAAATTGGTAATGACAGAAATTGTTCAAAAAATAATATTAAATCATAACTATATAAATTTCATACTGTTTTTTGTTTTGTTATATTTTGATTATGAATGCTGAAACTCCCTGACCAAGTTCAAAAATATTACATTTTATATTGGAATGCAATGACGATAATTTTGAATAACCCAGATGCGAGTAGAAATAATCTTGATTTATGTCATTAAAAATTCAAAATTCAGTTAAAGTAATATCATATTTGAAATCTACATGTAAAATTACATCTAGAAATGTGGTTTTAAAAAGTGTTTATCAACTTTGAAAAATTAATTTTCTTCGAAAATGTGACTTCTAGCTCGGGTAGATTCCCCATAGACCCCATGCTATAAAATCACAAAAATGAAATATCTTTTCTTTTAGTAGACAGATAATATTTTGCTTTACTGGACATATTTTCATTAGTATAAGAATCAGACACATAAGGGTTACATGAAAATTGAGCCACTTAAATTGATAATATTCAAGTTTAAGGGAACTTTCTTATATACCTGCCATGTTAATTGACCCGAATCAGCCACCTGGTGGTGAAACTGGTAACTACCTGCTCGCATTTGGGTAATTGCCCTAATGATCATTTAAAAGCAGCATTCAGATTAGCAAAGTAGAAAGGAACATTGGGATAGTTTAAGGTATACATATAGGCTATAGAGAATAACACCAACTGACCCCCCCCTATAATCATGGAAACAAACAATCATAGGCCATTGAATTAGGTATCATTGGAAAGGTTATTCAGGTTAGAGTTACAATTTTCTTTGCTAAAACATGCCTAATTCAATTTTAAGAAAAGCCTGAAAGTTTCAGATCAAAAGACAAACTATTATCATTATTATCAAAAGTAATCCCAAAAACTTCCCCCCCCTAACCGTTTAAGGTTTGATAACCAGAACAACGGCAACGCCAAAGCGTAGCGAATCCCATCGAACAGAAATGGCTGGCATTTTTACATTTGAAATATACAGCAAATAAAATAACACCCATAAAAAAGCCCACCATTTTCAAAATGGTTGATCACTAGCCAAGTTGTCACATATAAAATTCTTAAAAAATCGCCAATGCTGGCCATTTTTTAAAATGGCCGCTTACTACCCAAAATTTCATAAGACAGTATGCAATCCTTACGAGTATTCACATATCAAATATGAACAAAATCTCTTTATTACTTTTTGAGTTATAATAAAAAATGTAAAATAACACACATAAAAATGGTGGCCATTTTTCAAAATGGCCGACTACTCCCCAAAGTTTTTTCGTACATCGATGCATCGGCAATTTTCAGTAGTAAACATCGATGCACATCGCGATGTACATCGAGAAAAATTCTGAGAAAAGTGCAATGAAATACCGAACGCTAATACACTAAAATACCGAACGGAACAAATTAATAAGAGTACGCTGGTACATCCGGGAACTTCTAGTAACGGTGAAATGAAAGCAGAAAACATTGGAAAATGAAATAACTCATGAGAAAGGTAAGCGATTTGCTTCAAAATAAGATAAGAAAGGGTGATTTTTAGCGAATTAAAATTTTTTCAAAAACATCGATGTTTTGTTTCAGACATCGATGCATCGCCAGAATCAGCTTTGGCGATGTATATCGCGATGTATCGATTAATCGCGACAACACTAGTATTCACATATCAAATATGAACAAAATCGCTCCAATACTTTTCAAGTTATCTTAAAAAATGTAAAAATGACAGCCATTTTTAAAATGGCCACCGACTATGCGACTATGAGACAGTGTGCAAGGCTCATGAGTATTCACATATCCAATATGAACAAAATTGCTCCACTACTTTTCAAGTTATGGTATGAGTACCGTAATCCAACACCAAATTCGAAAATTCATAACAATACTTTGCACATATGGCGTTCGTGACCAACTATAAAACGCTTACCCCCCATAGTGTTATATATCAAAATGTACCTGTTCATATAGGGGTTCGATTGATCCACATCAAATTATAGGGAGTCAGGTTACTTTTTGAGATATCAGCGTCCATTTATTGTGACTCGCGTTTGCTACCACTTCCTCAATTCTGATATGATGGGCAAACGCGTAGTAAGCATGCTCACGTCGGAACTATTTTTGAACTACATCGCTATTTTCGTAATTCAAATGAAAGTTGAACTCCTCCTCTTTATTTTGATACCAAATAGTGGCATACTAGGTACCCTAGAAGCCAACTATGGCGTTATTTAGAACAATACCACGAGTTTTTAAATGGACTATATAGGGGTCATACCTTTTGGCGGATGGATATGGAACCTCATACCTTATAGCAAAAAAACGTAAAAACGGTGGCCATTTTTCAAATTGGCCGCCTACTACCCAAAGTGTCATTAGACAGTGTGCCATGCTTATAGTATTCACATATAAAATATGAACAAAGTCGCTCTACTACATTTTGGGTTATAGTGAAAAATGTAAAATAACACATGTAAAAATGGTGGCCATTTTTCAAATGGCCGCCTACTACCCAAAATATCATTAGACATTGTGCCATGCTTAAAGTATTCACATACCAAATATGAACAAAATCGCTTCACTACTTTTCAAGTTACAGCAAAAATTGTACAATGACATGCAAAGGCAGCCAATTTTCAAGATGGCTGCCATGTATTTTTTCTATATTTACATTTCTAGCTTAATCAATGTTTTATATAACTTTTTTACATTTAAAACATATTGCTATCACAGTTTTATATGCAGTACCTAAATTACTGTAAAATCAGCACTAAAATGGCCGCCATTTTGAAAATCACCTCTACCCCCATTGGGTTATGTGTACAAAATATGAACAAAATCGGGCCAGCGGTATTTGAGTTATTGCCCGGATGGACGGACAGACGGACAAACGTACGTACGGACGGACGGACAGATGGATGGACGGACAGAGGCGTTCCCTTTATCCCTCCTAACTTCGTTCGATGGGATAATTATACTAAATTCTAAGAATTAAAAATGAAAGGTCACTTACATGAAGTGTGAAATCATTAAAATGCTCTAAAGCAGAACACTCATCAAATCACTACTCCTTTTCCAGCTATAGCATGGAGCCACCTTTTGCCTTAACTAAATAACTAACAATCTGAAGATTTTTGTTCTCAATATTTATTAACCATATGTAACACTGTTATTCTGTACACTTCAATTTGTTGAAGCGATTTATTTCCATTTGTTAATGGTTATATAATTTGTATGTCCATGATATCTTATTTTAAGAGGAAATCAGGATCATTTGATGTGAATAGTTGATACACTCGACGGGAAAGCTCTTTTCCTATTCGTCTAGAGGATTCTAAAACACCAGCACCCCTCCTAACCTTAAGAAAAATGATAATAAAAAACTGATATTATAACAATGAATGCCAAAGACTTTCCAATATATTGTGTGATCCAAAAGTAATATGTGACTGTATCTGCCATTTCAACATTTTTTAACCGAATCCTAAAAAGACTTTTCATTTATACATTACGACCCAAAGTTTCAATATCTAATTCTGACTAATTGTAATTTTGTGGTTGCTATGGTAATGGGAACATGTCATATAATAAAAGGTATTACGAAACAAGTTGTGAACTGTGTTTTTCAAATTTCAACTGCCAGTTTTTTATTTTGGTGGTGACATAAAAATGTACTAACATGTATTGTAATTTATTTAACTTACAGCAATATTCTCTAATAATCGTTCCTTTTCCCTATCAAGAGAACATCTCCTATAAGCCTACAAAATATAGATTTTGTTTGATTTTAGTTCAATATTTCTGACAGAATATTTTTTTTTCTAATAAATGCCAATTTGATACATTGATTAGCATAAGAATAAGCACAAGAGAGACATGTAAAAAACACAAATACACACAGAAAGTCCCATAAACAATGATGACAAGAACACAAATGTGTACAAAATGTCCCCACCTGAGTGATCACCATGAGTGATCCCATCAAATAGTTATCCTAAAAATGAGTAGACAAGACTTTACCGACACAATTTGAGGACGGAAAATCCAAAATGGCCACCTTATAATTTACCCGGAATGCCCACAAATTAGTCAGTTCTAGATTTTCATACTAAGAACCACCCCTGAAAATTTGAAATTGATCCGTCACACAGTTAACCAGAAAACATGTAAACAAGACTTTACAGACAAGATTTTAGGACGAAAAATCCAAAATGGCTGCCTTGACATTAACCCAGAATGCCCAAAAACTAATCAGATCTAGATTTTCATACTAAGAATCATCCCTGAAAATTTGAAATTGATCTACCAAACGGTTCACTTGAAAACGCGTAGACAAGACTTTGTAGACAAGATTTTAGGACGGAAAAATCCAAAATGGCCGACAATAAAAAAGTGATTATGAGTTTTTGCTGATTTCTTTTTACAAAATTATCACATATAACTACTGTTAACAATAACATAGGCTTTTACAACAAAGTACACCTGAAATTATTTATAAAGCTACTAAATAGTTAAAGTATGAAAACTGAAAAACACCATTCAATATGATACAAAGTATTATCGCGCGCTAACTTTTCTTAAAACATTCAAAATGGCTGACATGACTGAGCTAACAGGTCCAAAACCTAATCAGATGTAGAATGAAGTAAGCTGAACAAGATTTAAAGTTTTAAAAGCAACTGTGAAGCTGTTTTTCTTAAAGTTTGCAGACAAGGATTTTAGCATTTGACTTCAAAATGGCCGACAGGAAGTAGGTATCGATTTAAATTTTTTTCATCCACATCTGCATGCACTCATAAGTTATCCCTGAAAATTTGAAGGTGATATCTGTAGCGGTTTTGGAGAAAACTGCCGGACGTTCGGACGGACGGACAGACAGACGGACGCGCCTAGGCCGACAATATGGCCCCACACTATGTGGTGGGAACATAAAAACATACAGCACAATCAAAACCAGCTCTAGATCATAATCAAAATCATTATTGAAAAGAACAAAGTTCATCCCTATTATACAGTTCACTGGTCCACAGCAGAGCAGTTGACTTATGGCTAGTTATATACTCAACCTCTATGACTAGTTATTTAACTCAACCAAAAATATTGATTTGAAGTCTCAAACTTTGAGAAACTTAGAGAGCACAATTTGTGACCTAGTTTGATGACCTTGACCTTGAAAATTTTTACTTTTTCAGAGCTCAGTGAGTCTTTTTTGATTAGGCTCACCAAAATTTGATAGACGGCCATATTTTTTAGTTACAATTGAATTCATCACAAGAAATGATGAAGTATAAGGAAAAACTTTGAGAAACTTAAAAAGACTTACATTAGACCTAGATTCTGACCTTGACAAAGGTAAAAATTTAATTTCAAAATCTTCAATTTCTTAAACTTGGAAAATAGCGATGACAGGCCAAATATGGATATACATAAAATGTATGTGGATATGACTTCATACGAAGCAGTTTTAACTTGTGTGGCCAATGTTGACGGACGGACCAATGGCTGGATGGACCAACGGACTGACGGATACCTAGTCGATCCCACTGGCTCACTGTGTGAGCCAAAAACCCCAAAACAGTTACATGCACAAGTGCTGAGCAAGAAACTATTACACCAAAAGTAGTGACTTGGATTTTTATTAATTCCGTCAAAATGTTGCATTTGAAGCACAAAATGGCAAATTTTGATTATAAACCAATCACAATTAAATGTTTCCCTATATTTATTAAAACCAAATATATTCTATCATAGGATTTCTCAAGGGAATATGTATGCAAAATGTGGAGACTTAACTCTCAATAGTAAAGAAATGAGAGTAAATACAGGGTGAGCCAAAAAACAATTTTTTGAAAGCGCATGGATTTAAATAACATTTTCCTGGATATGCAGGAATCAATTTTACAATTGTTCCTGAAGTCGGATAAATAAATCTCTAGGTTTTTTGAGTAATAAAGGTAAACAGACGCCAGTTGTTAATCATGCCTCAAATTTAAGTACCAGATTGACATATTAGTCAGTCTGTCAGAAAAACACATGGGTAGGTTGTTCAGTATATTCTGGAATAATTTCCAGAAAAAATGGAATTATATTAGAGGTATCTTAAAACAAATAAGTAACATGAAGAAAACTGATTCAGCATCAAGAGAAAACGGTGATTTGGGAAAGTCTTCACAGTGAAAGCAATTCTGAGATCTTATTTATGGCAAAAAAGATCACTATGGAGCTTGATTTAGCCCACACATTAAAGAATCTGTTTCTTCATTGCCCTTTAAGACTCAAATAAATTAAAAGTCAAGAAGAGAACATCATTTTTCGTCCAGACTTCCCCATGCCAGTTCCGTTTTTCTTGTGTTGAACCAGTACATCTTATCTTTGTTATCGGTCTCAATACACTTCCAATGCTTTTATTTCTATTAGAAATAGAAACTACAGTAGTGTATTTCAATCGTCTTGCCAAGGTGTTATAAAATTTGTCTCGATTAGTAGTTCAGATTTCGCGAATTATTCCACGAGTCTGTAATTTGCGAATTTGTATTCATATTCGCAATTCCGCAGCGAATCACGATGTCAAATACATTGTTTTTCTCACAAACAGTATTAAACTATGTACAAATGATTGTTTTTATTTTAATGAACATGAGTAATAAATTTAATTTAAACGAAATATTTTAGAGTTATTAATCTAATTTCATTTATTACATGCTTGGTGATCGGAAAAAAAGAACGGAGGGGGAGTAGGCGATCTCTGCAAGAAAATCAAACAAATCTGGAAAAATTATTTTTTCAAACGAAAGTTTATGACTGAATTGCAAAATGAATAGGTGCAGTACATGGCAGAATATGTTAGGTCTTCTAGTATTTATGTTGGACTGAAACACTTTTAAGATATGAGATCTATTAAAAAAGGCGCATCATCACCAGCATGCAAAAGTCAATGTTTTTGCTATAAATCAGGCAACAATATAGTCTACACGACCTGTAATGAATAGGTATAAGGGACGTTATTATCACAACACTAATGACATTGCCCCCTTTTTAAAGTTAGTTTCCATGCGTTATGTAAAAAATAATCGAAAAAATTAATATTGAACGGAGCGGGGGAGTGAATGGAGGGGGGGGAGTAATGTCTTTAAGATGGAACAAATTTACAAGAACTTGTGTAATGGAAAAACTAAACTCAGTACCTCAGTAAGAAACTGGATATTACATCTCAGGAGAATGAAAAATGGGAAAATGTGGAGTTGTTATATAACAAGTTGGAATAAATTCAAGTAACATGTCTTATCATGTGTTACACGAGGGGAAATTCTACCCGCGTATATACGACCTACCGCCGAGTAAGACACGCATATACCGCCAATCCAATGTTTGTTAAGGTACATCTCGTAGGAAAATGGACAATAAAGGTAATATAATGTCACTATCAATTCCCTTGGATGGTTAGAATTGTTACTAAGATGTTCTAGCAGGCGGAATTGGCCTAGAATTATAGTTGAAATATATAATTGTTATGTCCAAATTAAGAGATAAGTTAAACGTATAATGGTTTTCGATTTGTTTTTCTCATTCATACTCGCTTTAATTGATAATGAGCCATACATAAGACATACTTGGGCCGGTAAATGTATGTCATATGCATAATATATTAAGTGTCAAAATATTAGGTCAAAATAGCACTTTTGAACAGCAAAATCTTCACATAAACTTTGTCCTAAAAGATCCGATGTAATTGGACATCGGACCAGATGTGATCGACGAGTAATATTATAAAGATCCGAAAATATCTTGAGTAAATGATCTCAGAATCCGAACATTACTTGAGTAAAATATGTTGAGATCTGATTATATCCTTGAGTCTATGACATGCTGATGATGATATAGTGTTAGGGTTACTTTTGGGAGTTTTCAAACCTTGATTTAATTGCCTTTATTAGAAGGGTTACTCGTTATTAATACTATTGTAACATTTTGACCCAGACTGACACAACAGAAATTAGGCTATCAACATTGGAGGATAGGAAAAGCGCGGAATTGCGTTTAATTGAATTATTATCAATATTTATGGATAAAAAGGAATATGACCTATCTTCATTTTAGGAGCCGTTTACTGATATTTTAGTCAAACTTGAGAGCGAATGAATTGCATTTAAATCAATTATTATCCATATTTATGGAAAAAATGAATATGTTTCGCGTCCCTAATCTCTACTGGTCAATCTTTTTTCATTTTAGTAGCCGTTCTACTGATATCTTATTTTATTCAAAATTGAGAGCGAATGAGCATAACGGGTAAACTTTGCACATTTTAGACCAATCAAAATATATAACTATTTTTCATATGTTTATCGTCTTGGTAGATACAAAATAACACGTACCAAACTCATTGGATTATGAGCATAGTCAGATAGAAGTGGTGATATCATCAACAATGAAAATTATGGTGATTTGAGTAAAAGCATGAATCCAATGTTTAAAAGAACTTCGCGGGACAAAGACGTTGACGTATAGTGCTGCGGGAATTTTATCATAATAACAGGAATATTTGTGATACTTCATGTTATTATATGATCATTCGAAAGCTTACTCACTACCTCATCGGGTTTTACTCACGGTATAATCGGAATACTCAGGCGGTAGCATCGGGTCCTGTTGAATCGTACTTGTGGTATAATCGGGTCTTTCATTTTCAACTTTCACCTGTGTTTTCAATGATATGCAACGCATGGCAGTGAGAGAAATGTGATATATTTGCACCTATTGTATCTTTGAATCAAATGGAGTAAATACAGCCATGGTTCTTACTTATTTAAGATGTAAAACATCATTCTAATATACTCCTCATAAAAAGTTAAGGATCTGCCATTTTTGTTAAATTTCATGAAATTCATCAATTTTAACATCAAATTTTGACCCAATGTAATGGAGATATAACATTGAAACGTTGCGGACTTTATAGTAAATAGAATCAAGATACAGATTTATTTTCTTTATTGGGATTTCTTTTGTTCCCTGCTTAGAGAACAGTCGTTAAACAAATATGGGGATTAACATGTAAACCTATGAGGTCCTTAACTTTTTTTGAGGAGTATATTTAGAAGTTGAATTTAGCGATTTGATAGTAAATATTGCATTAAGTACTCATTATTCTCTAAACATAAGTGCCTGGAACAACAACTATATTGGTTACAAACAATTCTGTGTTTTATCTATTTCTCATATTGAGAAATTCAATATAAAACAGGAGTTAATTAACTTATCCTCTACATTTTCAGACATCTTCGGGTCTTTGCTCGGTGGTAGGTTGTATATACGCAGGTAGACTTTCCCCTCGTGTCTTATATACACATTACCCCCCCTCCATTCATCCCCCCTCTGTTCAATTTTTTTTTTTAAAACGTGTGGAAACTACCTTTAAAAATAATATCATTAGTCTTGTGATAATAACGTCCCTTATACTCGTACCTATTTATTACAGGTCATGTAGACCATTGTTGCCTGATTTATAGCAAAAGCATTGACTTTTGCACGTTGGTGATGATGCAACTTTTTTAATAGATCTCATTTCTTAGAAGCATATCAGCGTGATTTATTCAGTACGTAGAGCCGGAAATGAAAAAAACTGCCATGTCAGTGAAAATCAAAATTATTGATGCTGATTTCAATTTTTGTCGCAATTAATCGTAAGTATCTGCTTTGAATTGGTAGATATTGACAACTCGTGATATACCTAGGCCATTGTGGGGTGAACAGCATTGAAAACAGGACTAAATAAATAGTACCATGGGTACTGGGCTCAAATGGTGTTGCTCAAAAGTGAATGATGGCTAAAATGGCAAAAAATAAAAGAAAACTGATAAAAAATTTGGACGATTTTTAGTAACAAAATTATTTCATACAACTACTCTTTACAAAGACATGGCTTTTTACAATGCAGGACACCTGACATTATTTGTAAAGCTAGGAAATGGGCCAAAAGTGAATTTCATGAGACAAATATGGTGACCATTTTGAAAATAGGCGAGCTTTTGAACCAGGAGTCATAGGGGAGTTTTCTGCATTGATGTTGAACAAAAATAACTTAAAAAGGGAATCCTATCGACAGAAAGCAAATGGTCCAAAACTGAATTTTTCGCTGGACAGAAGAGGCGGCCTTTTTGAAAATAGGCGAGCTTTTGAACTAGGAGATGGGGGTTTTCTATATTGACGTTGAACAAAAATAACTTAAAACGGGAATATTATTGACAGAGGTTTTAAAACGGGCCAATTGTTGACAGACAAACAGACAGACGGACAAGTGAGTGATTGCAATTGCTCACCATGTGAGCTAAAAACGACTGTAGGACATGCAATGGTAAGATTTTTTCTAGTGTATTTTTTTCATGAAAAATCGAAAATCCTATTCGATCTCAAAATTACGCGAATTACTCGATTCCAAAAATCCCCGTGAGTTACAACACTAGTCTAATATACGTCAAGCATTACACACTCTGGCTGGAGTGGATGAATAAAAAGTCAATCTGGAAATGTATTTGAGGCATGATTGCCAGGAACCATATAGCTAGTTCATATATATTTAGGGAAATGTATATGAGGCATGATTATATCATTGTAAAAACTGTTGCATTGAAATTATCAAAATAAAAAATGTGAATGTTTTTTGACCCACCCTTTATACAGATTTGGGACTTGTGTTCTCCCCTACTATTCATCCATATGGCTAGTTAATATAATTAACTGTATACATTTGCTTGTCAATATTTATCAACCATATAGCTAGTAACTAATAATACATGTATATTCAATCTTATGGCTAGTTAATATATTCAACCATACAGCTAGTTCATATATATTTAAACATATGGCTAGTTAATATATTAAACCATACAGCGAGTTCATATATTATTTAAACATATGGCTAGTTAATATATTCAACCATATAGCTAGTTCATATATATTTAGGGGAGGCATCAAAAGTTCGATGTCGGATCGGAAACTTAATAAATCTAGTTTTGACTCTGACCCCCCCCTCACCCCAAAACTAAATACCATAAAAGTTGATCGCTTACTTCCGGTTCGAGAATTTGAAAAATTATTGCTAAACACGATCTAGTTTTTGTTCATTTCTATCGTTAATTTGTGGCTTTTAACAACTATTGACAGAAAAGAATCCATTGGAAAAATCTTGACGAAGAAAGCATCAGGTAAAATCTTTATTTTTAAACCATTCCAAGGCATTCTGAGTCGTAATTGCCAAAAATTTGAAATGTTGAAATTTGTCGGATAGCAAACTGAAATGGGTTTGAACCCCCTCCCCCCTAACTAGATTTATTTAGTTTTCTATCCGACATCGAACTTTTGATGCCTCCCCTTACACATATGGCTAGTTAATATATTAAACCATATAGCTAATTAATATATATTTAAACATATGGCTGGTTAATATATTCAACCATATAGCTAGTTCATATATATTTAACCATATGGCTAGTTAATATATTCAACCATATAGCTAGTTCATATATATTTAACCATATGGCTAGTTAATATATTCAACCATATAGCTAGTTCATATATATTTAAACATATGGCTAGTTAATATATTCAACCATATAGCTAGTTCATATATATTTAAACATATGGCTAGTTAATATATTCAACCATATAGCTAGTTCATATAATTAAACATATGGCTAGTTAATATATTCAACCATATAGCTAGTTCATATATATTTAAACATATGGCTAGTTAATATATTAAACCATATAGCTAGTTCATATATATTTAAACATATGGCTAGTTAATATATTAAACCATATAGCGAGTTCATATAATTAAACATATGGCTAGTTAATATATTCAACCATATAGCTAGTTCATATATATTTAAACATATGGCTAGTTAATATATTAAACCATATAGCTAGTTCATATATATTTAAACATATGGCTAGTTAATATATTCAACCATATAGCTAGTTCATATATATTTAAACATATGGCTAGTTAATATATTAAACCATATAGCGAGTTCATATAATTAAACATATGGCTAGTTAATATATTCAACCATATAGCTAGTTCATATATATTTAAACATATGGCTAGTTAATATATTAAACCATATAGCTAGTTCATATATATTTAAACATATGGCTAGTTAATATATTCAATCATATAGCTAGTTCATATATATTTAAACATATGGCTAGTTAATATATTAAACCATATAGCTAGTTCATATATAATTAAACATATGGCTAGTTAATATATTCAACCATATAGCTAGTTCATATATATTTAAACATATGGCTAGTTAATATATTAAACCATATAGCTAATTAATATATTCACCTGAATAAGAGATTGTGGACTTGGGTAGGCAGCCACAATAGCATCAGCGATTTGTGCACTGACATTTTTGAACTGCTGCATCTGTTTCCTCCATGCCTGGGTAACGTTTGGGTTTGGCACAACTATAACAATGAATGAAGAATACAAGATTTATTGAAAAACTTGTACAATGGCTAAAAGAAAACAAGATGGCCATCAAAAAGATAATCTGCAAACAATTTGGTAATCTTAAAAGCCATTATCCTTGATATGAATGGACACCCAAAAATAAATCATCTTTCGAGTTTTGTACACTCTTACATTCCTATGAATTTGAATTTTGACAAGCTGTTTTATCAAAGAGCTTCTAAATTTGCTTCCAAAACAATTGGCCACCAAAACGTTTATCAGCTGTAGAAGTTGGTACCCTGTAAAAGTTGTACAAGGAATAAAATCCAGCAAGGGATATTTCTGGAATCAAAGGAGCATGTAGGTTATCGCAAACAATTTCAGAAGGTTATATCTTGGATTATGACTATTTTCTGACAATGAAGACAAGTTTATCTTTTAGATCAATTCATTATCTCAAAGAAAATTATATACAGTAATAATAAAGTCAAACAAACTCGGATATATTTAACTAGCAATCAACCAATCAACACACTTTTTCAAAGATGTTGACCCCATTTTCACCAAAAATGCAATCATTTTTTACAATGTTTAATGCATTACTATTCTTTATTTTGATGTATCAAATAGTTCTTGAAAGAAAAACTTAATTGCTTTAAGATAAGTGTTCCCCATGTTATTTCTCCATTGAAAAATCTCATGCTATCCATTGGTTTCAGTTCATTTTGGTCATCCAAATTCAGTATCTTTAAAGTCCCTGAAGCAATCAACTCTTCCTTTTAGGAGATCGAACATGTCTCAAAGCATATTCTAATTATGGATTCAACAATATAATAAAAAGGTTGCTTTTTGGTGAAAATTAGGTCAACAATTTTGAAAAAGTATGTTGATTGGTCCATTGTCCCTTCAATATCACTTAGGTCTGATTAACTAAATTATATATACTTTTCTTGAAGATAATGAATGGATCTAAAAGATACACCCATGTTCATGATCAGAAAATATTAATAGTTCAAGTTAGAATCATTTGAAATTGTTTGCAATAACCTACGTGCTCCTTTATCGAATTATTTCTAAAATGGCATCCAGAAAACAAGTCAGAGAAAGTTCCTCAGATGTTCAATTTATTGCCACAAAAAATAGTACCATTGGTTCTATGCTCAAGTAGTGTCACATAGCTTATAGGACGACAATAAAAAAAGGGATATGAATTTTTGCTGATTATTTCATAAAACGACTGTTATCAAATGTAATGTAATCTTCATACTCTGACACAGACAGTCCAGGTTCACAGAAGTCAGACCATAAGCTGTTTTGTCCTTGTATAAACACTGTGTACAATGTACTGACTGTATTTTTATGTTGATGTCATAAAAATTGAATAAATTATATAAACTAGATAGAAGTGATATATACCTGTGCTTATTTTAACACTGCCTGAGCCTGCTTCAACATTGAAGGTAAAAGCAGTATTTAGTCTGTCCCTCCTAGAAATCAATAAGAAAAGACTTACAGGACTTTCTATTCCATTTATATAGAAGCTATAGTATCACACCGGAACACCTTGACAACAGTAAAGTCAGATACTGTTGTCACAAAAGGCAGATGTAACTGTTGCTTGAACTCGTTAATCACTTGGTTCTCATTTCATGGGACCTTATCGTCACTGATTCTGTGTATATATTAAGCTCCTGTGATGGTGTATTATATGAAATCCCAATTTTGATTAAATGTGGTCCAGAATCGCCACGATACATCGTCTTACATATCGTCAATGACAACAGAATCTGAATTTGAAATAATTAACAAAACAATGGCACATGGTTTAAGATGTGATAACGGACAATGGTGGATGTATTGCATTGGAACATAGGAAAATGTCAACGTGAACTAGACACTTTACCGTTGTCTCTGTATATACCATTGTGAAATATGATCATTACCATTTCGATTTTGCAGCACATTTGACCCACATTTACCGTTGTCATTTATACAGCATCCGTTGTCCTGTGTCATATTTTGATCGGTAAACATTTCGATGATAGAACATATTTTACTATACAAACACTTTGATTGACTGATCTACCAAAGGAATTTAATTTAGCTGATCTATTAAACATGCAGTTAATGAAAATCAAATCGAACACAACAGTATCCGACTTTACCATTAAGTTGTCAGGGTGTTCCGGTGTGAGTATACAATAAACAAATATAGGAAATGCAAACTAAGCAATCTGGATGACAAAACATTTAAGAGGTCTAAGTTTTGAAGTGGAACAACTCACATATGAGTATAACATGGCAAAATATATTGAGTAAATCAATTTAAGCTAAAATGTACAAAACATATGTTAGGTTTAGTACAACTCACTTGTATGGTGTCTCAGCAACAGACTTTGTGAATGACATTATTAGTTTGGCAGCATCATCATTTGTTTCAACAATTCTCACATTTATATTACATTGCAAGTGAAGATCAATCAATGCCTGAAATTAAAACATGATGTGTTATCCATTTTATTATGCACTGAGTTTATATTACGTCTTTGGAACTACCCAGACATCTTTGATGGGTTTTAATTATCATACCAGGCTGTTCAATTTTGAAACTTTCAAAGAATGTAAAAAAACATTTATGCATTGATATACAAACTAGAAAAACAGCAACTCCACGGAGTAGCAAATCCCACCGAACAAAAACATGTTTTGATAAATAGCCGCCATATAAAATTTGAGCCAAATCCATCCACTGGTATGTGAATTGTCAAAGATTATGTTTTTATGAAACATGGTTGCAATTTTGAAATTCAGCTGTCATCTTTAGATTTCTTCTTGAGTAGAGCTCATATGTCCCAAGGCATCAGCATATAGAATTTAATCCAGATCCATCAACTGATACTTGAGTTATCAAGGATTACATGTTTCATGAAAATTGGCAGAGATCTCGATATATAGCAGCCACCTTGAAAATTTCTTCTCAAGCAGAGCTCCTTTTTCCCTCAACATCAGCATATAAAATTGGAACCAAATCCATCCTCTGGTATTTGAGTTATCAATGACTACGTTTTTTCACGAAAAATAGCGGCCATTTTGAAAATCAGTGGCCATCTAGAAAATGTCTTCTCGAGCAGAACTTCTTTGTCTCTAGGCATCAGTATATAGAATTTGAACCAAATCCATCAACTGGTATTTGAGTTATCAACAGTTACGTTCTTTTATGAAAAATGGTGGCCATTTTTAAATTTAGCCGCCATCTTGAAAATCCCTTCTTGAAAAGAGCTCCTATGTCCCTAGACAACAGCATGTAAAATTTGAACCAAATCCATGGAATGTTATTTGAGTTTTTTTTACAAAAAATGGCCACCATTTTGAAATATGGCTGCCACCTTGAAGGCTCTTTTGTACCCAGGCAACAGCATATAAAATTTGAACCAAATCCATCCACTAGTATTTGAGTTATCAAAGATTATATTTTTTCCGAAAAATGGCCGCCATTTATTGAAAATTCCTTCCTGAGCGAAGGTCCTACACCCATAAGGCATAAGCCTATAAAATTTGAATGAAATACGTCAACCGGTATTTGAGTTATTGCCCGGACACACGGACGAACGGATGGACGGATGAACGAATATCTATATATACATGTATATATACATCTATATCCCCCTTGAACTTCGTTCGGTGGGATAAATAAGAATAACTGCTTTACGATTGGTCAGAGGTTATGGTTAATGGTTGCTAAGGTAACTTGTGTTTTGGTCAAGATGGTTTCTATGCAAAATTTCTGCACACGACAAAAGATTGTCACATTTCTCGTTTATTTTAAACATTTCTCGCCTTTATGACATTCACACGAAAAAAGACGATCAAATTAAAGTAATGTCCTAATAATATAATATAACTGCTCATATAACATCATATATACCTTATATATATTTTGAGACCAAATCATGAGCACAGTTTTACCAATATATTGAGAAAATCAACAGGACAACAAGTCTAAAACAACATACAATTATTTTTAGATTAATTGATATTGTAAAATGCTTTTAAGTTATTAAAATAACATTCCCAACGGATAAAAATGTGTTGTAACAAAACGCCGGGAATCGAACCCCAACCTTTTGGAAAAAATAGGGGATGACAAAAAGTCCAACACACTACGTACTGCGCCACACAATGACTGCATGTACAAATTTTACAACAATATAAATAATTGAAATAAAGGAATATAAGTGTGCTTCTTTTATTTCAAAATGATAAATATATATGACTGATATTGTTGAAATGTATGTTTTTTGGATGTTTTTTCATCTGATTTATTAAATAACGATGTTTTATTGAGCATCGAACTTCCCGTCATCGGTCTTGGCAAATACAATCGGTTGCCGGGATATTGAGCCCAGGCAGCCAATCACAGATCGAAGCACATTGAAGCGGGTTTTTCAATTTTATTTCAAACATTTATCGAATAAAAGTTGATGCAGGATGGATTTATGGCTGAGAACAATCATCAAATTGATACCGTTAACGAATTGTCTGAAGCCCCAACATTGGTAAGTCGATAGAAATACTTGTTTTACATAATATAACACGAAAATACCAGAGGGGTTACTCTAATTGTGCTTTTGGACGACCTGATCTTTTTAAGATACCAACAGTCTCTAGTGGATATATGGAAGATAATTGGGAGAAAATTCCTTCAATTCGAGGGGCTCTGTCGGGGATTTCTTCAATCACTGTAACATTGTCTAGCTCGATTCTTGCAGGATCCTTGCTTTATTTTAGCAATCTTTACCGTTATCTCTTCAATAACAATACTTTACAAATATTGAATGATGTTGAGTGTAATACCTGTATTTATTCTAAGGCTGTATTCCACGCAGCTCGTAGGGCAAGTGGAATACATCCCCCAGATTTCCCATCCCCCAGTATTGCACGAAAACAGAATTCAATATTTGTTTTATTATTTCATACATATTAACAGATCTATTCAACAATATTAATTTATTAACTACATGTATAAAGTGTCTCAAAATCGAAAATAGGACAAATTATAACACAGTGTTCACAGTGGCCTATACATGTGACGTCACATTCGTTGAATACCTGTATTTAATTTTCTAGAAATACACCTTTCATATTGATTTCTTATACATGAATGGAATACCTTGGGGTATTTTTAGTCACATGGTACACGGCCGACCAATCACATGCTGATTATCACTACAGAGAAATAATAAATACCATTGTAAAACAAATATGCTGTTACTTCATTTTGATGTTGCAAAAATTGCCACACATGAAATTCCCTGGTATTTTTGACTTCTTTCATACATGGGCACTTATTAGAATGGTTTGAAGGATGTATTTTCAATTTTCTAAGTGCCCAGGCGCTAATTACAGATATACAGTAAGTGAATGTCCAATTAGATGAATTGTCCAATCACAGTGTTGATCCCTCATTACAAGTTCAATATCCAAAGGCAAGGTAATCCAATATAAGTTCTGATATGAAATCTTTCAATAATCACTTAACTTGTAGAATGTGTATTTTTAGAACTGTGATTTTGATTGGAGATCTCCAGTCACATGACTTAATTATGAAATACTAAAATCTTTTAGAACCTTCTCAAATATAACAAGTGAATGACTCATCAGTCTTGTTTACAAAAACAGGATATTTTTAGAACAGTGTGACCTTGGGCTTGAAGCATGAAATAAACAACATTCCAGTATTCAAATATTAAATATGTATCTTAACTAAAGATGAATATCATAGTATACAATAGACTAGGTGCGAGTAGAAATATCTTAATTTACATCATTAAATATTCAAAATTCAGTCAAAGTGATGTCATATTTGAAATCTACATGTAAAAGTGCATCTAGAAATATGGTTTCGAAAATTGTTTATCAGCTTTGAAAATTTAATTTTTTTTAGAAAATGTGACTTCTTGTTCGGGTTGATTCCCCATAGACCCCATGTTACAAAATCACAAAAAGTGAATTATCTTTTCTTGTATTGGACAGATAACATTTTCTTTTACTGGACATATTTTAATTTGCATATTTATTAGATACATAAGGGTTATATGAAAATTGAACCACGCAAATAGATGTAATTTAAGTTAAAGGGAACTTTCTACTATGCCCGCCATGTTATCTGACCAGAGCGAGCCACCTAGTGGTGAATCTGGTAACTACCTATTCGCATCTGCGTTATTATTCTCAGTAACGTAACATTACTCAGATGTAGCTCATAGCGTGGCAAAATAAGTTATACTCTATTACCTCTTCAACGTTTACTCTGGAGACAGACACATCAATGCCCATTGAAGCTTTGGAATTTCGTGATATTCCATCTTTGCCAAGTACAGCCCCTCTATAATTCCTTTGCTGAACCGTTTTCTGGCCTCTAGAAAGAAACAAAATGTGTACTTTATTTGTACCGTATTCTCTGTTATTACCGCCCACTCTCTAATAAGCGCCCACCCCGCTTCACAAAGTTCAAGAAACATCGAGGAATCAACAAGAATTGAAGAATATATCAGGAAAAAAATATTTCTCAAAATCCAGGAGCGGGCGATAATAGAGTACTTACCCTAAAACTGCTGTAAACACGACGCGTTTTGTAATTCTATGCATCCTCTCGATACATATCTATCGATGGGTGCTTCCCACACCATACCATGCTAATATTGTCTCCAAATAGTCCATAATGAATGAAGGAATTGTTCTTTATCGGCATTCAGAAATTTCAAAAGCTACTGCGCAGATGTTCTGCGCATGTCAAGGTCGTGAACTTTCTGGTTTCTTTTTAATGTTTCTCGACTTTTACACGACTTTTGCACGAATAATGATGATCTCTCATCAAATTAGAAATAATGTATAACTTTAGATCGATATCCAGCAGTCTCTAGTGGAAATATTGAAGGTAATCGGCGATAATGACAAAGTGGGCGTGCCGGAAATAAATTAGACATAGACGGGTCTTCAACCACTGTCAATATTGTCTAAGCGATCTTTACCGTATTCTCTCCAATAACAGCACATGTCATATTATTATAAAAATATGTTGAAGAAAATGCATTCTTGTCAAGAAAAATTGCCATACATGAAATTCCTCGGGATTTCTGATTTCTTTCATACATGGGCGCTTATTAGAATGGTCTAAATAATGTATTTTCAATTTTCTAAACGCCCTGGGCGCTAATTACAGAGAATACGGTATTTGCTTCAAATATACATCCAATTGGCCAAAAGGTCTACTATTTACAATGAACACATAAAGTTACAAATAAATGTACATGTGTAGGACATGGACATACAAGTCATTAACATGCAAAATGTCACCACCATTTGTTATGACCCCAACCACCAATCACCAACTGCCATCACAAAAAATGGAGAGCATTACGATATGTCACCACTTTTTGGTGGTGACATAATAATATACTCAATATTCGTGCTTACTTGAAATATTTTTCAAGGCCCTGTGTGTAGAATGTCACTGTTTTTCCAGGAAAACCTGAGGTAGCTTTTTGTGCTAAATTGTTCAAACTGATCTGATGGGTTGTATATATTCCTTGGCTTGTCTGAAATACATATGTACATGTATGCATTTTATGTTTAAATTTCGATGAAGGACCTCTGGATTGCAATATACATTCTCAACTAGAAAAACAGCAACTCCCTGGAGTAGCAAATCCCACCAAACAAACATATTTTATCATTGTTCATCTCATCATTCATCTCATTTGGACATAACATGACAGAAATAATTAGGAAGTAGTTGAGTAGTATTGTCTCACTTTGGCAAAATGTATATAATCATGTGTTGTTACGTCATATTCCTTCTCCAGCAGAGTCTAGTGAACATTAAGCATTATCACGGTGTCCAACCCAAACGCTCTTACATGCATGACGGAGCGTTTCATTACTGAAATTAAACAAAGAAACGTTCCGGAGTAGGAAAACTGGCGGGCGGGAATGATGGGCCATCTGACGATTTATCAAATAATGGGAATCAGAGGTATGAGTTACATATCTCGAGTATACCATTCGATGGGTGTGATATTCATGTTGTACTTGGCTGGCTGTTGGCGTTTGAAGCAATTGATGATTTGCGATCACCGGATGGATTCTATCTTGAAGTGACGTCACAATTAGGTCACCCAGCTTTAGATGTTTGATTTTGAGAGATTATCTTCTATATTTCGTGCTTTATTGATTTATTTTTCACGAAAGCGTTCTATTTGACTAGATCAACATTCATGGTAAGTGCATACCAAGTCTAAGATCTTACTGACGTGATTTAGATAGCGGTTAAGCGCCCCCCGATTTTGAAGAAATCGGGGGGCGCTTATAGGCATCGATGTTTAGTATAAATTTCACCCAAACTTCGCACATATATAGATATACTCATGATCTAGTCAAATCGGCATACCTGGTAAATATCCGACCCATGGTTTTCATAAAAGAAACGACAATATTTTTTGCACAAAACTGCCACTTCACCGCCATTTCGTGATTCCATCATGTCTAATATCATTTCTATATGACGTCACACCAATAAGACGAAATACGTGACAACAGTATCCATAAACAAAATTCCTGAATTCTGATCGCAAAAGGTCAATTAGGAAGACCTATATAAAGCAGTACAGTTTTCAAAATTTAAAAACGTATTTGTCAATCTACCGGTCAAAACCACTTTTGTCAAGATATGTGATTAGTTGAGCCAAGATTAGAGCACCAACATACCGAAAATCCAGTCTTAAAAATGATGACACTCTCATATTCAAGAAACGCTCCGATCTGGTTAACATAGTGAACTAGAAACGCTCCGGTAGTCTAGCTCTGTTTAGGAAATATATAGCTTGCCTTTCCTTTTGAGGAAGAGAAAGAAGAGATCTATTACACCCCTTGGCATCAAAAGAAGAAAGATTATAAACATTTTGTTTTTTTCAATAGTTTTATGATTTAGCACACATTTAGGCATAACATCATCTAATGTAGGCTTAACGTTTAGCACCCCAGGTTCAGACTTTTCAATCTGCCTAACAAGTACAACACGTTTTTGAGAGATAGATTAGATTCGGAACTCTTCTCTAATAATCTGAAAATGATATCAAAACAAAATGGTAAGAGCGTTTCTAAAATTGTGTCCTAAATCGACGGAGCGTTTCGAGGAAAACAAGCGATTTCTCAAGAACAAGTAATGGATTTGGACTGGGATTTTAGGAAATGAGAATGTACGAGTTTGTGATCTACTACTTTAACAGAAAGATTAACGTTTTCATATAAATACTAGTTTAATTCGTAATTTGTGGTCAATTCGTCATCTTCAGATTCGTTCGATCTACACTACGGAGCTTTGATCAAGCAAATAACAGTTTACCACCAGAAGTTGTATAAATAAGATCTTTGCTCACGGTATTGTTCATCGACTGGTACATAATATTTCACCATAACATATGATATGTAAGAGAAACGAGTGAAACAATACTTACCGTCATAGTGGAATCTTCATGAGCCGCCATTTTTATTTTGCTCCGGAGCGTTTCCGCGTTAATGAAACGCTCCGTCGTGCATGTAAAAGCATTTGGGTTGGACACCGTGATTATATAGCCTATAAAATTTGAACCAAATCCAATGGCTGGTATTTGCATGTATCAGAAAAAAATCATATTCCCCTCAAAAATGCAGCCATTTTGAATTCCTATGTCCGGAAGCCATCAGCAAATAAAATTTTAAAGGCCCCATATAAAGTTTAAACCACTTTGGCTTATATTGTAGTCTTACCCAATATTATCAAGTGTGATATGTGAACTTTTTTTTTTAATTCAAAAAGTGGTTTTTGATAGACTTTTTGTTCCAAAATTTGTGAATTTATTTAAAACCAACTTTTAGAGGTCACTCATATCTACTAATTAGCCACAATTCATACCAATGTATAGCATCCATCCTCCCATGTTTTTCGCCGAAAAAATTAAGAAAATCGGTTCATAAGTAAGCGAGAAATGAACTTATCAGTGCATGAAAATGGTTCTGATTAATACGGTTCCACGTATTAATCTGACAGGAGCTGGTATCTTTATCCTGGCTAGAACCATAGACAGTTCAAGCCAGCACAGGCCTTTTATCGAGTTAGTATTACTCTAGTAATCAACTTCTCTGGTGAACTAGTTAGCTTGAGCTGGCTCCTGTCGCCGCTATCTGGGATTGAACCCAGGATCTTGGCATCAGAAGTCCAGAGTGCTAACCATTACACCACAGAACCGAGAACAAGACCGAAAAAACCGAAGAAAATGCATTTCAAAATTTTAGTTCTCATAGAAACCAATGGTACAATGATATCTAAAACATATTTAACCTGGTTAGACAATCAACATTGGTTTTTTATGAAAGTGTAACATATTTAGAAAAGATTGACATCGAAAGAAAATTTTTTTCAATTTTTTTCAAAAAGTTTTTGGTACCTTAGTGACATCACTAATGTTTCAAAATATTTTTGATATGCTAAAACATTGAAGTGGCCCATTATGGCATTTCATTATTGAAATAGTGTGTCCTTTGTTCAATCTTTGCATTGGTGTTAAAAAGATAATCTTTTTTGAAATGCATTAAGAAATATTTGATGATTAAGTTTCAACTTTTTTTGAAAAATGGCAGGAGTCAATATTTTCTAAATATGTTAGACTTTCATAAAAAAACAATGTTGATTGTCTAACCAGGTTAAAAGGAATAATAAATTATGTTGTAGATATCATTGTACCATTGGTTTTTATGAGAACTAAAATTTTGAAATGCATTTTTCTCAGAACCATTTTCATGCACTGATAAGTTCATTTCTTGCTTATTTATGAACCGATTTTCTTAATTTTTTCGGAAAAAACATCGGAGGATGAATGCTATGCATTGCTATGAATTGTGGCTAATCTTCCTTGACCTCTAAAAGTTGGTTTTAAATAAATTCACAAATTTTGGAACAAAAAGTCAATCAAAAACCACTTTTTGAAATTTAAAAAAAAAGTTTCACATATCACACTTTGATAACATTGGGTAAGACTACAATACAAGCCAAAGTGGTTTAAACTTTATATGGGGCCTTTAACAAATTCTATTTTAAAATTTTGCAGAAAATTGTTATGTAGGTACAATTCCAACTTTTGTTTGTGAATTGTCTACTAAATAGCAACTCATATTACTTGATTACAATGCTCTTTTTCTTTACCTTTAAATACCTTTAAATTAGCTTTTAAATCTGTATGAAAATTGTTTCTTATAAAATCCCATATCAGTATACAAAATTAAATTTTATAAATCTGTGAGTCAAATCATCTTCTTCATTTTCAATGCAAAACTTGCAGATTGCATCTTTGAAAGTTTATAATTTGTTATCACAACATAATGTACGTAAAAACTTTCATGGAAAACTATTAATTTGGTCTCATTAGTGACCTTATGTGCTAACAACCACTAGACGTATTTATCTACATCTGTATCATCTTAATAAGAACATGTACTTACCTTAGAGTATGCATTAACCATGTCTATGAATGCTGCTAATGGTATGTATATCAATACCTGGTCTTCTACATTCTCCCTAGAAATAGTAGTCATCTGAAACAATACAACCAAATGTTCAAAGCCCCCAGGCAAAGTTCGTCTTTTATCAATAAATATTCCACATTGCATTGCAAAATTCAAATATTTTATTTACTGTTTTGGACTGATGGAGTTATGTCACATTATTTTGACCATAACATTTCTGGTATGTGCAGTTTAAGCATATAAAACGTTGTGATGTCACAAGATCATGAAAGATACATAGCTTTTCTAAACTAGACAACAGTAACGCCAAAGCGTAGCAAATCCCATCAAACAGCCATGGCTGGCATTTTTACAAACAAAGTATAGAGTAAAAACTGTAAAATAATAAACAAAAAATGGCCACCTTTTTCAAAATGGTTGCTCACTATAGCCAAATTGTCATCAGAAAGTGTAATATGCTTCTAAGTAGGCACATATAAAATTTTAACAAAAATGTACACACGTACATGTCATTGGCGGCCTTTTTCAAAATGGCCGTCTACTTGCCAAAATGTCATAGACAGTGTGCCTTGCTTATGAGTATTCACATATCAAATATATACAAAATCACTTTATCACCTTTTGAGTTATCGTAAAAAATGTAAAATAACACATATAAAAATGGTGGCAATTTTTTCAAAATGACCTACTCCCCAAAGTATCATTAGACAGTGTGCCATTCTTATAGTATTCACGTATCAAGTATGAACAAAATCGCTTCACTACTTTTAGAGTTATAGTAAAAAATGTTAAAATTGCCGCCTTCTACCAAAAGTGTCATTAGGGTGTGAGTACCATAATCCAACATGAAATTCGAAAATTCTGAACAATGCTTTGTACATATGGCGTTCATGACCAACTATAAAACGCTTACCCCCCCCGTGGTGTTATATATCAAAATGTACCTGCTCATATAGGGGTTCAATTGATCTACATCAAATTATAGCAGTCAGATTACTTTTCAAGATATCAGCATTGATTTCTTATAACTCGCGTTTGCTACCATTTGCTCAGTTCTGAGATCCCGGGTACACGCGTAGTAAACATGCCCACGTTGGAACTATTTTTGACCTACATCGTTATGTTCGATATTAAAATGAAAGATGAACTCTTCCTTTTAATTTTGATACCAAATAATGGCATACTATGTACCCTAGACGGCAACTGCGGCAATGAAAATGAAAGATGAACTCTTCCTCTTAATTTTGATACCAAATAATTGCATACTATGTACCCAAGACCAGTACTGTCAACCCCCAAAGATTTTCTCGCGGGACAGATTTTTTAGACCCAGTGCCAAAAATTCGCGGGATTTTGCGGGACATCCACCTAAATTCGCGGGACATTTAAGGGATTCGCGTGATTGCGCTAAATAGGTCAAATTTTGATCAAATTAGCGGGATTTCGCAGGACCATTCGAAAGACAAGCACGCTAATTACGGAACAGTTAACAGGGTAACCACCAAAGACTTCATAGAGGGACAGATTTTTAAAGACAAAGTGCCCTAAATTCTCGGGATTTTGCGGGACATCCACCTAAATTTGCGGGATGCCGCAGGACATTCAAGGGATTTGCGTGATTGGGGCTTAATGTAAAAGTACTCAAATCAACTTTCAGATACTGATTTATCAAATATAATTCACTTAACTTTAGTAAACGTCAACACAATTCTACACAATACGCATAGAAATATTATTAAACTATCAAAAAACATGCTTTAGGTGTGACGTAATCCAACACGAAATTCAAAAATTCTGAACAATACTTTGCACTTATGGCGTTCGTGACCTACTATGAAACATTTACCCCCCCCCCCTCCCCCCATAGTGTTATATATTAAAATGTACCTATTCATATAGGGGTTTGATTAATCTACATCAAATTATAGAGAGTCAGGTTTCTTTTCGAAATATCATTGTCCATTTATTGGAACTCGCGTTTGCTAACATTTGCTCAATGAGATGAAGGCTGTGCCACGCTGTGACACGCGTAGTAAAAAGGCCAACGTTGGAACTATTCGTGACAAACATCCCAATTTCCGTAATTAAAATGAAAATGCACTCTCTTCCTCTTTATTTTGATACCAAATAACGGCATATATATATATCTTTTATTGACTCTCTGATGTCATTGCAATGACATATTAGTCACTACAAACTACAATATACAAAATTAAACTAAGACTAAACTAACTACTTCATAGGAAATATACAAAGTTGTAAAATACAATTACAGCATCACAAAATGTAAAATACAAAAATGAGATTATTGTAAAATACAGATACAACATGACAGAATTTAAAACATCAGTGTGATGTATCATTGTTACAATATTAATCCAGTTTTTTGAATGAATGATAAATGAACTTTGCTAGATGTAAAATTACATAAGAATTTTTATGAGACAAAAGCTTTTTGAAAATAAAGTTAGGACTTCCTACAAAATTAAATTGCGTAAGGGTGTCAAACAAAAGTTTTCTCTCTGTTGTATTTTTCTTACACACCATGATAAAGTGTTGTTCATCTTCTAAAATACCACACATATTACATAAACGTTCATCCAAAGGTCTTGGCTTAGGCTTCAAATGACGACCAATTTCTATATGTAATTTGTGTGAACTAAGCCTAAATCTACTTATTGCTTGTCTGTAATTTTTATTTTGTATATTTAAATAACCCTCTCTTTCAAAGACATTTTTGAATGTTATGTAAGTTCTTAAAACAGGATATTTGAAAATATCTTTCTGCCACTGAGACTTATAATTCTGATACAGTTTTTTTGTTATCATCTTGATAAAAATATAATCATCATCGATCTTTTGAGTTTCCCAATATGAGAATAAATCACATTTTTTCAAAATATCAGTGATTTTGTTTGACCAAGTGCCTTTAAAACCCAGTTGGCTCATTTCACGGTCATGCGTATATGTTTTATGAAGAATGTTTCCAGGTGATAGATGAATTAAACGGAGCCAATATTTAATTAACTTAATTTCAAAACGTATTTTTAATGGGTAACGTCCTAATTCTCCATAGACTGCTGGTGTTGCTGTTGATTTTTTAACACCTAATAAACTTTTAAGAAAAGATAAATGCATTGTCTCTATTGTCTTAAGATGTTTTTCATTAATCCACACCTCTGAAGCATAAGTTAGGATAGGTTCAACTAAAGAGTCAGAAAGGTGCAATGCAAGATTAACTGGAATGTCATTAAATTTTTTATATTGCTGTTTAACTTTAAACAAAGCTTTTCTTGCCTGCTCTTTTAGATAACATACATGCTGGTCAAAATTCTTAGTTTTGCTGAATACACATCCTAGATATTTATATTGCTCAACACTTTCTATTGCACTATCATTGAATGTGAAAACTATATCAAATTTTGAGTTAAAAACAATTGATTTTGTCTTTATTGTGTTAACTATAAGATGATATCTCTTACAAAAATCAAAAAGACAATTGAGCAAAGTTTGGGCGCCATCTTTACTATTTGACATCAAAATAAGATCGTCAGCCCAAAGTAAGTGGTTTAACATATTTCCATCAAATTGAATACCATTTTCTTTTGGTAGATTATCTTTTAAATCATCAAGGAAATGGTTGAATAAATAAGTACTAAGTACAGAGCCCTGCATTACTCCGACATTTGTTTCGAAAGCAGGGGTGACACCTTCTTTTAATTTCAGGCATGCTTTTGACTTTTCATACATACTTGTTATAACCTTGAACATGTTAGAATCAGGTGATATTCCCGATTTACATAGTTTATACATAAGTGCCACTCTATTTACATAGTCAAATGCTTTTCGAAAATCTATCATAATACAGACTAATGGCTTTTTCATAAGCTTATAACGGGTTATGATTGTGTTTAAAATATATAAATTATCTGTTGTTTGATGTCCAGATTTATAAGCACCTTGAAGTGGATCCTGAATATCTAACATTTCGGCATTAAAAACAAGTCTGTTTTGTATTACTCTATCAAAGATATTTCCTATACATGCTAAGACATTTATTCCCCTATAGTTATCAGGATTAAATCTACAACCTTGTTTAAAGAGAGTTGTTAACATACCTATACTCCATTCATTAGGGTAATCACCATGAAAAAAGATGTGATTAAAAAGGGATGTAAATTCAGGAACTAATATACTGCAATTTTTAATGATATTAGAAGGTAACCCATCAATTCCAGGAGCTTTGTTAGCTTTAACTTTATTAAGAGCAGCATATACTTCAAATTCTTTTATACTGCCATTAAGGACTTCATGACTTATTCTTATTTCCCCTGTGCAAACACCATTTGTATCATATTCATCAATAAATAATTGCATCTCTTTTAATGCTACGTCATCAAAATAGTCAATTTTGGGGTTCTTACCCAACTTTTCAAATGCACAAAAAAGTTCTGATGCCTCAATAGGGATTTCATTTGTATTACTGCTTCCTGGAATACTGTTTATCATTTTCCAGAATTCTGTTGGATTTTGAGATTTGAAAGAAATGAGAGATTTTAATAGATTTGACTGATATGCTCTTTTTTCATGTTGTTTAGTTTGATTGTACTTTCTCTGTAAATCAGCAATAATGTTATTTGGTAGCTTCTGCTTAATGGCAGAATGTAAATCCTTTTTCAATTTCTTGCATTCACTATTAAACCATGGGTTCATTGGGAACTTTTTAGTACTGTTCTTTAGATGTTTAAGTGGGAATATCTTATCAGAAGTGTCATATATTACATGT